CCGTTGTGTGTCCGTCCTTGGGGGTTATGTACCATAGAACACATCTAGCACAAACTGGTACATTGGCATACATTTTCCAAAAAAAATAAAGAATCTGTTCACAGGTGAGAGTACATGAGCATTGGTCACACATAGAAAAAGAATTTTAAAAAAATAAGTAATTTTTTAGGAATTATGCCGGTTGTTTTTGCTGCCGTGACTGATTCTGATGAATTGAGGCAGTGAACGAAATTTTTGTCATAAAATTATCATTTTTTTTTTTCATCACACTTTTTTTTTTTAATGACACAAGAAAAACAATGCACTAAAAATCTCTGACACACACACAAACACACCCAGACTTACGTTACATACCTTGTGTGGACATTGCTTTGTTTTCGTGTAGTTAAGAAAACTCGGTACAAAAAATAACTTTACTTAAACTGTGAAAACTCTTTTAACCCAATTTTTTTTCTATGATTCCCTATAGTGTTTCTCTTCATTCTGCTACAGATAAACCTAACCCAAAAATGCCTCTAAACCTGTTTTCCAGAAAGGGCAAAACCTTATGTGGACACGGCTTAGTCCACATAACGTTAACACAACCTGCATTATGTGGACCTCTTTTGTTCACAAGTCCACATAGGGTATGTAACACAAACTCACATTTTCTCTTCATAATTCAATCAACAACCGTTACAGGGCACAAATCCAAATTACAAAACCATGTCAGCATAAAGCTAGCACATTTTCAACTCAGCCCAGCCAAACAAAAACAAAATCCGCCTCAATCCTCGGCCATTCATCACTGAGCACGGCACAGTCAAATAGATGATCACGTTTCCCCCAAGCATTTAAGTTCAGTGACAGCGACGTAAACTGCTCAGTTACAAGTACGCTGCACTTCTTTCATTCTTTTGCCCCACTGGCTGCACTTTTTTTTCCCTGCGGACGAAATACGGACGCTCACACCGGCTGGCTTAAATACCCAGATGGACACAAGATCACAGCCCTCCGAGGCACAAAGGGAAAAAGAATTCCTCGCGGCCGCGGACAAAGAAAAAGACACTGTTGCAACACATTGGGGAAGAAAAAAAAAATTCGATGAAACCCAAAGGGACAACGTTTGGATGAAACTGTTGGAGACGTCGCATCTTTGGGCTGTTGCCTGGAGGGAGGTGAAAGAGCTGCATATGCGAGCTGAATTTGATCAAAATGTTTGGGAATAGACTTTGTGAAATTACAAAAATGACTGACATATTGATGCTGAATGCAAAGAGTCTATATGAACATGTGGTGCGTGTGGCCGGCCTCATAATAAATGCAGTTCAAGCAATGAATGTTTGAACAACTTATTGACAGGAAGACCTGGAATATGCTGGCTTGACAGAATTTGACGGGAAAGTTACCGTAGGAATGGCTGCGGGGGCTGCCTTGTTGTCAAAACCATTCAAACATAAGTTGACTCAAAACAAATTGGGTTCACGCTACAAATGTTTGACAAAGTCAAAACTGGAATTACTGCAATTGAATTTTCCGACTGGAGAGAACTTGGAGACGCCAAGAAATTTTGCTCCATGGCCGCATTTGTTTCAACAAAAGCAATAACTACAGTCCAAACAGACAACATATTGGACAAACTGAAACCGGGAGCCGTTTCATACTCTGGCCTGACAGATGGAAAGAGGGAATAACGGGAAAAGACAGGAATAACAGGAAAAGACAAAAATAACGGCGAGACGAACGTGGACAAACGTACCTCCAGAGAGAAGGGTATGAAAACAAACGCCAGGGCACGGAAAAAAAAACAACCCCGTAATGAGATTCGACACTTTGAGTGCCGACGGGAGCTCCTACACAAAAAAAACAACACCTTGCTGTCAAGCTCATCTCTTGAGGAAAAAAACACGGGAGGATTCAGTCTCCGAAATTCGAGAGCCAACTAAAATAAAAAAATAAGCTAATGAAATCTTTTGAGAAAAAGGATGGCTCAATTTCATAATCATTGCCAGTTTATCGTCATTTTGGCTCCGATTTGGGATGATCATCCTTCTGGAGATTTGGTTACAGTATTTAGTTTAAGGTATCGAGGGATTGAAAATGTATATTTTGAGCTTTGGTGTTCTGAGCATAGCCTGCAAATATGTATATGAACAAAAATACCAACAAAATTTTAAAACTGTCTGTAATGCAGAGTGCTCCATTATCTTCCCTGGTATCGCATCACAGTCGGCGGTGCATTTTTTCCCACTTGGGTGCCACTTAAGTAATTTGCGATCCATCATTTTGAAAGCGAGATTGTCGTAATTCTCTGTACAAAATGTACACCCATTTGGTCCGTCATTGATTGAAAATAAGCAGATGAATTTTTTTATAACAAGAAGTAGTCGGGAAAACAAAACCTAGCAAGTACACAGACAAGCTATCCTAGTTTCGTTAGCAACTGTCAGATAAGATAACTAACGTCTTTTATACTTGGCGGATACTGGCACTATAGAAGTTCCATTATATTGTTCAATACGTAGCAACTGCCATTTCCAATAAAATAAAATCCTGGTTCATTAATTACATACAAAACCCCTGCAATATTTTTATGAAAGGCGTGTCTTATTAGCCATGTATAGTTCTGGTAAGAAACCAAAACAGTGTAACACACGCGGGATTACAACTGCATATATTTAATAGTGGTGTCATATTATAAATGTCCATGTTATGTACGTAGCGTCAGCTCGTAATCCAGACAAGCCAGTCGTAATCTTTTAAAAGCCAACTCAATTCTGGGAAAGCGGGCGGGATTAACAAAAGCAGGGGGGGGATTAACAAAAGCAGGGGGGGATTAGCAAAAGGGGGTCAGGGTGCAATGCATCATGGGAAGTGGAAAGGGGCTGCATGATAATTAGGTACGTACACGCTGCATGCATTCAAAACCGGAGGGGGAAAAAAGAAGAAGAAAAGTAATCAAACTAGAGATCGAGATGAAATGTGTCAGCACACATCTTCAGGGAATGATTACCAACTGTAGCAAGTTTATAGTGTCTAATAAACCTAGGCCCAATTTCATAGCGTTGCTTATGTAACAGCCGATTTTGTGCTTACCGAGCCGCCATCTATTTCATAGAGACCGTAAGCAGTAAGCACAGCAAAAGCACGCTTAGCGCCAGATGAAAACCTTGCTTAATTCAGTGATGTTACAGATTTTAGCACAACCATGCCATGAAATAGTGCTTAAGCAGCAGCATGATTTTAGTAAGCACAACTTGTCTGTGAAATTGGGCCCTGGAGTTGCTACATGTACAGTACAGAAATCTGCTAAGCGCAGAAAATATCTGCTTAGCAAAAACTGGTTATACAAGTCAAAATGCCATGTTTATGTACACTGATTGTGATTGGTACTCATCAATTTATGCTAAGTGATATTTATTTTTGCTTACCAGCTCTGTGAAGCATGACCAGTAGAAACATGTTAAGGAATTAATTAGACATGCAACTAAAAAAGACTCCCCCCCCCAAAAAAAAAATGATGTGCTCTACCGAAATGAGGAATAAGTCTGAAAGAAAGTTTTAAGTTGATTCAGTGAAAAAAATGTTTCTTTTTGTTTCAAATTGACTAGGGAAAAAAGAACTTGTTCTGACAAGCCTTTTGTTGGGCACTTCAGTGAGTGAGCTGCTCTATCAAAATGAGGAATAGTCAAAAAGGCTGTTTCGGCTCATTCTTTTGTGCAAGAAATCTCTTGAGAATTTAATAGAAAAGAACTTGTTCGGACAAGTTTTTTGTTCCGGGTTTCAAGCAAAAGGCATTATGTTGGCAGTATTACCTGCCACACTGTTCCAATATGGACATGGACATGTATGTACATGTACCATACATTGCACAGGTGTCTATACAAATGTACATGTACCGGTACATGTATACATGTATATGTACATGTACGTGTCTGTACAACCAAGGGAGTACAGCTGCTCAACTTAAGGGCGAAGTGATGAAGTTGAAGATAAGAGGTTCCTCAGACTGAAACCCTCAAGAGCACGCTAACCTTTTAAGCATGGGGAAAAAGCTTGTGCAACCTGCTCGCACAAAATGAGGAATAAATATATACATGTACCGGCTCCCGAGTTCTTGATTTACGCCCCACTTAACCCTTTAGTGACTGTACCGCCCCAATCCGCCCTGCCTATTACTTCACGTACCGCCTCAAACCCCAGCACTGTGTGGATTTATGTATTCATCAGTGAAATACAATGTAATACAATGTAATACAATACTACTGGGCTCACAGCATCCAAATCTCTGAACTTGGTTTGGTGACTTGAGCCTCGTTTCGTGGGAGCAGGTTGCAAGTATTGTGTCTAGAATACCCCAAAGGTGCGAAGAGACAATCTGATATTATCACAAGCTTCGACGAGTGTCTTCTTCTAGGGAACGGAGGGGTGAAATAAATGCGTTTGAGAGGTTTCATATAAATTCCTTTGCGACCAATATCCTATTTCAACAAAACTTTCTTGTGTAACTCACAAAATAGTGTAGGATTTCTGATTTTTAACCCTAATTCCCTGGCGTCTTTTACTAGGAACTGGACCAAGTCCATCAAGATCAAAATCCATCAATCACTGTGAGTCCAATACAAAACTGTACATGACATAATGGAATCCACCACTGACGCACTGGTTGACATTCATGGACTTGCTACACATGGCTTTTATCACAATAGCAGTACAGGAGGCTAGGCAAAATCAATCGGATACCCCTAGCCCTGCTTCGGGCCATTAGGCCCAAGTCCATCATACTCCATCAATATTTAGCCACGCCAGGCCTTCTGGACCAAGTCCCCCAAAATCCACCAAAATGGGGGGATGGATTTTGATGGAGTTGGGGTGGTTAGGGTTAAGCTACTTCATTTTTAAAAACATTTGGCAGGACGTTTAAGTCGATCCCATGACTAAAACAAAGAAAAGAAGTTTAGCTAACAAATTAACCCAAACAAGTGTTATTTAAAACAAACTTGTAATAGTTATTTTATTACCTTGTTGGACTGGGTTCTTCTTGTAGGCTCTCCTCGCTTTCGCTGCCGATGCGCGATCGGGCCACGCGAGGGCGGTTCTGGGCGGGCATGCTCTCGCAGCGTGTCCGCCAGGAGGGGCCTAAGGTCGCGACCTGCCGGCGGGTGGAGTTGGGTTTGGTCTCCGAGGTGTTGCCGCTGCTCTGGCTGCGGGGCCGCATTTCCTCTTCTTGCTGGCTGATTGAGCGCATCGCACTATCAGAAGAAGAGGAAGAAGAAGAAGAAAAGAGATAAAACTAGAGATCGTGATGAAATGTGCCAGCACACAACTTCAGACAATGCTTAACATATGTAGCATGTTTACAGTTGATCAGATTCATTAAAGCTCACAAAGTGGATGGTACTGGTAGAAAGAAAATGTGTATAAAGCCCAGGGAGAACAAAAGAAAAAGAAAAAGATAAAAAAGGGGAAAAAATCCTAACAAAAGCAACAGCTGTTCCCAATTGAAATCAGGGGATGGTACTGGTAGAAAGAAAATGTGTCTAAAACCTAGAGAAAAATTTAAAAAAAAAAAGAGGAAGAACAATCCTAACAAAAACAACAGCTGTTTTAAACTGAAATCAGGAACAGATTAAATAAATGATAAAAAAAAGGAATAAAAATCCTTACAAAAACAACAGCTGTTCCCAATTGAAATCAGGGGATGGTACTGGTAGAAAGAAAATGTGTCTAAAACCTAGAGAAAAATTTTTAAAAAAAAAAGAGGAAGAACAATCCTAACAAAAACAATAGCTGTTCCAAACTGAAATCAGGAACAGATTAAATAAATGATAAAAAAAAGGAATAAAAATCCTTACAAAAACAACAGCTGTTCCCAATTGAAATCAGGGGATGGTACTGGTAGAAAGAAAATGTGTCTAAAACCTAGAGAAATTTTTTTTTTAAAAAGAGGAAGAACAATCCTAACAAAAACAATAGCTGTTCCAAACTGAAATCAGGAACAGATTAAATAAATGATAAAAAAAAGGAATAAAAATCCTTACAAAAACAACAGCTGTTCCCAATTGAAATCAGGGGATGGTACTGGTAGAAAGAAAATGTGTCTAAAACCTAGAGAAAATTTTTTTTTAAAAAGAGGAAGAACAATCCTAACAAAAACAATAGCTGTTCCAAAGTGAAATCAGGAACAGATTAAATAGGCTAAATGATAAAAAAAAAAGGAAGAACAATCCCAACAAAAACAATAGCTGTTCCAAATTGAAATCAGGAACAGATGAAATAAATGATAAAAAATTAAGTAAATAAATGACCAGGCTACACAGGATACAAATTAATTTATAAAAAGGTTAAAAGCTTGTAAAACTAGTTAAAAAAATTTAATCACCATATCACATTTGATGACATTTCCAGGAAAAGACATACCGCGTGATGTTACTTACTTTTAGAAGAAAAAAAACAGCGAAAGAATTACTGTTACCGAAAAGCAACAAAGGTCTCCTCAGGAAACTGGGTTTTTCAATCGAGCAAAAAATAAAAGAACTAGGACAGACAATTCCCACTAGAAATCACAAGAAGCTAGGAAAATCTTTGGCAAGGCTGCATTACGTTCTTTATAGATTTGGCCTTTACTGCATGTACATCCACGGGGACTCTGTTTTCAATCACAATAAAAGTAGCGTCAATGCTCACTGAAAGAGCAGTGAAAAGACACAAGCCAGGCTCGCGAAATCGGCTGCCCAACGTCCCCGGACAACCAAAATATTTTGTCCGACAACCAAAAGTTCCAGGTTGTCAGAGCCAGTCTGTCCAGAAGAAAAATATGCCAAAGTTTGATTAACTTATATCCTGAATTTATTGCATAATAATAGCTCGATGGAGAGGTATCGAGCACTGTGAATTGTGATAGAAGACGATTTCATTGGATATATTTTTTTACGTGAAGTTTTTATGTACTTTGTTTTCTGTGAATTTTGAGATGTATGCACAATTTTCGTGTTTTGTTAGAAACAAAAGAAATTGCTCAAAATCTTCAGAAGGGTGCATAAGGCCAAAAAAAAAAAGGCTCCGGTTTCTGGTATGGAGCTTGCCCACAAAGTGGTGCGGCGACGCGGCTTTTTTTTTTTTTTTACCTGATTTTTTTTCTTCAAATGTCGGCTGATGACTTCAAATGGTGCCCGACTAAACTTAGTGCAAATATATGGGAGTCCAGAGAGGCCACATAAAGCTTATTCTCGACCATAACCCAATCTAAAAACACGTTAAAATTGTGCAGCAGCAGGATTCCAGTCAAACCAGTGAGTTTGGCGGTTTTGAGACATCACCTTTCATTGAAAAAAAAACTTTTTCATTTTGCCGACGCGCATGGCTACAGTGACGCGCGCGCATACCAGAAACCGGAGACTTGGTTTTTTTTTGGCCTAACAACTAACTTGTTGAAGTTTCAGCTTAGTGAATGCCACACTAGTACTGGTACATTTTGAGAAACAGAGATGTATGTACAATTTTTGGGGTCTTGTCAGTGGATTTCGTCTCTACCGCACTTAAATAAAAAAAATGTGCCCGCAGGCAAACTTTCTTAAGCCACCTGATTCAGTGACTGTTGTCTTCTGAATGATACCATTTCTGCACCCGATTTCACGAAGCACCGCGACGCGACGCAACTCAAGTTACGACGTGTAACACGTCGCAACTCGCAACGCGTCGTATAATCCATTTCGAGAAACATGCGATGAGTTGAACACGTCGTTACGGCTAAAAACGCGCCATAAGTTACGACATGTCTATGGTCATCGCAAAATAAGTGGCGTCCTTTTCTAAGCCAATTTTATGCCATATACATAACATAAATGAGATTATAATACCGTGGCAATGTGTGTCAAATTGTTAATAGACAATTGCAGTTGAAATTTCAAAGTAGCTATGCAGTCCAATGACAGCTATTTTCTTTAAAATTGCATCACACAGCTGCCATTTTGTTTTACGTTTTAACAAATTTCGAGCGCAGATCCCGCGACTCTTTGCTGAAAATCAGAGGACTATTTACTGTATGCTGACAGTATACATAAACCAGTCATCATAAATTACGATGAATTTCATGAAATCGGGTGCAGGCAGAAAAATTTCACAGGATTCCTATCTTCAATTTGAGCAAGGATGTCCTCGTTAAATCGGTAGGTACGTTTCCGGGTAGTAAATGCAAATGTCCCCACGTGCCTTTAATTGAAATCTTCAGAGTAATTTAGTTCGTGGTTGGGTTACTTGGAAAATGCAAGTGTGAAACGGGTGGAAGTTTAACTTTGCTCTGTGCATTGCTTGAAGTTTTTGAATGGTTTTGAAACGGACGGTGTACGGCCGACTCACTTTAACGAGGCCTCGTGGATGTTCTGCGCTATGACGGTGTCCTCCACCTGCATCCAGATTTCACCGGTACCCGTCACCGACTGTCTCCCGACCTCCATGAAGAAGAAGCAGTCCGAGTGACCGCACCGCCTGATGGCTGAAAGCTGGAGCACGAAACAAAACGGGAAATAAATGTTAAATCAAAAATTTGACTTTCTTAAAATTGTAATACTTGGTTTTGTCTTTCCATCATCCGAAAGCTTGGAAGACAACAAAATTAACGAGCTTACTTGGGTGGGACTCAAACCCACAACCTCCTGCTTACTAGTGCGAGTGTCATAACAAGCCAAGCATGAAACCAAACGGGAAATAAACCCTGACTCTTTTAAAATTGTAATACTTCGTTTTGCCTTTCACCATCATCCGAGAGCTTGTAAGACAACAAAATTAACAAGCTTACTTGGGTGGGACTCGAACCCACAACCTCATGCTTACTAGTGTGAATGTCGTTGAAACCCAACCACCAAGCTCGATAGAAATTGAGAGAATTAACAACTGTGCAGAAACCTAATGCATATTCTTTGCACGTGTACTTTTTTCAAAGTGCTCACCAAAGTATTTACATAAATTATGCGCAATCCTAAAAAACCTGTAAATTTTTTCCAAAGATTTGGATAAGTTAGGGTAAATAAAGCAAAACAAATTTGAAAAGAGTTCTTGTAATTCTTGTACCCTAAACAAGACCCTAAAAAAGTGGAATTCATCCTTGTGGTTTGCAAAGTCTATTGAAAAAAAGGTGTGAAAAATAAATGATAAGTTAGGGTAATATATACATATTGATATGTATCAAAATTGCTCCAACAAAAAAATTAACACATCACAAATTGAGGCTTTCATTTTGTTCACTGTTGCCTCTCAGGATAATTTCTCCATTTTTGTTTCCCCTTTCATTCCACAAAATGACAAAGTGAACTAACAATGATAGAATGCCAATGAGAATAATCAGCAACTTAAAGGGAATGTACATCATTTGCTTTTGCTGTAATTTTCAGAAATGAACTATTTGAGGGGTTAGTATAATAGATCAAATATTGTTACACTGACATGTTTGAAGTTTTGTGTTCGAAAATGCTGGAAAAACAAAGAAAAACAAAAATGTTCAAGTAGTCTGGTTCCTTGACTCCACTAAAGATAAAATGGATCAATTTATAGATGCCGGAAAATTGTAAGGTAAGGGAACCAGTCTAGCTGGCCTGCACCCGTTCATGAACATGTATGTAACCAATAGCAAACAAAATTTGGACCGAAAAAAGTGTAAAGTTGGAGCAGTAGTTGAAAAATAGTTAGGTTTTTCCAACGGTGGTCTGCCGACCACCGTTGGAAATGTATACAAAAATACCATTTTCTTGAAAATGACTTCACACCAGGTGCCATTATTTTACAGGATGCTTTAGACTGTCATTTACCAACATCCTAGTAAGGTATTTCGTAAAAACCTGTTCATTTTCGATGTTTTCAAATGTTGTATATTCCCTTTAACAGCTAATACATGTAAATCAGTATTCGTAGGATAGCTGGTCTACAAGTTTACATTGGATCAGTTACAATTGCCTCTCAATGAAATTAATCTAGAATTCAGCCGATTGCTAGGAACGACGCCGAGTTTCGTACATGTGTGTAATCCAGCACACGCACGTGTCTTCATTTTGCCCTAATACCAGGGTAGAGGTGTAATTTTTCGGATAGGCATTTCCTGTTTTTCTGGACATTCAGAAGCCTCAGGAATATTTCCTCTTTTTTTTTGGCGTGGGATATTTCAGTCCTTACATGTACGCTTTTTTTTTCTTCAATCAAGTATGCTGACGCTCGCGACACCCTTCAGGGAAAAACTGACAACTGATCTAATAAAAAATCTAAAGAAAAAAAAGTCTGATCGTTCGGCTGTCTCAAGAACTATCCGTAAACAGGGTGGATCGGACAAATCAATATTTGCGTGGGGTGAGGGGTCAGTCAACAGACTAGACAGTGATGTACAGAAACCCAGGGGGGAGAAACGCGGCGAGGGTTAATTCAATAACTCCGTTTACTCTCCGTCGACTAAATGACTAAAATAAAAAGCCGTTTCTGAAGCCTGGGTGCGTTTAATTTAATCGTTTTTTCAATTAATTGGGAAAACCTTACAAAGAGGAAAACCAAAAGGATGACATTTTGAGGTGACTATTTTGGTGAGGTTTTTCCTCGTTACCATGCAGGTGCAACGGAGTACCGAAGTGAATACGTCACGCGCACAAAAAAGTGTGTAAGACATTAGCACGTGATTCAGCCGGTGAACCAACACGCGCGCGTACTCCATTCGTTTGCACTACACTTTATGGTTCTAAATGATGTCACACTTCGGTACTCCACATGGTATTGCCAAGGCAACTATAAGACTTTACAAATATTTTTTGTATGTACATGTACGTATGCAAAGGGCATGCTCTATACAGTATGTAGATATGTATTGAGGCATGCAACTTGGAAAACTTGTACAAAAAAAGAGGAAATGCCTAGCTTTACAAGACTTTATACATAAAATGTAGTGTTTTTCAATTTTTAATTAATGGCGTACGTGTGAAGTGAAAAACGAGGAAATCAGCTGATCCGAGGAAAAGTTGCATGCCTGTACATGTATTTAGCCTATAAGCCTCTTCGGAGTTCCAACTGCGCATTCATAACCTGTGACAATGCGCATTATTTGTCTCAAATGGCCTTGACATCATCGCGCCACTGACTTTACAAAAAGGCTGTTTGTGCATTGTGGGTACTGTCAAAGGGCATTTGAGACAAACAATGTGCATTGTCACAGGCTACGAATGCGCGCAGTTGGAACTCCGAAAAGGCTTATTAGAGTAAAGTCAAGCAATATACCATACATAGTACATGTACACTTATCTCCAGTGATGTAAAAAAAAAAATTCAAAGCACAGGAAAGATTTGCTTGGCAAAAATGGTTTACCAGCTAAACTTCTAATGAAATGTACATTGTAATGTACACACCGTATGCGCTGGTTCCCTGCTGTCTTATTTCCTGAGAACATTAATTTGAGAATAGTTTATGAAATTCACCCCCTCCGAGTACCAGCCACAGGAAATACAGATACCGGTAAGCATGCGACTTGACAATATTGGCTGGTAACCCATAGCTCAAATGAAAAATTCCCCCCTCTTTTTTTTAATATTTGTGTACTCAAAAATGCAGCTCTAAATGTATGGTCCAACTACAAACCTCCTATGCAAACATACACTCTGTGCCAAGTACCGTACATGTACATGTACTGTAGCCATTTCAGTCAAAATCGAACAAGTGACAGTTTTCAACAGTTAAAGGGAAGATACAACATTTGCAAACATCACAAAACGAAATGATCAAATTATCATGAAATACCTTACTGGATTGTTAGGGAATGACAGTCTAAAGCATCCTGTAAAATCGTGGCTCCTGGTGTGCTATCATTCTCAAGAAAAATGGTATTTTTCCAACGGTGGTCGGCCGACCAGCGTTGGAAAAAACTGGCTTTTTTCAAAACCTGCTTCTAATTGTTCATAATTAGTTATTCATCGTTTTCTTTGCAATTGATTGCCGACTGTGAAGGGGTACAAGCCTGCTAGACTGATTCTCTGACTTTACAATTCACAAAAGTCTATAAATTGCTCTGTTTCATCTTAAGTGGGGTCGGGGAACCAGACTACAAGAATATGATTGGTTTTCTTAGTTCTTCCAACATCTACAAGCCCAAAACGTGAAACAAGTGATTTTAACAGTATTTGCTATAACATACTAATCCTCCAAACCCATTTATTTCTGAAAATTGCAGCAAAAGCTAATGTTGTACATTCCCTTTAAGAATTCCCAGCCTAATACATGTATAAGATCGACTGGCTGGGACTGTTAAGTAACTTGACACAGCTATGCTTTGACTCCGGGTGAGTGATAAAACAGCTGTGACCACAACTTGCCTGCTTTGTCTGTTGACCCAGTTTGACTAGTCACAGTGCTTGCTTGACATATGATCTGACTGCTGGTGACTAGCCTTTGTTAAAAGTATAGCAGGGGAAGTGGAAGTGAATTTTGACTGTCTGTGACTGTTTAAATAGCAGACGGGTTAATTTACATTTACAAGTAACTCTTGAACACGTTGGGTATGCATGGTATACATGTAAATAGCATATTTCGCTTTCGTCGTCCCGCAACGAACGGCGCAAAGAAAGCATGTAGGTGTGAAAATGTCACACTCGCACTTCGCCGACACCTTGACAGAACTGCTACTTTGCCTAAAAGCGACATCGAGTCCCACGTCGCCGTGAATACACACAAGACCTTGACGACAATTAAAGAATGTTTCCGTGTCTCGTATCACTCTCAAAAAAATAGCTCTAAAAAAAAAAAAAGCATGCTACTCTCCCCACAGAAAAAAGAATTGATTACCCCTTCCCCACCCCCCCCCCCGAAAAAAAAAATGTACAAGCCCCCGGGAAATTACCCTAGAGCAATATGATCGCCTCGCCTGCATCTACCGTGCACTCTGTTACCACGGTAACACTTTCCCAGCCTTGGATACAAGGAAGAACAAAAAAAAGAACACACAGAAAATGACACTTTTTTGTATCTTGAGTATATCCGTGGGGGGAACGGGCATCGAAGTATTAAACTTAAAGTCAGCAGGGAGGCAGCTGTAGTAAACAAAGTAATCATGTCGACCTCATTTTTTTTTAAGTCTTCAATTATTGAGACAAGGCGTAACCATGGCAATTTCATAATAAAGAGACTGAAAAAAATCCTTCGCTCTGGTGACTGCGTTGTTGTGCAATTCAATTTTATTTTAACACCCATTTCTTAAAGACTTTGATTTTAGAGACAAAGGTGTATCCATGGCGATTTCGCATTTTCAACACGGACAAAAGTTTGCCTATGCTACTGACAGTGCTGCTAAATGTAATGCAATTTATTTTTCATCAACCATCGGTGAACATTTTCAATTCGGCTTTAAAGCTACAGTCCATCATTTGTAATTTGTGCATTTTGTTCGTTTGAATCAACAAAAGAGTTCAAAATCTAAAGAAGGATACTGAGCAACTAACCTGATGAAGTTTCAGCTAAGCTTCAGCTGTACATTCCGAGAAAAACAGCATTCTAAGATCTCAATTTCAAATCAAAAGATACTGAATCATGTTTTGAATTCCAGCTATACGCGACGTCGCGCACTGATCCGACGAATTATAACAACCGCGTGCGCGTGTGCGTCGTTCGAATACTTGTGCGCGCTGCGCTGAATAACAAAACAAACTACTAATTTAAATTTTCCTACGGTGCTTCTTAAGAATCACCATTGGAAATGCCTTCTTTCGTTGATAACTTCAAAATGACAGCTTCCCAGAAAGAATAATTTCACAGGGAGTTTAGTCCCCTTACTATCTTTCAGCCAAGTGTGTTTTTCAACAATAATTACGCCAGTTACTTTTCGGATGGCTGCAAATGATGAACTCTAGCTTTAAGTTGCCAATGTGCTCCCCTCCCACACAAACTTTCACGTTACTATTATTTTACTGCAGAAATATCCCGTAAAATAGCCGTAAATTCACAGGGTTTTTTTTAAGTTGTTTTTTTTTAGGGGGGGTGGCAAGTTTTTCTCCTGTGGCACCATGGCTGAAGAGTCAACAGTGACATAAACGTGTCTCCAAATTGGAAACCCAGATTTTCCAAAACCCAGATTTTTCCGAGTCACGTTTCACTCCTACTGGAATCTCTCGCGACATTTAGCGCCTGCCAAAAATGGTTGAAAAAAATGCCATGCAATGCTCTCTCTGATCCTGCAAGTCTGACAACTTAAAATCCGTGCCTTGTAGCCTTCAAAACAAATTCTCTCAAAATCCAAAAATGTTTTCCATTTTTTTTCACCTCGGCTGATGGTGGAGCAGATGTTTTTTCTAGTCCTCAACTGTCTCCAACAATCTAGAAGCGAGCGTGCGGTAAAAAAAAAATCCCGCATGTAGCTTTTCAGTAATGTGTTCAGACGGCGCAACAACAAAAATTATGCAGTAAATTCTAGAACAAACTTCGCCGAGCCTAGGTTCAAAAAAAAAGGCCCACTTTAAAAAAAAAAATAGGTATTCTACGGTACATGCGTCAAGCCCTTGTGAAACAATAAGACAGTTCGTCCAGAAAGGTGAACGACTTGTTGTCTCAACGACTCGAGATCTAAAATGACTTTTAGATATTTGCACCGAATAACACACTTCGAGATCCTCTTACGATTTTTGTTTTTTTTTTCTTTTTGCAGCGTCTTCTCGGGGTAAGATTTCACAATTACCATGGCCCGATCCAGGTAAGTCTTGCTATTCTAGTTTTGTTAGCTTTAATTCCGTGACTTGAATGCCAAGCGCAGATCGAAAACGAAAAACCCCTGCGGATGTTTTTGACTTTTTAGTAACTGTTTAAGGGGAGATGATCGCGGTAGATCATATCATATTAACCTCAAAGACAGGGAGAAAATTTAAGAAACCCCAGCAGGCAAAAAAAAATATGTAGGCTGTAAGACAAGATCTTTCTACTAAAACGTGACCACTTTGTGCACTTTAAGTAACATCAAGCTCGATGTCTAGTTTTTGGGGGTTTTTTTTTCCCTTCGATTGTTTTTTCTGCAGGGAACGATGGCCGATCAGTTACAATCAGGAAACCTTTCACAGACTCGGAGAATCCTTGCAAGCAACAGACAAAAAAAAAAAACGGAGAGTGAACTTTGGCAAACAATTAAAGTGAACAATACAGAAAGCTTCTTTTTTTTCTTGGAACTTTGTAAGATTTGAGGGTGGATGGAGAGCTGAGAACATGGATAGGATAGCTGTGAACTCTTTGATGGGAATGTTTTGGTTCTTGGTTCTTGGTTGGTTCTTCTCCTAAATACTCCACGTGGGAGTTTATACAGGAGGCCAGAAACACCTTCTCTTAGCGACAAGTGTTTACTGGGTTCTTTTACGTGCACTGTACAACACACGGGACCTACGACTTTACGTCCCATCCGAAGGACGAAGCAATAATGGTTAAGTGCCTTGCTTAAAGAGCACAAGTGTCCGCCAGCGGGCTCGAACCCACGTCACTGTTGTCTCTGAAACACCAGAACATGAGTCCGGTGCTCTTAACCGCTAGGCCATGACACTCCATATTCAGTAGACCTACATGTATGTTCTGGGCGGTCCATCACATCGTTATGGGAAAGTTTTTTATTACTAGGCAAATTTGGACTGAGTTGTGGGGACTTACAGTTGCTAAAATGCAATTTACACCGTAACGCTGAAGAGCTCGCCGTACGCTCTTGTATCTTGCTGTATTGATGCATCGATGTGATAGTATTATCGTGCGGACTTTTATGAACAATCTGAACAGCGACTTTCAAGATTTAAATTTTGGGCTTGAGTTTCTTTATCGGGTTCCGGGTACCAATGTTTTTTAATCGGATACCCATTCCCGTGCTTCCCATTAATGCACACCCGTACCGTTGATGCTGTCGTAATCCGGGATGCGACGTGTCTCTGCAACGAAATTTCTTTTTCTCCCTCTTTCTCTCTGAACAGTGGGATCAAATTTGAACTTTCATTCCATCCTAACACTGCAGCTTACTTCTTGTACTATCGTCAGCTTTCAAGACGTGCAAGAATTGGAAGATGACTGAAGACAGACTTGAACTCTATCTTAAAGGTTCAGTCCATCACTTGCAGCTATCCAAAGAGTAACTGACAAAATTATGTTTGAAAAGCATACTTGGTTTAAAGATAGTAATGGCACTAAACTCCCTGTGAAATAATTCTTTCTGGCATGCTGTCATTTTGGAGAAAACAATTAAAGAAGGTCATTTCCATTTAGATGCTTCTTTGGAAATTTTTGTTAGTAGTTCATTTTTAATTCGACAAAGCCGTGAATGTTTGCGCGCAAGTGTTGACACGGCACACACACACGCCCGCTTGCTATAATTCGTCAGTTCAGTGCGTGACATCACGTAGCTGCAATCGGCTGAAAGAGAACGTGTCCCGGACGCAGATTTCGGGCGCAATTCAAAATATGATTCGGCAACTTTTGAATTGAAATCGAGATCCTAGAATATTGCAATGTTTGCTAAAACTTCATAAGGTTAGTTGTTGAGCACCCTTCTTCAGATTTTGAGCACTTTTGTAGTTTCAAACGAAAAAAATGCACAAATGACAAATGATGTACTCTACATTTAAGTTGCCAAGATGGTGGAAAAATCTACAGTATACATTGTTTCCTGTTTTATGTTAATTTGCCTAATTCCAAGGATTTGCCACAGAATCTCACCCTAACTTTTTGGAACACTGGATTTTCCTTTCCAATTTTTTTTCCTCCAAGATAGACCTTTACACGAAGCTTGGATACATGTACGTTCTGCTAGTCACATCTTATTTCTCTTCCAATTCGATACTTACGGAAAATTCTAAGTCCTCGTTTTCACAGTTCATCTTGACGAGGTTGACCGTCGTGGTGGTCAGGCAGAGTCGATAGTTCCCGCTCAGCCCTTTGCTGGAACCAAGTCCCTTGGGTTTCACTGTTACTTGCCAAACGTGTTCTGCATCAGAAAAATATAGGCCTAAATTCAATAAATCACACCCAAAAAAAAGGAAAAATAGAAGTTTAACTCTAACCACCCCAACTCCATTAAAATCCATCCTCCCATTTTGGTGGATTTTGGGGGACTTGGTCCAGAAGGCCTGGCGTGACTAAATATTGATGGAGTATGATGGACTTGGGCCTAATGGCCTGAAGCAGTGCTAGGGGTATCGGATTGATTTTGCCTAGCTTCCTGTACTGCTATTGTGATAAAAGCCATGTGTGGCAAGTCCATGAATGTCAACCAGTGAGTCAGTGGTGGATTCCATTATGTCATGTACAGTTTTGTATTGGATGCACAGTGATTGATGGATTTTGATGGACTTGGTCCAGTTCCTAGTAAAAGAGCTAGGGAGTTAGGGTTGAGGAGAAGATGATATTATATTAAGACATCCCACATTTTCTGAACTTTTTGCACAAACAAAAATGGATCAGGTTGGCACAGTGGTTCTTTCCCCGCCTTCCACCTCTTTGTCCCGGGTTTGATTCCTGCCCTGGTCCACATTGGGTTGGGTTTCAGTCCCTACCTGATTTCGGGGTTTTTCGATATCATTCTACTTGGTTTTCCCCGGAAGTCTTAAACTGTGATTTCTTCATTGTCTTCTCTCTACAGGTTTCTTCAGCATGTTCAGGCTTGCCAGCTACAGTGCCTAGGACACTTTTTGAGGAATCCTTGCTTGGTTTCATTGCCAGAAATTAACCTTAATAACTCCCTAGGCATTTTTGCTAGGATGCAATCTCAATCCTGCAAAATCCTCCAACTGACTCCACGTAAAAATTGCATACAGCCTCAATGCTGCAAAATCCTCCTTTATTTCTTGAATGTGGTCCTTGGAGGGGTGACCACTGCCTCAATCCTGCAAAATCCTCCAGCAATCACTGTCAATATGTTGAGGCAGAGCCAGCGACATCCTGGAGCAGTGCAGAGGATTTCAAGTATAATGTAGGCCTAAATCTATGCATGGCTGAGCATAAACAACACAAGGTCCGGCCCAAGACCTTGACACAGTGCATCCTCCAAAATCAGCCATGTACACATTTGTGTCATACAGCCTCCATCCTGCAAAATCCTCCATTTTGCAAAGAGGATTTGGGAAGGTTAGGATTAATGTTTTAACATTCTTGTATTCTTTTTCTTCTTTTTTTTGAGAAAATTTAAAAAAATCTTGAGTAATTACCGAAAGCGGGCATGGGCATTCCGTCATTCTCCGCCTGCTGCTGAAGCAACAACTCCTGCAGCCACTCATTGAGGGAGTTCTCGTCCTCCGCGACCACGACGAAGCAGTCGTCGCGCGTGTAGAGCGAGAGGGCGTGCTTCTGCTTGCTGTCGGTCTTCTTGTTGATGTTGAAGCACGTCTTGAGGTCGATGGTACGCTTGCAGAGCGCGCCGGCCCGGAATTTCTTCTCCGTGTCGTAGTACTCGAGGCGGGCCGGGCCTGAGCTGCTCTCACAGCGCAGCACAAAGAACTTCTTTCGCATCGTCTGAGAGAAGAAAAAAAAGGTTAAAAAAGTTGATTTGAAAATGCCATCATATTTTAGAATCAACTTCAAATGTTGTATTACGGAGTGCGCCAAAAAAGTGCAACATTCAGAAAACAAATAATTAAAACTGTTTAGTGTTTTTTCCCCTTCAATGAAATTATACATACCGGTACTTGTATGTTTTCCCGGCTATTCCTTTATTGAAATTCGTCCATCAACATCGTTTTAGTGCACTTCAAATGTTTACTTTCATCTTCTGTCATACAATTTCAAATTTAGTCCAAACAAATTCAAACAATGAGCACACATCTTCGACCCGGAGTATTCAATTTCCTCCTGTCTACGCCAAACCTTGTTATTTAATCTGTAATGACGAATATTCTCGACCTGGTGACTAAAGAGGGTGACCAAACTTTATAACTGAATGGTAAATGACTAATTTGGTTTCGTTAAAAGTGTGTGAAATTTTTCGCGGACGAAATTGAATGTTAGAGTTGGTGAATTTGAATGAGAAACTTGTATTAAAATACCAGTAGCCGGGAAAACCTATGTCTGACTTTTTCTCAATCCACTCCTTTTTACCCCATTCCAATTGGGTCCCTAGAATCCAGGGACCCAATTGGAATGGGCATTTCTGGATCTAGTAGATCCAGAAATGCAACCAATTAAGTGAAAGGGTGTAAATTTTGCAATCACACGTGTACAGCCTCAATCCTGCAATATCCTTCGTTACTTTTTGAATGTGGTCCTTGGAGGGGTGACCACTGCCTCAATCCTGCAAAATCCTCTGGCAATCACCGTCAATATGTTGAGGCAGAGCCTGTGACATCCTGGAGCAGTGCAGAGGATTTCAAATATAATCTAGGCCTTAAATTTATGCACGGCTGAGCATAAACAACACAACATCCAGCCTACATGTAAGACCAGTGCATCCTCCAAAATCAGCCACGCATTTCTGCCATAACCTCAATCCTGCAAAATCCTCCATTTTGCAAAGAGGATTTGGGAAGATTTGGGAAGGTTACATGTTCATGTAGGATTAAAGTTCACGATTCCTTAAACACAATCTTCAATTTTAACCATGTTAACGAATGAGTACATTCACATTGCAACCTTTGCATTAAATTTAGAATATAGCCTGTCTCAAAAAAAATGGTACAATCGAAAATGATTTTTTTTTTCAATATTAAATCTCAACATAAGTAAGTCGTTTTGAGCATCACATTAAAGAAAAAAGACCAGGCTTTCCAATACTTTTTGTTTCATCTCATTTGCTTTTGTCAATCCAGAGATAACTCCAGTTTACTGCGGAACACAAAAATCAGGTTTGTGCCACTTTCTGGTTGAGTGAGAACGGTGAAAGAATTAGTGTATTTCATTAAAACATGCAATAAATATTTTTATTTGTTTATTATTTATGAAAAGAAAATATTTATCATTGAACTTACTATGTTGACTATTAAAGCTTGTATCGAGAAAACCAGACTTCCTTTGTGTGCTTTAATCTGTGTTTTGTTTCTTTTGCCAAGTTGCAATCTTTTGTGAGCTTCAAGACAGCATGGCACAGTACTCGAAACAACTCTGCCCATGCATAAAAATGGCACAAAATCGATTTTGGTGTATCGCACTAAATTGATTACAATGTATATCTCTGAATTGACAAAAGCAAATAAGATCAAACAAACACTATTGGAAAGCCCAGTCTTTGTTCTTTAATATTAAGCCAAGTAAGAATGACTTATTCTGAAATTTCATGTTTAACCAATTTTTTTCTGATTGTACCATTTTTTTTGAGACATTTAAAATACAGCCAACTGCCTTTCCCACATTTCCCTCAGAATATCTCGGCCCTACTATCAACAAGTGCATCTCTAATTGGGCGGAAGTTGTTGGATCAAGGTCGGGGCTAAAAATAACCTCTCCGTCCCTAATGCGGAGCTCTGTTCCATCTCCATACCTGCTTTCTACATTGCGTCGCTAATGAGAGAGTATCGCATGCCGGAGAACGTTTTCGTTGTTGTTCATGTTTGCAGGCCGGAGATGGATTCGATCAGATGCAGCGTTCAATTTTTTCTCTCTCTCTTTCATTATTGTGGTTTCATTGTGGTCTCAATGTCTGCGGCCTTGGGAATAAATCATGCATGATGGGGATATTTTTGCTCGTCTTGGTGTGTGGTATTTTGATGGAGTGGGGCTTTTGCATTGATAACATTGTGAGGGAAAAGGATGCTTTTTTTCATCACGTGTGGCTACATCAAAGGCACAAACAACATTGTCATGCATTTTTAGTACTAAAAGGATCACATTTATAACACTTTTCCAATTTGTTCATCTACCCTGAAGTACATGTACGGTACATAAAGTGTACCACAAGTCTGGCATCTCTTGTTTTTTTTATGGGGGCACAGGAGGTCAATTTTGAGGTCATGATTAGGGGTGAAAGGTCAAGTTCTGTCTGTGCACTGGATGTTTTATTTTCAGGCAGTTACAGCCCTAAGGGACCAAAGTTCAAGAAGTTAAGAAACCTCCTAAAAAAGTACACAAGTATTTGAGGGATTAGTGACACAGTTAATTATAGACCCATATCTCTAGTTTTATTTTTCTTTTTCACTTTTTTCCCATAGGTTCTGTACACGTTTCTATTCCACTTGCAAGCCACTTTGGGAACCTTTCGTAAAAATATACATGTACGATCAAGAAATATTTTGGGCAGATATTCATGCTACAGAAATTTATCTAGACAAAGCACTATTTATTTGTTTGTTTACAGCTTTTGTTTGCTTTGTTTGGTTATTTGTGTTAATTTATTTGTTTTTGTTTATTTTGTTTATCAGAATGACCGATGAATTTGTTGCAGCCATATTTAGCCTGAAAGTACATGTATAAAGAATGAAAAAATAGGGGGGGGGGATTAAATATCCAAACTGAAAAGTCTATGACATGACCTTTTTACAAACTTTTGTAGAAATTTTTAGAAATTATTGTCGTTAAAAAAAAGCAATGAAAGAATTTGACTAATTTTATTTCTCTCACAACTAACATCAACACTGAAAAGAAATTCAGCCTGGTTTCATTGATAATTGGTGAAGTTTCAATTTTCCGCACCAATTTGATTTTTACTTCTTTCGCGATGCCCCCCCCCCCCCCCCCCCCCATTCAATTGATGCACTCATGTCACGGGCACACCTTACAAAATCAATTTCTGATTTAATAAAAATTGAATTACACTCTTAAAAAGTTGTATTCATTGCAGAAATTTTGCTTGTTCTTCTTTCCCTGCAATTTAATAAACATTTGTTTAGATCTGCAACGAATATTGTTTGAATGGGCAATCGTCATGACTACTGAGAGCGCCGAGGTGTAAAGTGCTTTTGTCATTGTCTTTAAATCTTTCGATGTACTGTAAGTTTACACAAAATGGTTTGGAGAAGATGTTTTGCAAAAGCGATTTCACAAGGAAAATGCTGAGAGAAATTCATGTGTAAAATGACGCACGAGTCATGACGTAATTGTTAAAATCTGCTGAAAGCTTTATGGGGTGTGCATTTATGGGTAGTACGACAATCAGGTACCCTATTGAAAAAAAAAACACGGTTACCCAGGTACCCGGAATCATAATAATAATAATTCACGATAATCGGTGTGTCAATACAGCAAAATACAAATGTGTACAATGAGCTCTTAGCTTTTATACAAAAGTAAAAATAAAAAAAAATATTAAAGTTATAGTCCATCATTTGTAATTTGTGCATTTTGTTCGTTTGAAGCAACAAAAGTGCTCAAAATCTAAAGAAGGGTACTGAACAACTAACCTGAAAAAGTTTCAGCTCAGCTTCAGCTGTATATTTCACATCGCTTCTCAATTTCACATCAAAATTTGCTAAATCATGTTTTGAAATGCGCCTGAATTCAGCGTCCGAGACACGTTCTCGCTGAGCTTAATGCAGCTACGCGATGTCGCGCACTGATCTGACGAATGATAGCAACCGGGGGTGCGTGTGCGTCGTGCCAATGCTTGGGCACGCTTCGCCGAATAACAAAACGAACTACTAATTTAAATCTTCCTACGGTGCGTCTTAAAAAGCACCGTTGGAAAGGCCTTCTTTCGTTTATTACTTCAAAATGAGAGCTTGCCAGAAAGAATAATTTCACAGGGAGTTTAGTCCCCTTACTATCTTTCAACCAAGTATGTTTTTCAACAATAATTATGCCAGCTACTTTTCGGATAGCTGCAAATGATGGACTATAGCTTTAAGAACGGCTCCATGAGAACAGAAACTGCTTTCAACATGTTCCACAATTTCCAGCATTTGTTTGATTGGTCATGCCTTTTCCAGATATCCGGAAATTAACTTATTAGACCGGCTGATAGTTTTACCACGGGTGCCGTGACCAGTTGAATCTAGTAAGGAAAATGTTGACAGCTCGGACTCCGACACACGTAAATAATATGCGTGTGGTCAAACGCTTTTGGGCTGCAGGCTAATGCTAACATCTGCTTGCCCTGTATTCAATTTACAAATTAAGATCGTGGCAGGTTTTTTTTCGGTTATAAACTTGTTTTCATGACATGATTTCCATCATGCTCACGTCTTAATTGTTTGCTTGAGTTGTGTTTTTGGATTTTTTTGGGGGGGGGGGGAGGTGGAGGATTTTTTAGGGGGGGGGGGTGAGTTTGTTTTTGCATTCAATAGGGGACGTTGAACAATAGAGCATAGGGTCCACAATTCCCAAAGGTCCCCAATTTGGCGATCGTGTACAAAACATATGGGAGGTCTTCCTAAAAAGTTAGTGTACAAACAAAAGAGGGACAATAGGGGGTCCACGATTGCAGGCAAATACACACTTGTGTGTTTTGGGTTCTTTTTTGGGGGGACGGAAGTGTGTGGGGGGGGTCTGTTTGGGTCTTTTGAGGTTGAGGGGGGGGGGGTAATTGTGGTTTTTGGTTTTTTTTTCTCTTTTTTGAGGTTTTTTTTTCCTTTTTGTTTTGTTTTCAGGTTTGGGTTTGTTTCTTTTGGGGCCATTGGGGGTGCAACAGAGGTCTGCTAAGCACAAGAATTTGCTACATTCAGTATTGAATCTCAGCTCAGCTAAAATGAAAACAGATAACTTGCAAAAATATAACTTAAGTGCAGTTCCTGTGCCTTGATCTCAGGAGATTTTTTATTTTTTTTAAATTTATTTATTTATTTGTATTTATTTATTTGTATTGACATGTATTTATTCATTATGTTATTTTTTTTGGGGGGGGGGGGGAGGGCAGAGGAATGCAATGCTTCCTGCTGGAAGTTTCTTCACAACCTTTGCTTCTAGTTGACGCTAAGTGTTTGTCTGGTTTTTATGGGGACGGAAACAATCACTAAGCCAAAGGTTCGGGATGTGTACTTTAGACGACAAGATCCTTTTGTCCGCGCTAAACATTCAACCTGGCGTCAAGCCAATCTGCCATTGTCGAGCCTGTTCAAGTATTTACAATTGCGCACCGCCGCACAATGGTTGTTGTTCCGAAAGCGGAATGCCGCACTGTGCAAAGTCCAAGTGGATGTCGCTTTATTTGAAAAAAAATATATTTGAGTGCTCTTCTGACAAGGATGACTAGTGTGTTTGCCAGATTGCTGTAGTATTTATACTTCTGGCACAAAAAGAAACTTTGTATAATCATCCTTGTTTCAACATTTCTCGGTGAACAAAACAATTGGAAATTTATCTTTTGTCACAGAAACTTTCCGGTTCAAATTTGATACATGTACCTCACTTGTAACACTGTGTAAGAAATAACGAGAGCGCAAGCGCTGAAGCTCCTGAAAATCCCAGAACTAAAAGTTGCACTTGGCGAGATTTTCAATGGGCATTGCAACACACAATTGAATGCGGGGCCTGCATCATTGCATTTAATTGTGTGTTGCAACGCCCACTGAAAATCTCGCCAAGTGCAACTTTTAGTTTTGGGGTATCAGGAGCTTCAGCGCTTGCACTCTCGTTATTTCTTACACAGTGTTTCAAGTGAGGTATCAAAATTGAAACGGAAAGTTTCCTCGACAAAACGTACCGGTATATGTCAGATTTTTTGTTCACCGAGAAATTATGTCCAAACAAGGATGATTATGAAAACTTCTTAAGTAGTAAACTTCTTTTTTGTGCCAGGTGTATGTGTATGTTATTAATCCAAACCCTCCTCAATCCTCCAAAATACTTTTTGCAAAATGGAGGGTTTTGCAGGATTGAGGCTGTGTATGCCAAAGTGTGTGACTGATTTCGAAGGATGCACTGTTTTCAAGGTCTTTGGTTGGACCTTGTGTCATTTATGCTCAGCCGTTCATAAATTTAGGCTATATACTTGAAATCCTCCGCACTGCTCCAGGATGTCACTGGCTCTGCCTCAACATATTGACAGTGATTGCTGGAGGATTTTGCAGGATTGAGGCAGTGGTCACCTGCCAAGGACCAGATTCAAGAAATGGAGGATTTTGGAGGATTGAGCCTGTATGCTTTTTTACATGGAGGCAGTTGGAAGATTTTACAGGATTGAGGTTACATCCTAGCAAAAATGCCTAGGGAGCTAGGGTAAAGAGCATTTTTCCTAAAATTTGTCAAATATTTTTTTTAATTCTCCAAATGACCACATTTCTTTGTTCAGCAGATTATTACAAAAAGTTGTTATTATATTAAAATTAATTCATCTAACATACAATACCAACCCTCTCTTTATCCCCCCCCCCCCCCGGCTTTTCCCCTACAACCCCCCCCCCCCCCCAGCCCTTTACTGAACTGATCCAAAAATAGTCAAACGCACCGAAACTGGTAAACACCACTATCATATTGCAGGGGGGGGGGGGGGGGGCAAATTGCCAGACTATTTAAAGCATGTAATATAACTGTTCCTACAATGGCAATCACGTCGTTGGCGATGTCTACGGCGAAAATGAAGATAAAAGAAAACAGGGACGAGTTTTTTATTTGAAATTGTGCCAAGGGAGATGCAGACGAGAATGTAATGTAAACGATACCCGTCAAAGTAGCGTCATGTATCTCTCACTTGTGTACACAGTGGATGCATTTTCAGTTTGGTTTTTTTTTTTAATTCTAGTTCATTTTTTTTTCTGAGGGCAATCATCAATCATGATTAGGCAAGTCAGAAATAAATGGTTAAAGTTATGTTTTGGTTTTTTTACCGGTAGGGTGCGAGCCATCTTAAATCGTTATATTTCCAGTAGACTTGCATACAAAAATGCGAGGCAATTTTCACGCTTTAAGTAACAGTAGCGTACAACATTTGCAAACATCAAAAACAAAACTTACATATTGTTATGTAATACTTTACTTGACGGTAAGTGTAAATAGTCTCAAGCATCCTTTGAAATCATGGCACCTACTATTGTTTTCAAAAAAAGTGGAATTTTGTATCAATTTCCAATGATGGTCGGCTGACCAACCTGGGGAAAAAAACCCTCAAAAACTGCCCCAAATTTACAAAATTAAGTTAGTCCACATTTTGTTTGCAATGGTTCCCCGACATGACAACCCCCTGACTTCCATGAATTGCTTTGTTCCGTCTAATTTGGGTCAGGGAACCAGACTACAAGAGCAGCATTTTTTTCATGGTTTCTACAGCATCTATGAACACAAAACTTTAAACAGGTCGGTGTAACAATATTCGCTATAAAATACTGACCCCTGAATCTGTCCATTTCTAAAAATTACGGCAAAAACAAATGTTGCACCGACATTGCTTTTCCAATTCAAATGAAACAAATTTGTATGGATACAAATATATTTTCATCAAAATCGCTCACTTTAACCACTTTTATCAAAACTGACAACTTGTACTCAGCGCAAAGTGGTGATTGTAAATTTTGACGTGATTGCAGATTTGCCATCTACATATGTACAAAGTGCGCCCTGTGTTGTGGAAAGCACGCCCCCTACAGTTTGCGCCCAGCAAACTATCACACCTTTTGACTGCCATTTTACCCAGCTGCTACATTTACATCGTTTTCACTCTACGGAAAACACTGCCTGAACTAAAATAGAAAAAGTTTATTGGTTGGTCAGCATTTGCCTAGATGATGTTCTCTGTGAGATTGTTCCAAAGTCCTCGTTGTTAAATGTAATCCCCCACCCCTTTAAAATGGAACTCTACCCCAGTCGGTGTTCGCAATGACTCCCAACGATCATGTCTCCGAGCTGACCGTAACCGGCGACGGTGGAACCCGATGCGGCCGCGAGGCCCCTCAATTGATTTTTAACCGGTGGCTTGCGTCTCGGCCGGTAACCCGCACTGCTGACATGGCCCGGAGGCGGGCATCCGGTGAAACCATTCACGCTTAAAGGAATGCTTGTGTTTCTTTCAAATTGCTGGGTCCATTTGTTGCCTGGATTTTTTTATGTTTTTACTAAATTTTTACAAACTTTTTTTGCAAAACAATTTTATAAAGTATGCTCCTGCCTCCCACAAAAATTGTTCGGGGGCGGGCATACGATGAAACCATTCACGCTTAAACTTACAGGAATGCTGGTGGTTTTTTTATTTTTTTTTTTTTATTTTTAGGTCCATTTGTTGCCTGGATTGTTTATTTTTTACTATTACAAAATTTCTTTGCAAAACAATTGTTTAAGTTTACTCCCACCCCCGCCCCTTTCCTTCAATTACTGTCAACAGCTGTTACAAAAACTTTCATTAACCCTAACTCCCTAAACATTTTTGCTAGGATGCAACCTCAATCCTGCAAAATCCTCCGTTTGCCTCTCTGTAAAAATGGTATGTCAGCCTCAATCCTGCAAAATCCTCCGTTATTTCTTGAAAATGGTCCTTGGAGGGGTGACCACTGCCTCAATCCTGCAAAATCCTCCAGCAATCACTGTCAATATGTTGAGGCAGAGCCAGTGACATCCTGGAGCAGTGCGGAGGATTTCAAGTATAATCTAGGCCTAAATGTATGCACGGCTGAGAACAAACAACACAAGGTCCGGCCAAAGACCTTGACACAGTGCATCCTACAAAATCAGCCACACATTTTTGCCACATAGCCTCAATCCTGCAAAATCCTCCATTTTGTAAAGAGGATTTTGGAGGATTTGGGAAGGTAAGAGTTATATTGCGCGAAGATTTTTCTTTCTAAAACTTTCCAATTACCATTTTAAATGTTTATGAGTGACCTTCCCCATCTCTAAACAAAACAAAAAAAGCCCAAGACTTTTTTTTTTCATTTTGTCCTAAAAAAAATATTTTGGGGGGGTTAATATTTCAGCAATAGACTTCTGCATAGGGCTCCTCCAACACGTAGGGACAGACCCACGTGTTCACACGAGTAGGGCCATGAATAAAAAAAAAAGTGTTTGCAAAACTGAAGAAACCAACTTTCAGAAGGCACATTCTGGATAAGAAAACAAATGAGACTAAGTGAGAGAAAGTCGTTCCAGCTTTGTAATTGCATCTTACCTTAAATTTCTTCAAGTAACCACACTTGACGATGTCCGTCCCGTCTCCGGGCCCGGGGATGTTCTCCTTCTGAGACGACATGGTGGCTACCAGTGGGAACCGTCTAAATGCCGAGTACCAGCCAAATTCCAGTCCCCTGTTTGTATCGCTGGATAACTGTGTCTTCAGGGGGTTGTTTATGCCGCCATATTCGTGTTATGATCTGGGATTGAGAGCGAACGGAGCGCAGATCCAGCTACGGTAGTTGTGACATTCTTGATTGCTTTTTCTGTAGTTTCTTCAGTGTGAGATACCTGTAAAAATATGGACAACATCACAGTAAATTTGTGTTCAACCCACAAGCACCTGCACTGCATTGTAATAATACAACGCCTGAATAAATCCCGGTCATCGGATTGGTAGATCGTTGATCACATGTCATTGAATTATTCGTCCCAATGCACGGCCCGGCCGCACCGCAAAAACTGAAGTTCTATTCCATGGTAAAAAGAAGTGCCATTGCACGGTGACACGATTGGTGGATCTGACCACTCAGATGATGAGGATTTATTCAGGTGTTGTATTAAAAGGGAATAGGCCTATACATCATTTGCTTTTGCTGTAATTTTCAGAAATGGATGGAATTGGGGGGTTGGAAATATATAGCAAATATAGTTACACTGACTTTTTTGAGGTTTTGGGTTCGAAAATGCTATAAAAACCAAGAAAAACAATCATTTTCCTGTAGTCTGGTTCCCTGACTCCACATAAGAAGAAACAGAGCAGTTTACATACATTGGGGAATTGTATGGTCAGGGAACCAGTCTAGCTGGCGTGTACCCGTTCATAGGTGTGTAATCGATTGCAAACAAGTGCGATGGTCAATTGGGGCCAGTGTTTGAAAAAAAGCCAGTTTTTTTTCCAACGCTGGTCGGCCGACCAGCGTTGGAAATTGATACAAAAATACCACTTTTCTTGAAAATGACTTCACACTAGGTGCCATAATTTTACAGGATGCTTTACACTGTCATTCACTAACAGTCCAGCAAGGTATTTCAAAATGATTTGGTAGTTTTATTTTTTGATGTTTGCAAATGTTGTATTTTCCCTTTAACAATTAATGAATGTTTCACATTTGTACTATGGAAAATATAATTTCATGAGGTGGCAGATGGAATGAGCGCAGAACGCACCAGTTAAAAATTGCGTGTGGCGATTGATAGGGAGTGTTTTACAGTAACTATTTTATATACCTGTCAAAGGCTTTAACCTGGTAAAAGGATAGAATCAATGAACCGCTGTCGAGTCGTCAAAAAAGTTACCGTCTTCAAAAAGTGGCACCTGGCAATAAAAGTGCCGCAATTTTACGATAAAATAACCTAAAAGTCATGTATGTACATGAATATTCTTGCATAGTTTCTTGTTTTTGAATATTCAAACCGGCAAAAAGTTATCCGAATATTAGATTGATGATCGAATATTCGAATATTCGGGACAGCCCTTAAAAAAAATGTGCAATATGTAAAAAGGGTGGAGAATGCAACACTATGAAAAGCAACTTGTTATACAATGTAACAAAAATTGTAACAAAGAGTATAAACATGTATACATTTGTATACATACATTTGTATACAAAATTGTACAAAACAACTCCCTATAGATGTAGAAATGTGCACAGTACTGTACAGTTGTACAATTTTCAATATGCACCTGTTTTATTGTGAAAGTAAACATTCCGATCTGCCAGGCTGCGCTTCTAAGAGTGGCTTGAAATTTAAAATGTATCAAAACAAGTTTCTGCAAGCGTTTAGCTAGATCGCAGTCGTTCGGTGGAAAATTGCGGATAGTGAAAGTAAAATTCCACTCTGTCGTCAAAGCAACAGGGAGTGACTGTGTTTCAGAGGAATTTTTTGTTTCAATCAAAACAAAAAAAACGGAGAATTGAGACAAAGAGCAGTAGGGCTGTTCCGAATAAACCGAATATTCGATCATCAACCGAATATTCGATCATCAACCGAATGATTGATCATCAACCAAATATTCGATCATCAACTGAATATTCAATCATCAACCGAATATTCGATCATCAACTGAATATTCGATCATCAACTGAATATGCGATCATCAACCGAATATTCGATCATCAACCGAATATTCAATCATCAACCGAATATTCAATCATCAACTGAATATTTGATCATAAACTGAATATTTGATCATCAACCGAATATGCTATCATCAACCAAATATTTATTTGATCATCAACCAAATATTCAATCATCAACCGAATACTCGATCATCAACTGAATATGCAATCATCAACCGAATATGCGATCAACTGAATATTTGATCATCAACCGAATATTCGATCGTCAACCGAATATTCGATCGTCAACCAAATATTCGATCTTCAACCGAATATTCGATCGTCAACCGAATATTGGATCATCAACCGAATATTCGATTATCAAATAGAATATTCGATCATCAACCGAATATTCGATCATCAACCGAATATTCGATCATCAACCGAATATTCGATCATCAACCGAATATTCGATCATCAACCAAATATTCGATCATCAACTGAATATTCGATTATCAAAATGAATATTCAATCATCAACCGAATATTCGATCATCAACCGAATATTCGATCATCAACCGAATATTCGATCATCAACCGAATATTCGATCATCAACCGAATATTCGATCATCAACCAAATATTCGATCATCAACTGAATATTCGATTATCAAAATGAATATTCAATCATCAACCGAATATTCGATCATCAACCGAATATTCGATCATCAACCGAATATTCGATCATCAACCGAATATTCAAAAAGATTTTTAACCCTAACCTTCCCAAATCCTCCAAAATCCTCTTTGCAAAATGGGGGATTTTGAAGGATTGAGGCTACATTTTTGTACATGTACACAGACAATTCCACAGAACTGAAACAAAATTCAAAAAAATCCAAATGCCACGAATGAAACATGCATATCATTTTGAAGCTTATCATCTGCACTTCATGGAACTATAATTTATTTCTCACAATGTTCAACCGTTCAGCTGTTACTTTTAACTAAAAAAAAATATTTATAAGTAGGGCCTACACAAAAAATTAATTTGTCGGAGTATGTCCGTCACCATGGTGTTTCGCGTTGATGTCTACAACAGCAAAAATGTTGGATGGACAATTTCTTTTTTAGGACAACTACCTGACCGATATGTTTAAATTGATCAGAATAAAATCCAGTCCACTTTGTGGTTACAACTGTATTATTATTACATGTATGCACACTGTTGATACGTCCAAAACGTCTGAAACCGTGGAACGGCCCACATGCGGACATGTGTACACGCAATCTATTTATTCAGCTGGGTTAGCGAAAGCATTAAACTTCAATCAACCAAATACATATATTCCTTACCTTCAAATGGATTGCTCTGATCAATATATCTAACCAATAAAGACTAGAAGCAAAAAAACTAAACCCCAAAGCAAAACAAACAGTTGTCCTGGGCATGCAGTTTTAAATATTACCTTGTGAGTACGCAAGGTACTTAAAGGGGATTAGAGGTACGGCCTGGAATCCCGGAAAATGTCATGTTTTAGATTGTTTTCCTTTCAGCCTGACCTTTGAAGTACCGACCGATAGGATAAGTATTAATCCTTTTTCAAAAGTCTGGTTGAAAGGATTAGTCTTACCGTTCCCGAGAAATGACGAACACAAACCTGGTTGTTTACATCGGACGCAGCAGACATCGGCGGGACCAAGACCGAGACCGGTAGTTTCGAGACCAAGACTGAGACCAGCCCCTTCAAGGCGGACCGAGACCGAGACCGATATGGTCCGAGACCAAGACCAAGACCGCGTAACTGACAATAATCTAAATAAAAAACATAACACATAATTACAGTTGTATGTTGTAACCTTTTTATTCACTAAGATTACAGAAATTGTTTTGACCAGTGGCAGTGTGGAAAAATTGCCAAAAATTGACTCAAGACCAGCCAAAATATTGAGACCAAAGGGGACCGAGACCGAGACCAAGACCGAGACCACAGCTCCCAAGACCGAAGACCGAGACCAGCAAAAAGTGGTCTCGAGACCAGTCTTGAGACCGGTCCGACAACACTGATAATTTGAAGCCGTGTCTATTCAATGTATCGTACACATTGTGTGCGTGTCACATAATACATATAGCACCAATATGAACCACTGTGTGGCAGGATTCACAAAGTTTCTACCGGTACATGTAGCACTCAACAGCTCGATTTTTGAGAGTCAACATTTTGACCCCTGAAATTTGTTTTCTCATCATTCTTGCAAGAATTAAACAAAAACGACCAGTTTTAAAAGGATGGTCGGTGGACGTACATTTTGTACATTTTGTAATACTTCAATTTACACATAAATTTTTCAGGGATTTTAGGCCGTAGGCCTAATGCCCCTTTAAAAGGCAACGTTCTGCTTCATTTAGGTCATTACATTGTAATTACAATGTAAATAAATTCCCAATATGTAAACCTTAAATGCGAGACACATTTTTTTTTGTACTACAGTGAGGTGGACCCTATTTTGATAAAAATGATTTGATAGTTTTTTTTTTATTCTCCCAGAGTGATACCGGGTAATTTTTGCAATTCTCAACTGCAAAATATTTATTTTCCATTTGGCACAGCGAGGTGGAACCTGTTTTTGATAAAAAGGTACTTGGTTTTTTTTTTATTCTCCCAGGAGTGGTGAGACTCTACAAGGCAGCCAAAATGGAAATCATTAATTTGTAGTTCAAGGCCACACAGGATGGGTTTCGCAGACGCTTGCACTGCTGCTACTTGTATGCTGATGGTAAAAAGATCCCGTCTGTAGGCAAATGTGTAAATAAGTGTATTGTGGCTATGTGTACTGTGTGTTGCGACATTTTAGGCCAGGCACAAAAAAAATGGTTTCTCGACATGGACTGCTTCTTTTTATCCCATCCGCCTCCTCGGGTTTTTTTTAATCATAATTTGCAATCTTTTGCAAATATACTGTCAATTTTAGGCCTGGGAGAGAAGTGGATTTTTGTACTCGAGCACTCACGAGTAGTCGAGTACTCACGAGTTGTTTACTAAATTCCCATAAATACAGAAAATACGGCATCAACATTACTGAGAAGAAAATTATTATGAATTTATAAACAGCATGGAAGACATACCACACTCTTCAGCACTGAGATATTCCACCGGGTTGGGGAACAATGTGTGACATATGACCATATTAAGAATGAATGAATGAATGCCTTGCTAGCAGTTGCTCTACGTAATATTTGTTGTTGGGTGTTTCACAACTGCAGAAAGTTTGAAATGATTTCAATGTATTTTGCCAAAAATATGAGCAAAAAATGTCATTTTGGATGTAACATTGACACCGTCTCAGTGTTATGTCCAAATGTGACATTTGTACATTGTACCTTTTTTTTTAAATTTCTGCGAAACATCACCCAAATTCACTTTGCGTACTTCTTACTATACATGCAACACAATAAGAAAAGCTTTTGTTACGGTAGTCAGGTATCAAATGGAGCAGAAATGATAACTTGGTTGTGTGGATGTAACACTGACACGGTGTAAAACCCAATGTCACACTTCCATTGAGTGATTTTTACACCGTTACATCCACACTTGAGGTATTGTTTCTGCTATATTTGAACCCTGACTATACCAAAACAAAAGCTTTTCTTGGTGCTTAGGTGTCCAGTTGTAAATATGCAATGTCAGTTTGGGTAATATTTTACATACATGTACGTGTAAAAAATGGCAAAAAAGAATATTTGGATGTAACATTGACACGGTGTCAATGTTACATCCGAATTAATACGTTTTTGCTCATATTTTTGTCAGAGTACTTTCAAATGATTTCAAACTTTCTCAAGTATTGAAACACCTTAAGACAAATATTATGTTGAGCAATTGTTAAGAATGCATTGATACTTTTAATAATATAACCAAATATATGGATGTAACATGCACTGCTTCCAAACCCGGTGGAATGACCCTAGATGCAAAAGTTAGGCTCATTTTACTTGAAAATTTATTGTTGAGAATGCTAGTGGAACCCCAAGGAAACAGATGGAGGTAGTGATTCCTTTATTACTGGGGGAGGTTACGACAAAAGAAGAGTTTGGCGCAGAGTTGTTACTTTCTTGTAAGTCAGCACTTGTCATAGAAAGTTGCTACTCGTGAGTACCTTCTTCTACTCACGCCAGGACGAGTACTCGAGTAGATGAAAAACCACGAGTAGAATTAGTAGCAAACACTACTCACGAGTAGGCCTACTCAAGTGCTCGGTTACTCGCCCAGCACTACATGTAGTCTTGTCTTTCATATTTGTTTCCAACAAAACTGTAGCTATGTAGAAAGGGTTATGGCTCCTGTGGACACAATTTTCTATGATCAGCAAAAAAATGGCAAAAAAATCCATCTGCAGTCTTGAAAAATCTGCCATCTTAGGAGCAAAAAAAATGGCTACCTCCTTCATTTTTTTTCAAAAAGCCGGGACAAGAATTAAAAAAAAAAATTTACCTGGCATTATTGTCATTTTACATTTGTCCAAATACAAGCACAAATGGTTATTCTATTTTTGCACATTAGTTAGAACTTATAGAAGTCTTTTTAACCTCTAAAAAAATCCGCAGTCATTTCGGACAAACTTTCTCTAAATTCCCCCTCAAATTTACGTATCATGTGGCTCTTAATGCAGAGGAAGCCCAGTACATGGCCCTACACTACATGATCGCCCATTTATTGGGCCAGACGATTTCTAGCAATCATCACGTTCTTGGAAAGTGGGGAGTAATTGCAGAATACCCCGCCACGCGGAAATTACCCCCTTAAAATCAACGAAGTGGCTATCGTTACGGCAGTCATTGTTTAGCGCCCTCTACGATACTTTTTTGATACGCACGCAGGTATATAATTATTTGTTTCCCCACGTTTTAGCGAGCAGTGCGACAGCTCAGTCGATAGAGGGTAGGATTTTGCACCGCGAGGTTGCGGGTTCGCATCTCAGTTTTGCACTCGAATTTTGTTCCTTTTCTAACCTGAGGCTTTGGAGGATTTTTTTTTAAAGGGAAATAAAGTCCGAATTTCATAACGTTCAATTTCACTTTTTTCCTTCTAATTTTATATTTTCTTCTCATGTTTTTATAAAAGTTGCAGTCTACCGTAACGATAGAAAATGGGAAATGCGTTACGGCTGCCGTAACAATAGCCACTGCGTAAAATAAATGGCTACGCAGTCGGAAAATGTTGCAGAAATGTCCAAAGTACATGTAGATGTCGGGAAGTGAATACGCAGATACAATATACGGGGTGGATTTGAGCGGTGGAGGGTCTAAAGAGGGCGCTATTTCCCTGTTATAAGAAATGCGGCCAGCAGGGACAACTTGAATTGAATGGGGAGCAGGGGTAAGGTTAAATAAATCTAAGTCCAAAGTAGGTGCCGGGAAGTGGATACGCGGATACGGCGATACGGGGTGGACTTTATTTTTAGCGGAGGAAAATATTTTTGAGAACGAGGCATCAATATCCATGTTGGAAAATAACGAAGGCAGAGACAACGTGAGTTGAATGGGGAGCAGGGAAAACTGTCCAAGTCCAAAGTCAAAGTACATGTAGGTGCCGGGAAGTGGATACGCGGATACGGGGTGGACTTTAGCGGACACGCACGCGTGTTGTTTTGGTTGAGCATCCAAGCGTGACTCCGTATCCGCGTATCCGGATACAAGGTGGGATAGGTGAGTGGCGGGGTATTCTGCAATTGTGCCGAAATTGGAGTTATTGAGTTATAAAATGTGTAGGCCCCCTAGCATTTAAATTAAAAAAATCAACAATTTTGACTGATTTTTAGGTGTACCATGCAATGATGCATGGAGGAATAACACCATAGGACATTCATCCAAAATTGTAGTACTGTGCAAACATGGCAAATGCGACCAACATTCAACAACCGCAACAAACACATAACAATGCCAAAATAAATATAACTAGTCATCATCATATTGCATAGGTCTCTATTTATAATGTAAATGATAGGCCAAGGCCTACTTAATTTTTGAATGACTTGTCACACATCGTCAGTCAAGCGTTCAATCGAGCCCCGCATTGCGCAAGCAAACACATTTAATCTACTCAACAACCAACGCTTAGCGCTTACGTGAAAAACACATCAATAAAATCATGAAATGGATGAAATTACTGAAAAACAATTTCGGTTCGGAATACTCACCGATAATGGCCGTAAAACAACGCTGGAATTCACCGCAAGCAGCTCGTGTGCTGCTGAAGAATTTGAAGATGACAACTCCTAGCTTTCCTGTCGCGAAAACAGGGGAGTTATGTCAAGACGTCCGGTAAATAATGGGGAATTTTCCGCTAATTTTAAGAGCAGATCGTCCACAGAAGCATGTTCAGCCAGCTGCAGGCAGCTCAGGTTTTACGCGACTTTGCTACTTGGACGGCTCGTTTAAGCGCCCAATTAATGACCGCTATGCTCGTAGGAAATCAAAATCTATCGAAAAACTACGGTCCGCTTTGTAAGTGGGAAATCTACTTTGACGTTCTTTGTAGCACAATTGGGCGCGGAAGCTCCAGCTGTGAACTGTAGGTCAAGGAGGCGTGGCTCAAACGAGACAAACAACTCGCGCCAAAGTGCGCATGCGTGATGCGCGTGTTGACAAGTTAAGTGACACTGCAGGTTGCGCGAAAATAGCACGTGCGCCGACTGTAAAAATGTAAACAAAGTTGTTTACACGCGATGAAATAGGTATTACATTTTTGTAGAAAAAAAACCCCATGTATTCAGTTTTTCAGTTGTTATGTTACAGTTCAAAAATAAATGCAATTAAACCCCATTAAATATTGTTTATTGACTTTTAAAAATTCCTTTAAACGAGACTTCATAAAAAATAAATATACCCTCATACTCCTACTGTTCTACTTAACGCTAAAATGCATGGCACCCTTATTTAAGATTAAAATTGTACCTATGACGATAACAATAATAACTTGTTAAATATTTCTTACAAGTTGCACAATTTGTTTACCTACAATTCGTTAATTGTGCTCATTTTACCAGCATGACCGCTAAAAGGACAGGGCGCCCTCTATTGAAACGTTTCTCGATCTCCACCTTAAAAAAATATATATTATGACAGATGTTGTTTGCACAACCCGTTGTGAGGTCGGTGTTTGTTTTTCCATACTTCGATTAATCTTGCAGTTTGAAACTGATGAATGATTTTACGATTGACGTAACAGCCCCAGAAAAACCAGACAGACCACAGAAAACGTTGTAAATTGTCAAAAGTACGTGTCACCTATCTATATCCGCCAGAAGGTGGCGCTGTCCAACTCAAAGAAGTTTTACTTCGGGGTGCACCTCAGTATAAAAAAAATCCATAGACACTAGTGTTAAATCCCCATACTTAAAAAAATTCTTTTTAAAATACTCAGAACTCTCACAGGTGTTCAGGCTGCACAGAAAAATGGTGATCCACATGCTGTCTTTCATTTTCCTTTTCAATTTTTGGTGGGTTGACAAGTGACTTTTTGGAGAAATTCTCAGCCAAATAAGATCACCCCTAAAACTACTGATATTTTCAGAACTGGAAAAGTAGCCATTTAAAAAAGGATCTCTCCACCACATGGCCTAAAAGCGCCACAAAATGCTCAGAATTCGAAACCTCAAGTCCAGGCCAGAGGTGCAGTGCCATGTGTCTTCAATTCCCCAATTCCATGGCTCTCAGAACTCTCCATAGAATAATTTGAGTGTATAACTTTTATTCATCAGGATTTTTGGCCTATTTACTGGGGTGTACCCTTGATTGGATAACCATACCACTGTGTACTCCAATTCACTGTCTGTGTACAACATCCTGATAATGTGTTTTCGTTTAAGATTGTTGTTTCCGATGTATTAATAGAACAAATCTAGTCCTCGTTTTGTAGCACATTGAGTTTGCAGTATCGTGACATTCAAAAACGATAAGACAAAGACTGCGGTGATTTTAAGTGTAGCCAATGTCAGGAACCGGCCATGTTACTTTCAAAAGTTTAGGCCTATTTAGGCATTACTAGATTACTGGAGTTGTATTTCTCGCTTTTAACACACTACATTGTTTTTGTTTTTAAAAAATCCCATTGTTTAATGATCTCTGTTAACTTTCAAAGCCATTGTGGCATAATATCACGACCAACCAGTGGACGAATTTCAATTGAATGAATCATGAATTTTTTTGAGTTATCGTCCCGCAACAAGTGCGTTTTTTTTTTGTTCAATGAAAGCATTATAATAATATGATCGTAACAATCTAGTGTTTGAAAAGCTAGAAATCCACGTTGACTTCCATTAGGATTGTATTTGTCGCGATTAAAACCCTGTTTTGTTACGGTCATAATAGGTTGATTGTTTGACCTTTTTTATGTAATTAAATCTGTTCATGTTAAACATCATGACAAATGAGTACACGAAAATTCATTTTTATGTAATTACGTGTATTTCTTGAGTTGTTGCCCCAAAACGAGGCCGGTTGTTCTGTATTTTCAAATTGAATATTCAGTGATTTGTCATGATGACTGTGTAATTACATTATGAGATTGAATTTCATGAGAAACCATCAAACAATGAAAAAGAGCACACCCGAAAAAAATAAAGTATTTTAAACGTGAAAAATACAAACCAAATGAACAATGAAAAGTCAAGGTCCATGGGAAAATAATAATACACTCGTTGTTTGAGCAATAACCCGAGCTCACCAGGTCAGGCTATATTAAGTTTTAAGTTCAGCAAGTGATCGGTCTTGATGTCTTACATGAGGAGATTAAATTTCGTGAGATACCGTCAAACAAATTAAAAAAATCTTTCGAGAAAGGGCGTGCTGAATAGAGAAAGACCAATGTGTTGTAATATTTTTTCAATACTTCAGCAGATTTTCCGTAGATTTTGAGTTCAATTTAGGTTTTCTCCGTCTTGACAAAAATTCCGTACGGTGGTGATGACCACTATTTGTGAAGTGCGCCCTCTTTTGAAGGAAAATTTTGTTTGGCTTAAAAAAAATGTCTTAATTATTAGGCCTACTTGGCTACGGCTAAAAATTTAGCAGCATTTTGTGTACAGGTCGTTATAGTACAAAAACGTGGCATTGATAATTGACCAATCAAACTCTTAGTCCAGATTTCGGAATGAAATGACGTCACGCATGCTTAGATATACCAGACGTTCTACCGGAGATGGGCTCCGTGGAGAACGGTTGGTACTCAGACTACGATTTACGTTACTTTCTATTCTCTTATATAACAGTTTAACCTTTCTTTAACTCGTCAGTGTTTTTTTTTTTAACATTCTAGTCGAGGTAAAATTATACCGCACAAAGCGATTGATGTGCAAACTTCTCGTCAACTTCTGTTTTGTCTCATTCGAATCTTTGCTATATAGTCACTTGCGCTGTACTGTACCGATTTGGCTTATTAAAAAAAAAATTGGTCAATAACTGGAAAAATATAAAACTCAGTCCCTCAAAAATTGCCTTCTTTTTATTTGCTGCTACTGCCCATACTTTTCATCTTATTGCAGTATATTTTGCCAAAAACCTCCACTTATTTAATTAAGGTAAATGCCATAAACATTTACATTAAAACCACATGTTGGCCCATGTGTGTATAATCTGCAATCACTGCACACTACATCTCCCAAAACTGCCATTTCTACAACTGTCATTTACAAATAAACTTCATATATTCCCTTACTATTACTTCATTTATTGTACGATAATTATCAATGATCGATATTGCTACAAAGCCATTTGTGAACCTTTAGAATCACTTTATTCTTGAAGTCAGCCCAGTTATTTATCTACCCTAATTGCTTAAAATTATAGGCCAATCTGAGCACGATATCAATTCTATCACGAAGGCCCCCTTCAATGGCGAAAGCATTATAGCTTTGTACACAGTGATCATATCCCCGGATTCGTCTATGCTTTATTGCACTACAAACTCGACGCTTTTTTTTCTACAATGTGTTGCAAATTTAAAGCATTATTTACACTTTTTTTTACATTGGCCCTTTCAAGTTTCTATCAAGGAGAATACAACTCATAAATTAAGAAAAAACTTCGAACCAATTAATTTCCCCGACCAATTTAAAGTAAAATCGGAATATCTCATTATAATATATATATATTAGTGTGCACATTTCATAATTCGACATTTTGAAAAATATAATAAGAATGCAGAAAATAAAGGTTCCCAGATCGACCCGAAACTAAAGTTTTAAACCAAAACATTTGTTTTAAGATAATAACAAAAACAGGTATTCTATTTTTTTAATGATAAACTACACTGTAAAAAGGTTGGGTACACACTGTTGGGCAATGTAACTTACCCAGCATTCCCTCATATTGGGTTGAATTGGGTGAAAACTGTCAAACTATTAGGAAGAATTATCGGATGGCCATTTTGCCCAACTTGTTTACAGTGTACAATGTAGGTGCTTTTATGCACTGCAATTGAGCGAAACGTCGGGTTGTGTTAATAAATCTGGTTCTATCTGCTCAGAACCACAGCTCAATTTGTCTTTAAAATGTTGTATTTTGTAATATTCTTTCTGTAAATTTGGCCAACGAAAAACGCCAAAGACAGTAAACGCCAAGCTCGTTGTTTTTATTCCATGCCGTTGTTGTTGTCGTCCGGAGTGCTAGTGCTAGCGGCGCCATTCCTGCTTCCGTAGCGCTGCTCGCGTTGCAACTCCTCCTCTCGTACAATCGCACGTGGGATGACCAGCACCGGGTCGACGGGAGCCCTCGGCGGCGGGGGCTGCGGCTCGAACGCCGGCGGCTCCGTCTCCAGCAACTGCGCCTCGCGGACCCGGTGCGCCTTGGGGCGGGTGTGCGCGTACAGCTGCTCAACTTCCATCTGCGCTTGTTGCTGCATCATCACGCCCTCCACGTCCCCGTCGGCGTCATCAGCATCAGACACTTCGCTGTCGTCGTCCTTGATGAATTGACCGTCTGGAGTGTCGCTGTCGGTGTCGCTGTCGCTGCCGTACGCGACAGCGTCGATGTACCGCTCCCGCACCAAACCACCAGCCATCATTTCGCTCTCATCCTCGGCACCAGCCATCGGATTGTGGATGATGTTGTAGTCTTCACGGGACGGCTCATACTCGTACTCAAATCTCGGTGCCCTGGGATTACTGATGGACCTGTTGGACTTTGGGTCTGGGAACGACATTCCTGGGGTGATCTTGAGGGGTTTATTCTTATAGACTTGGCGCATGCTCATCTCCACGTCGTACAAACTCTTGGGGAATTTGGGGTTCCGGACAAAATTAGCGGGGGCAGTTCGTCTCCCACCACCCCCACCTCCCCTACCCCCAACGGCCCCAGGACCGGTGCTGTACTTAAGTCCCCCTCCGCTCCCCGCAACACGAAACTCCGCCCCACCCGGACCGCCTCTGGGGCGATAGTCTAGACGGTTGGAAGGGCCATAGCGCCCTCTGTTGGCAGACTGGCGATTGGTCGGTTGTTGAAGAGGGCCTTTGACACGGAAAAGGACCTGGACTGGCGCCTGTCGCCTCTGAAAATTGAGACAAAAGAACGAGAGATGTTTTCCAAAGACGAGGCCTCGGCAGTTTGTCTCTATATGTTGCACTTGGAGGATTTGAATTTGAAATGTTTATTAACTGACTTGTATGACACAAAATGCTTTCATTTTCATTCAATCATTCCTCCAATTATTAGAAAGATATTAAAGGGGCACTGCGTCCTGAAATCCCCGAAAATGTCATGTTTTGGATTGTTTACTTATCCTATTTCAAGCATCTGGTTGAAAGGAAAACAACCTATGTCTTACCGTTCCCGAGAAAAGAAGGGGAAAAAAACGGTTGTTTATCGGACACGACTGAGTACGCATACGTTTTTCCTGTCGTTTTCATTCAATGTACGATACACGTTGTGTGTGTGTCACATAAATAATACAGACAGCACCAAAGCACAAATGTTGTTTCTTAAATGTCTGCAAAGGGCGAACACTTTACGGCCGAAATCACAACTAGCATGAACAGCCCGATTTTGGGGTCGCAAAAGTGGACCCTAAATATTCGTTGACATAACTAGGTTAGGTGTAATTAACACGCGCGAAAATAGCATAAAAACATCCAGTTTTTAAAGGAAGGTTGTGTGGATGTTTATATCTTACTTTTGAATGTTCTTTCCGATTAACATCATTTCGTTCAAAACGCGTTTTGTAACTCAATTTGGCGCCTTCCAGGACGTAGTGTCTCTTTAATGTTTTGAAATATGCAAGTGGAATCATCTGTCTCAAGCAAAAAAATATAAAAAAGTGTTCTGCGTCACAGGCCACCTCTGAAACTGACACAAATTCATTTTCCCTATAGACCGAAGCACAAAAACGTATCAGTAAAAAGAATTGGGGCGCGTATAATATACGGTACGTATTGATGACACTATTATGCTGTGCTAATGAAATATGGATTTTGACGAGTACATGTACAAGAACCAATCAAAATTTCCCACCGATTTCCTGGCGATGTCGACACACACACGCATCAAAAACCACACTCATGTAGTAAAACAAAGATTGACAACTTCACATTCTCACAAACGTACAGCTGTTTTGTTCAAATAAAAATTGGGGAAAAAACAGTTCTCATTTTGACAGATGGTGCTTACTTTTCCTACAATGAAATTTTACCAATACTGGCACACACAATGACTCACAGCGCCAGAACTTTCCGATGACAAAGCATCGTGGAAGCGACCTAACCATGCCAAAACAAGTCCCGGTGACCGCACTGCTTGCGTTAAAAAAAACCTTTTGTAAAATCGTCTTACCTCCATGTTGATCTCCAAGGTTCAATGTCGTCTTACAGCAGAATTTAGACCGACTTGTGCCGTCCCGAAAGTCAGGAAACCGAAATGTTTAAACCACTTTTGTTCCCTCCGCCATTTGTAAAATTTCCTAGACTAAATTCCCGGGAAAGCTGTAGCTGTATGAACTGCTGAACAAATACAGATCTGGCCCATTGAGTGCCGTCGTCTATGACGTACCCCTACATGTCGCAATCTTTTGTAAAGGATATTTTTTTCTCCCATCAAGCAGAAAAAGTTTCCTTTTCAGCAACAAAGCACAGTTGGTTGCATGTCCCGCCACAAATTTGGGTAAGAATTGAAAATCGGTCATGCGTGGCAGGCAAACTAGACGTCCCACGTACAACACGCACCTGGCAAATACCAACGCCAAGGGCACGGCTGGCGAGCAACAATTATTTTTCTCCAACCAGTATGGCCATTATAGTGCATGCATTAGTTGGTAACGGAATGGTTCCCGAACTCGACTCCCCTTAAAAATATATTTCTCCATAGCCATCAAACAGGAATTGAAAAAAGGTGAATTTTGTTTCTTCGATCAGCAGAGGACTTAATTAAACCATGGAGTTATAAAAAGAAAGTTGAGAAGAAAAATTCACTTACGTGGTATGTTCCACGCATGTGTATTTTGGTAAATGACTTAAGTGGGCTGCAGGAAAAAACAATTGCGACCGGGAAATGCAATCCCCCCCCCCCCCTGCTTCACAACAACAGCATTGTCTGTGAAAATAATTTGTTTTCAAAGGAAGAAAAAATGATTTTGCATGGATGGATCTCAGCTTGGGAACAATATACATGTAGTTATGGTACGGTACTGTTGTATATCAGTATAATCAAAACGAATAATTTTGAGGAAAATAATTGTTTCGGGTCCATGTATGGAAAAGCCGGCTGCAATAAAGGCATCGATGAGTTTTGATCTTGGTCACATAGCAAAGTTGTTAGTCTTTTAACAAGGCAATTGATACATGGGCTAGTGTCATCATTTGGACTCCTAGTATCGTTATTTACCTTGACTCTCATCCTCACACGTGACTCAAGCACATTTTTGTAATAAACACGTTTCATTATGTCCTTTCTGTTAGTTTCACTCTCTTCTGCAATTTAACATTTTTGAAATACTTTGCTCTACAACCCGGTAACCATAACACCAAATCCTAAACATCAACTTCTGCTCAATATGTACCCCGCTAGTTGAAATCAATGTCAATATTTGAAGAAAGAAGCCAGTGATTAAAAAAGTTGCAAAGTCACGGTCATATGGCTACATACATAGCGATTAGCACGTATGCGAATGCGCATGCGCGATGCAGCTACACGCGCCCGCTCGCTCGCTCAAATCTGACCTGCGAGCGCGAGACTGTCAGTACGGCGGGTACTGCTGGGAGTGGTAGAAATTACTTCAAATATTTTCCAAAATGGCAAACAAATTGAAGATAGTCCTGTTCCTTGGAACCTGCAGGGAGAACCGCCTGGGCGAACGGGTGGCTAAATTCATGATCAACCAGCTCAAGAAAGATGGCAAACACGACGTAGAATTCATGGGTAAGTGCACGCGGTTTGGCGGGGTGGAGCGTGATTTGGGGACGGGCCGCTGCCGGCGGTTTGCAACGATCGCCGGTAGGGGGTTTGAACAGCACGCGCTCCAACGATGGGACTGGTACGTGGATAAAGCGTACAGCATTCGGTCACTTCGGGAAATTCTTACAATGATATCTCAACGAAGAAGTCCTGGAAAGAATGTAGTATCCAGACGCCACTTCAGCGGTTGTAAGTCTATGGAGAGTCAAGAAATTTGTAAAGTTGTATTTCCTAACAAAATTTGAAATTTGTCATGTCTTTTCAACATTTTTGCAATGACTAACCTTTATTGAGATGATATATGAGGAAAAGCAGTGCCCCACCCCTTTTTTTTAGTTGTCCCCAAATAGTACGTGAGTGCCCCCCCCCCCAATAAGTTATGCCGCGGTACCTGTTCTACTTATTCTTTGACGAAGATAAGTTAAGATTTATCGATATCATTTAACTACATCAGTACATGTAATATGACTACATTATTATTGACAAACTTATCCAGCATGTCACATTATAAATGTCCCTTTTTTCGTTTCAGACGCCGAGGAGTTCAACCTCCCAATCCTGAAGAAAGCCCTGTTCTTTTATAAAGATGAAACGCAGGCTCCGCAGATCTTGCAAGACGCGAAGAAAAAGATCATCGAGGCCGATGGCTACGTGTTCGTCTCGGGGGAATACAATCACTCTATACCGCCTGGCCTCGCCAATATGGTCGACCATTTCCCTACGTCCATTTTCACCTACAAGCCCTCCGCCATTGTATGCTATTCTCCTGGTGAGCCATTTGTACATCTTTGACGAAAAATGTGACACTGATGGAACACCATACTTTTGGTCAACTTTTCAGGGCAGACAGCTACAGCTAGACAAATGTGATGCGATCAAGCTAAATGAGTCGTTTGTCGGGAAAATTGTCATTTTGAGATACAGGCCAAAATAGGGTTACTTTATGTCCCAACTTCCATAGTTATTTAACTAAATATGGTATCAGCATGCGGTATTCACAGCAGTCATGCTGAGATTGTGCTCTTTTCAAATCTGTAATAAAAACTTTTTTTGACCAGGGTCGACAAACGACTCATTTAGCTTGATCGCATCACAAATGGAGAGAAAAAAAATGTGGTATCCCTTAAAGGACATAACAGATGTGAATGGCTTTCCAGATATACAGCTCCCCCTCGATAAACAAATAAAAATAAACAAATTAGCATAGTATTGCCAAAAAAACAAGTTCTCGCCAAAACTTCCAATGTTGCAAAACAAAATTGTTTTGTGGATTTAAAAAAATTCATGTAATTGTTTATTTGTTTGTTTTTGTTAACTTGGTTAGTTGTTTTCTTTACGTTTGTTTGTTGGTTGGTTTTTGTTTTGTTAGTTTGCTTGTTGGTGTTGTTTTGTTTGTTTATAAAATTTCTGTAGCGACATTTAATCCACTTTGCAAAGTATTAAAAAAAATATCTCCTGTGTTTTTCAAAACCTGCACCATCATAAACTGACTGCCGACTGATTCTTCCTTGATTATCTTCCTCTACAAGTAAATGTCTTGTTTGTTTGTTTTTCTTTGGCCAGGTATATACGGAGGAATGCGAGCGGCAATGCAGCTGCGATGTTTCCTTGGCGAGATCGGCTGCCTGCCCGTGTCCAACATCTTCGGCATTCCCAAGTGCCACCAGGCTATCTCGGCCGAGGGCGAAGCGATAGATGACCACATGGAAAAAGGGGCCGCTAAGATCATCGAGCAGCTAGACTGGAACGCAACAGCCATGCGTAACCACCGCCAAGCCGTAGGCGTGCCAAAGTAGATTGCCTTTATCCCATTTGTGCACGGACGTTTGAGGGCGCTATTTGTTCACTAGTTAGAAAGGGGGAGGAACAAATTTGAGCAACTGGACTTGCATGCAAAGGCCATGCCCAATAGGATGTGGCGAATTTCAATAAAAAGTTTGAATTTGAAGTTCTGAATAGGCTAAAAGGTTGTTCTGGCAATACATGCATTTAAGACCTACCACATTGAAAATGTTTTCATCCATAAGGCCAAAAAAAAAAAAATAAGTCGGTCTCTGGTCAGCGCGCACGTCGATTTTAATCATGTGCGTCAATCTTTATTTTTTCAAAATGTTCTGTGGTAGCTCCAACAGCGCCCTCTATTGCCGCACCTCCTCATTTTTTTTTACCAAAGAGCACCAAGGAATGGGAAATTGCACCAAGGCAAATGATCGAAAGTACCAAGGCAAATTATGGAGGACACCAATGTACATGAGGACACCAAAAAAGCAAAATAGTACCCCACCTTGTCTGTACAATCCAAGCTTGAAAGAAAAAAAAAGCAAAAAAAAAAAAGCAAAAAAAAAAAAGCAAAAAAAAAAAAGCCGCGTCGCCGCGTCAATTCCAGATCTTTGGTCTGACCAGAGACCGATTTTTTTTTTTTTTGGCCTAATATTACCTCACATTATCTTGCCTCTATTCAACAAAATTCATAAACAATGTCACGAATTGTTACAAACAAGTTTTGTCAAGTATTTAATGCAGTTTCTTTGTTTTATTTGGACAGTTACTATTTGATACTTACAGTTTTATGGGTGAGTTAGGGGGTTCGTTTTTGGTATTTTTTTGGGGGGGGGGGGGGGACAGACCGACCGACACCCGAGTGACTTGTCGAAGAGCTCTGTTGCCAGAGCTTAAAAAACCACTGTGTGAGTTATTGCAGAGCCTGGTGGTCATCACTTTCAGCTTTAAAGCTGATTTCAGCTTTTTTTGTTTGGGATTTCAGCTTTTTTCCTTCACGTGCTGTGTACAAAAGTATAGGAGATTTCCAAAGTTCAGCTTTTTTTTTTACACCTTTGTCAGCTGTTATCAGCTATTTTTATCAGCGGTCATCATTCACACCCCTGTCTAAAGGGCAACTCCGTAAAGTCCAGTTCTCTGCACTACACAAGGTCGTTAAAGGGAAAATACAACATTTGCAAAAATAAAAAAATAAAACTACCAAATCATTTGGAAATACCTTGCTGGACTGTTAGTGAATGACAGTGTAAAGCATCCTATAAAATCATGGCACCTGGTAAACTGTCATTTTCAAGAAAAGTGGTATTTTTGTATACATCAATTTCCAACGCCGGTCGGCCAACCAGCGTTGGAAAAAACTGTTTTTTTTTTCAAATACTGGCCCCAATTGACCATCGCACTTGTTTGCAATCGATTACACACCTATGAACGGGTACAAGCCAGCTAGACTGGTTCCCTGACCTTACAATTCCCCAATGTATGTAAACTGCTCTGTTTCTTCTTATATGGAGTCAGGGAACCAGACTACAGGAAATTGATTGTTTTTCTTGGTTTTTATAGCATTTTCGAACCCAAAACCTCAAAAAAGTCAGTGTAACTGTATTTGCTATATATTTCCAACCCCCCAATTCCATCCATTTCTGAAAATTACAGCAAAAGCAAATGATGTATTTTCCCTTTAATTGTGGTGGTACCTTAGTTTGGTCTGTAATTGTTTTCTACTCTTTAGATGTCACATCATTAGTGATGTATCACATTCAGTTTTCCAACAGCAGCTCATTAAAGTGTCTGACATGTACACGTCCTAATGTCATTACGGTACCGAGCCCAATCTAATGTATTTTCTGGAACCTCGGAAACCGTAATGAAATTCAGACATACATGTCAGACACTTTAATGAGCTGTCTTGTAATCTTTGATATTAACTTGAAGATAATGGATGAAAACATTTTCCTCGAAACAAGATTTTTGTGCTTACTTATTCAGTATGTACTATGCAACAATATCTGCTCCATCATGATTTTCTTTAATTCAAGGTAATTAATACATTAAGTTAATAACATTAATTAGTCAAACTTGTGAAGAATACTGTCCACAGTTACTTTGTATCGAAAAACAAAAGGAAAACCGAAGAAAAATTGCAGGGAATGAAAGTCGAGTACAAAACCAATAACCAACCAAATGCTGATTCATCATGACTCGGCACTTTTTAATGAAAATTTCAATACGTTTTTTAGTTGGGCAAAGTTTGTTTGTTCAGTGTGGTAGGTCTTAAATATTGACATTCTTTTTAGCCTATTCAGAACTTCAAATTCAAACTTTTTGGAAATTCACTACACCTTACTGTACGCCAAGGCCATGCACAAACCACCGCCAGGCGTAGGCTGTCAGAGTAAATTGCCTGTATCTTGTCTGTGCACAGACGTTTGAGGGCGCCATTTGTTACAAGTTGGAACAGAAATATGGCAAAGGCTATGAGCAATCAGCTGCATTAACAAATATGAAGTAAGATTTAGACTTAGTTTTAGACTAATCTCTAGAGCGTTTTTCCAACTGAGTGAAATTAACATTGTGCGAGTCTGTACGTGGGTGTATTCGTAATTTAACCAATTAAAGCTATAGTCCATCATTTGCAGCCATCCGAAAAGTAACTGGCGTAATTATTGTTGAAAAACAAACTTGGTTGAAAGATAGTGAGGGAACTAAACTCCCTGTGAAATTATTCTTTCTGGGAAGCTGTCATTTTGAAGTAATCAACGAAAGAAGGCATTTCCAACGGTGATTCTTAAGAAGCACCGTAGGAAAATTTAAATTAGTAGTTTGTTTGTTATTCAGCGCAGCACGCACAAGTATTGGAACGATGCACACGCGCGCACGGTTGTTATAATTCGTCGGATCAGTGCGCTACGCCGCGTATAGCTGCAATTACAAAACAATTCAAAACATGATTCAGTAACTTTTGATTTGAAATTGAGATCTTAGAATGCTGTTTTTCTCGGAATGTACAGCTGAAGCTTAGGTTAGTTGCTCATTATCCTTTATTAGATTTTGAACACTTTTGTTGCTTCAAACGAACAAAATGCACTAATTACAAATGATGGACTATAGCTTTAAATTTCATATGTGGTGACGGTGATAGTGATGAACATTTAGTACAGTATATTTTTAACAACAGTCGTATATAATTGTATTTTAAAAAGAAATATGTGTACATGTACTTTATTAGAGTCTGGGTATATTTTTTTGACTTAAAAAGTATTTGTCCAACAGTGCTGTAATGGCTTCAGGAATGGGGACAAAACATTATTCAGGAGAAAGCGCCACCATCGAGATATTTGAACTGATTTTTGTTACTTATTTTAAAGGGAATGTACATCATTGGTTTTTGCTGTAATTTTCAGAAATGAACTATTTGAGGGATTTAAATAATAGATCAAATATTGTTACACTGACATGTTGGAAGTTGTGTGTTCGAAAATGCTGGAAAAACCAAGAAAAACAAAAACGTTCCAGTAGTCTGGTTCCCCGACTCCACTAAAGATAAAATGGGTCAATTTACAGATGCCGGAATATTGTAAGGTAAGGGAACCAGTCTAGCTGGCCTGCACCTGTTCGTGAACATGTAACCAATTGCAAACAAAAATTGGACTGAAAAAAAAAATGGTAAATTTGGAGCAGTAGTGGAAAAATAGTCAGGTTTTTCCAACGATGGTCGGCCGACCACCGTTGGAAATGTATACAAAAATATCATTTTCTTGAAAATGACTTCACACCAGGTGCCATAATTTTACAGGATGCTTTAGACTGTCATGTACCAACATCCTAGTAAGGTATTTCTTAAAAACTTGGTAGTTTTATTTTTCGATGTTTGCAAATGTTGTATATTCCCTTTAAGACTTGTTGATTCTTTCAAAAACTGTTCCAAAATTTTAATCTCATTTTTCATTTCAATTCGGTGTGGAAGATCTTGATTTACATGTGAAAAAATGAATAGAACTGGTGCAAACTGCTTACTGACTGGAATGACCTGAAATATAAAATAGAAAAAGTTTTGAGTTTTTCCGTATAAAAGGCTTAATGATAGGTACATAAGCAAAGGGACACACATGTATGGTGATATGAACATGTTGAATGTTTGAACAATTTTTCATTTTGATGAATAATCAGCCAGAACCTATATTTTTTTTTTTTAATTGTCTCAAAAACTTCCAACCGTTTAATTATTCATATTAAACAATTCATTATGCAAATGAATTATTCAAATTACATTATTCAAATTGTATACGAGATGTAAATTCTGAGATTGTTTCCTTAAGCTTGATGCAATAAAATTAATGTGGTCCAAAAAGTTTGATTGACACTTGTCTAAACTTTACTCCAGACTTTATATTTTTATTTAGGCATTATTTAGTACATGTACATCCAGAACTGACGTTTGTAACACAAAATCTTTTCATTCAAGTAGGGAAAAATTTGATCTGAAGCACGCCCCCCCCCCAAAAAAAAGTTAGTAATGCATCAATAGTTGTCATTTACTCTGAAAACCTTGACAATATCAAACATCGAGAATCTATGGAAACTTTCATTAAATTCATTAACGAAATATAAATTATTGGGTTTTTTTTTTTTAAGAAACGAAATTTTTTTAAGAAACAACTAAAACACTGTGTCAGATATTAACAAGAACAAGGACGGCTCCCAATAAGTAAAAGTCATTGTCAATGTTTCTTGTCTATGGAGACTTTATCCCAGCACTTCTTTCGTCCGTTGTCATGGCAACTGCTCCTCGATGCTTTCATCACATCATTGCCAGGAGAACTTCAGGGCACGGCTCTTCAAAAGTCTAACGTGGCTGTAGAAGAACCCTCGATTGGTGGCTTGTGTAGATCTTCCAAGAATGCACCTGACCCATTCCGTTTGAACTTGTACATGGCTTGAGTAACTCCAAATGTCGAATTCCTGATGAGCTGGAGTTACTCAAGCTAAAGCTCGCATAAGTTTGCTCTTTCTGTACTACTGCACAAGCAGACAAGTGGATAATGTTGATGTCCAACACCATAGTGCTCCGTGAAACACCAGTACATTTACACAAATTTAGAGTAGGGGGGCCTACGCCTGACATTTTTAGCAAGCTTGTGTAGCAGGACATGCGGCATTGCATAATGTCAGTTGTGGTTCCGCTTGATTAACAGTTAGGAGTTGTGGTTTACGTTCCCATCATCTAAGCTTTGAGGTCCAAGGGATGAGCCTTACAGCTGACAAGCCCAGCATCAACCACAGCGGTACAAAGACCCAGTAGTGGGCCATATCAGCCGCGTACTGAAGCCGGACACACAGTAAAATCTTGAAAGTCAGTGCCAGTCCCATCACGCAGATTAACCACACTTTGTTGACCAAGGACAGCGACATGTCGCTCTGGTCGTAGCCGACCCGGCAATGGCTGATGAGTTTGATGACGAGCAAAGCGACCACGACAAAGTCGAACACCCACAGAGGGATGAAGACCAAGAACCAGTTCCACTCCAGCCTCTGGTCCAGGCGAATTGCAGTTAGAATCAAGAAAGCCATTATGCAAACGTACGTGAGAGAGGCTCGTTGCACGAGCGCCATCTTGCTTGATGTTGATGTTGTGCGGATAGATCAGTCCATTTTCTACACGGGTAAGGCAGGTTAAATACGAGGGATCTCTATTTCCTCTAATTGTCCAATAGATAATTTAAAGAATTTTAAGCATCAGCCGACCCATCCAGTTTGAACAAATCAGCTAATGATATGCATTAAGTTTGTAAAATATTTAAAATGTAGTCATAATTCACCGTGAAAGGAACTACTCAATGTTTATTAATACTTGCACACCCCTCTTCTCCATATCAGCCATCCTATAGAAATCTAGGTCACCGGTCGGTACGATGTCATTATTATTCTTCACATTGTGCATTCGCTCAGCTCAGCTGTATTTTTTGTTGGTTCCTGGAAATCGTGAATTTACCATCTTTTCAACACCCACTCGAAACCTGAAGCATACAAGCGGAGTCTTGAACAACTGAGAACGATTAAAGACTTCACTCTCTTATTTTTGCCGGGTGGTTTTGGAACAGTAAGTGATATATTTTGCCTTTGACAATTCCGACCATTGACAATGAACTCGTTGCGCTGAAAATTCGTGTTACATAGGCCATGGAGGAATCCACAATATAGGCCGACATCATTTTGCCCCAAATTCTAGCCCCAATTTCTTCACAAAAAAATGTAGTTTTTTTGTTTTTTGTTGTTGTACTGTTAAATTATGCATGTGTGTTTAATAGAATGCTATGTTTTATGAAATTATGCGCCTATATGTTCCCCTCAGCTCAGTTGACATAATTAATTTTTTTCCAATAATTAGAAAAATGTTTGCTGAAACAATTCTTATGCATGTAGCTAAACATAATTAGTTTACAATTTTTCAAGTAGGCCTTTTCAGTCGAACACCTTCATAACAAGGTCCTTGGGACTTTATGAATTACCTTGTAAACAGGTTTTTGTAAAGTGGAACAAGACAAAGGAAAACAAAGAAAACAAAACTTACTTGAAGCCTACAATTTTGCTTGTTATAGCAGCTTCTTGTAATAATAGTGCTCGTCGTATCAGGATTCGACTGTAGTGTATAACTTTAAAGACACCACCATTTCTTGTTTTCTGAGTAATGTTCTTCTGGCATGCACCATGCTGCCATTTTGAGGGACACTGCAAAAAATGAGCGAAAATAGTAGGCCTACTGATCTCCCCGTACTAAGTCCATCCCCCCCCCCCCCAGCTTAGCACCACACATATATCTACAGCTAAGAAAAACTTTGATTATTTTTCCTTTCGATATTTCCGTAGTGCACAATAGGAACAGCAACAAATTCTGAAGTAAGCAAGGAAAAAAAACCAAAAAGACTTTTCCAAGATGGACACCAGTCGTCCCTGACACAGCGCTTCACTGTTTCCGACACATTGCTATGGTTGTACGAGTCAAAAGGGCAAAGGTCAAGCGTCTCCACAGGTCGTCTAGTCGGCTGTCAGAAATGCTTGGGTTTTCGGGAATCAATGCAGCGATTTCCGGCTTCCAAGAACAGGTATGCATTGAAACCATCGGCGTCATTGGTCCAACAGAGTGCTTGCATAGAGCGCCCTCGTTGTGGATAGGGTTTGTTATTCAAATTCAGTGACAGTTATCCCTAAACTCCTTGGGCCTTTTTGCTAGGATACATCCTTAGTCCTGCAAAATCCTCCAACTGCCTCCTTGTACAAATTGCATACAACCTCAATCCTGCAAAATCATCCGTTATTTCTTGAACTGACCACTGCCTCAATCCTGCAAAATCCTCCAGCAATCACTGTCAATATGTTGAGGCAGAGCCAGTGACATCATGGAGCAGTGCGGAGGATTTCAAGTATAATCTAGGCCTAAATTTTTGCCCAGCTGAGCATAAACAACACAAGGTCCGGCCTGAGACCTTGACACAGTGCATCCTCCAAAATCAGCCACTTATTCGTGCCATAACCTCAACCCTGGAAAATCCTCCATTTTGTAACGAGGATTTTGGAGGATTTGGGAAGGTTAGGATTAAAGGACAAAGTATCTATATATTGGAATGGGGACGGGTTCACAACCATAAAATTGACCACATTTGACACGGGCAGTGGGCAATTTTCCTCGATTTTGCATCGCAAAATGACCATTGTTTTACAAAACTTCACTGCTACATTTTGTGTACAGTAAAGCTGGTCACTCAGAGCACAAAACTCTATTCAGTTGATTCAAAATGGTTATTCAGTGAAAGTTTTTTCATGCATCTGGCCTACACAATGGGCCGGACTTAGCCTATTCATTGGCTTTACAGGGTAATCCTATACAACAGCACTGCCCGACTCTCTTCACCAGCTTAAAACAAAGTCACAAGTCAGACAGTCGAAGAGGACATTAGGTTAGCCATCAGAGACCAGCACAAGGGTGCATTAGGGTGGCATGGGTGGCTTGTGCGTAAAGCGCTCGCCTCTCACCAAGGTGACCACGGTTCGAATCCTGGCCGCGGATCACATGTGAGTAGAGTTGTGCGTTGGTTCTCTCCTGTGCCACGAGGGTTTTTCTCCGGGCCCTCCGGTATTCCTCCCTCCGGAAAAATCAAACACTTTCAATCTCAGGCTGTGCTCCGTGGTCATATATGGGTCGATGTGGCCGGCAGCCATAGGCGCCTTTACGTGCCAGCGGCCTGACCACGTTGTAGCCGCGTCCTTCGCAATTCAGCATACCAGCTGTGAGTAAGGATGATTAGCCTCCCAAATTATTATTATTATTATTATAATGGGTTAATTGTTCTGTCAAAAATGAATTTATAGCCATATTTTTGGAATAAAACTTTGACGTTTGTTTAATTTTGCTCATTTTCAAGTCATTTTCCACACAATTTCTTCACCCCACAGATCGGTGCGTATGACAAAGAACTATGGGAGGAGCATGTTGAAATCAAAGAGCTGAATATCCAGGTATGTTAATCGCTTAGATTGCGTCATGTCTAATTATGCTGACCAGGATCATGCTTACCTGGATTGTGCTTACCAGGATTATGCTTACCAGGATTATGCTTTTAAGACAGGATTATACTTACCAGGATTTTGCTTACCAGGATTATCCTCACCAGGATTATGCTTATCAGGACTGTGCTTACCAGGATTATGCTAACCAGGATCATGCTTATCAGGACTGTGCTTACCGGGATTATGCTAACCAGGATCATGCTTACCAAGATTGTGCTTACATGTATTAGGATTATGCTTACCAGGATTATTCTGCTTGGTTTTAATATTTAAAAATTATTCAAATCTAAATACAGTTAACATGAACTTCGATTTCAATACAAAATTGGTAGAAAATGTATTTCTCTCTTCCAAACCACCCCTTCACAAAACGTTTGAAACCAACTCTGTAGCGCTGGCTAATGGGAACAATACGCGCAACGCTCAACGCACAAACCAGCATGCATTTTCACACAAATAACGCGTCATGGAACAAGGATGATCCTAACTGTTGAATAGTAAATCCCATTCACCATGGGCAAATGGGACTTTTTGAGCCCCGGTGTGAATGGGAGCAATAATAAATGTCACATGATGTGAGTTCCACCAATCAAATGACAAGGATCTGTATGTCACTTATATAATAAGACTTTACCAATTCCAAAAATTACCCTGAGCCTCACATTGTGTCCACCGTATCTCAACAAGGCAATTTTATTCTATGGCACTGACATTTATATCCGCAAATATTTCAAAGATATTATTTCACTTTTCAGGGTCTAGCTGCACACAGTATCCCCTTGCGGACTGGTCGGCTAAAAACTGAACTGATTGACATTGACCTTGTCAGAGGTAAGTCTTCATTTAAAATTGCCCCTAATTATTTACCTTTCTGGTGTGTGGGTCCTTCATTCTCACATAACCATCGTTAACCCTAACCCTCATTCCTCCAAAATCCTCCTGCCGGTTTTGGATGATTTTAGAGGATTGAGGATGAATGGCAAAGATGTATCACTTTTTTGTGGAGGATGCATTACGTCAAGCCAGTAGGCCATATCCTGCATTGGTTATGTTCAGCCATGCATAAATCAGCCCTGTGTTTTTCCTGTAGTTCATCGGCACTGCTTCTAAACGCCATTCGCACTGCCTCAAACCATAGCCAGTAATTGGCAGAGAATTTTGGAGGATTGAGGCAGTGGTCACCCTCCACAGACTAAATACAAGAACTAACGGTTGATTTTGGAGGATTGAGGCTGAATCAAATTTTTTTTTGGTGGCAATTGGAGGAGTTTGCAGGATTGAGGTTGCATCCTAGCCAGAGGGCCCAGGGGGTTAGGGTTAAATAAGTCAGATTTTGCAAAATGTGACTCATTTTAAAGCTATAGTCCATCATTTGCAGCCATCCGAAAAGTAACTGGCGTAATTACTGTTGAAAATCAAACTTGGTTGAAAGATAGTAAGGGAACTAAACTCCCTGTGAAATTATTCTTTCTGGCAAGCTGTCATTTTGAAGTAATCAACGAAAGAAGGCATTTCCAACGGTGATTCTTAAGAAGCACCGTAGGAAAATTTAAATTAGTAGTTCGTTTTGTTATTCAGCGCAGCGCGCACAAGTATTGGAACGACGCACACGCGCGCGGTTGTTATAATTCGTCGGATCAGTGCGCGACACCGCATATAGCTGCAATTCAAAACAATTCAAAACATGATTCAGTAACTTTTGATTTGAAATTGAGATCTTAGAATGCTGCTTTTCTCGGAATGTACAGCTGAAGCTTAGCTGAAACTTCATCAGGTTAGTTGCTCAGTATCCTTCATTAGATTTTGAACACTTTTGTTGCTTCAAACGAACAAAATGCACTAATTACAAATGATGGACTATAGCTTTAAAACATGTCAATCGGATCTGTTCAGCTATTTTTTTCTATTTTCTCTCATTCTCGGGGCAGGTTCGACATTCACTAAAGCCAAACCAGAGCATTCGTTAGGGGCCAGTGCTCGCAAAGGACTAATCAGGGTTGTATTTTTCCCCCTCTACTACCGATGGTAAGTTAACGACAATTCCCTTCATTTATTTCATCTGGGATCCAGATTTATCCCGATCCGTCCAGAAAGTATAAGTTCTTGGCTCCAGTTTGAATGGAATCCCATTGATCACCTTCTAACCAAAAGTCCAACTTTGGCAAAAATAACAATTTATTTTTTTTTTTTTTTGGGCCCTTTTTCCACCTAGGTGGAAGCAACAGCTGTCAAAATGGATGCTGGTGTGTTTGTTGGTGCTGTATGTCCTCCAGTTATTCTCCTGCACTGTATATTTTGCGTATTCGCCAAATGATGGACAACAGGTAGGTTTTTCTAAAGATTTCTATTTTCAAAAAAATATTAAAAATTAAAAATGATTATTCCCCCTTCCAAGAAAAAAACAAATCTCAATTTTATGTTTTGCCAAGTCGAAATAGATTTTGTGAACAGTTGGAGGATCACAGCAGAACTGAGCTATCGCGGTAGAATCGCGGTAGAATCACGTCAACACAGCGTGTCAAATATTGTCCACTTACATGATATACAAATGGACGCGGAAAGTGCAACATCTGAGTCAAACAAAACTTTGTGACAAAAACTCTAACTTCTAAAACTTAGGATTGTCTAAGGGGCGTAGCCAACTCACAAATGGCAAAACTTGGGAGTTCTTTAAACCATTTTTTGTCCCCTTGCTTACAGCCGATTTTTTTCACTGAGGTGTTCACGCCTGTTATCCTGGCCTTAGTGCTGGGCACCGTCTACTCGCTGGTAGTCTGCACCACCGTCAAGAAATCTAGAGCGTTGCGTCGCCGAATGACTAGGCGAAGGTATGGAGGGGACACGCGGAAGTTTTAATGGAAAATTTTATAAAAACTGTGAAATAAATATAATTTTTTTAGATTACAGATTACGGATAGTTGTTTTTTTGGATAACTGATTGTTGTCTGTGCTTTGCAGCCGTCAAGTCAAGACCAAACAGCGTAAAGCCACGTCTGATGAAGGCTCAGGCAACTACTCGAAGAAACGCGGAATGCGACGCAGCCAGTCCCTGCCCTGCACAGCCGACACCTACTTCCAGATGCGCCAGGCGCGCCGCAACATCACGCGCCGTTTTTCGCGGCCGGGGATCGTTGTGGAAGACAGCGCCACGGGGCGCCGGGAGAGCCTGGTTGAAGGCATGGACGAGGCGAGCGTGGAAGACGGCCTTGGGATGTCGGGTACCACTGGCGGGAAACCGGTGAAATACATCCAGTGTATTGAAGGCGACGAGACGACCGGTTTCACGGAAGAAGACTTCACCCTCTTGGGAAAGCCAATAGAAGAGTCCAACATCGCCGGCGAAATTCTCCTACCAGACCAGGACCCGAATGCCGACGCTGCCATCGTTTTCACAACATCACGTTCTGATTCCCTCCTGGCAGCAGAAGAGCCTGAGGTCAAAGGTCAGGGGTCAAGTGAGCCAGCAGAGGAGAGCCAGGGTTACGTGACCCAGAAGCCGGGGGCAGAAGTCGGGACCGTTGAGATCTCAAACGTGTCTCTACTTGGTATGTTGAGCTGAACACAATGAAATGAGAATAACACAAAAAACAACAGAGGTTCATGGCTTTTCTAGACACTTAATACATCAAGGACAAACAGCAGCCTTTATAAGGTGTTGGCAGAATGTTTGAATGTTTAAACGGTGCAAGGAATTTTTTGCTGACTGTATATTGGTATTGATCTCTACCACAGAACGAGCCCAAAAATCCTCGGTCACACACTTCAGCGATGACGTCTCGGACAACCCCCATCATGCCTCGGACAGCGAAGGCCCCACGGAGGACATGGAGGACAGAGGTCGGGAACGCAGCCTGAGAGGTCGCGCCGGGGTCAGGAAAGGTCGGCGCAAGCGGCAGGAGTATGGGAGCTCCAACGATTCCGACATGGACACACGACCAGTCCGACAATGCAAGTCACTAATGGAGGTAGTTCAGAGCTTTTATATTTCACCCCAAAGATAGATCTTTAAAAATGCTATTCCAGTGAAAAAAAGTCAATTTTGAATGATGCATCTAACAAAATAAAATTGGCCTATGATTTATTTTTCATCTCGTTCTCACAGGGCAGACTGGTTCCCTTCTCTCTATCAGAATCAATTTTGTAGAGACAGGGAACCAGTGTACTTGCAGGGCGGAACTGTTGTTGTGCAAAAGCAACCCAAGAGAAAAGTCTTTTTTGCAGACACCAACCATTCAAAATATTGGTTTCTTTGTTAAAATAAAACAAAGCAGTTGAACAAAATTTAGTAGCCCTCCAGCTATTTGAACAGTCACAGACAGTCAAAATTCACTTCTACTTCCCCTGCTACACTTGTAACAAAGGCTAGTCACCAGCAGTCAGATCATATGTCAAGCAAGCACTGTGACTAGTCAAACTGAGTCAACTGACAAAGCAGGCAAGTTGTGGCCACAGCTGTTTTATCACTCAGCGGCAGTCAAAGCATAGCTGTATCAAGGTACTGAAGCAGTCCCATTCAGTCAATCCTGCTTCATGCAGGCTGGGAATTCTTAACTGTTGAAAACAGTCACTTGATTGATTTTGACTGAAAGGGCTACTTGGCACAGAATGTATGTTTGCATAGGAGGATTAAAGAAAGAAAAACATTGACTTTGTTGCGTTGCAGAGCACTGATACTACATGTACATCTTGTATCATTTACACTCTTGGGTTGAGAGAGGCAATTGTAGTAAAGTGTCTTGCTCCTGGACACAAGGACCACAAACCCCTTACAGCTGAAACTCACATACTACCACACATGTCAGACACCATTACCAATGGACCTTGGTGCTCTAAAGCATTGATTGAAATTCATCTCCCCCCCCCACTTTTTTCTAACGGGTGCGGCTGTGTTACCTGTGTCCTCAGGCAAGACACTTTACCACCAATTGCCTCTTCCCACCAAGAAGCGAAATGGGTACCTGTGAGGGCAGAAAATGGAACAAAACCAGGGATCTGTTGAAGTTATCCCCCCCCCCTTTTTTTCCCCTTAACTTCAGGATCCCCATCTAAGAGGCCCGTCCCGGTCCGGCGATTCAGACATGGATGACCCAAGCTGGGGCGAGACTGCGGAAGAGGTGTCCTCTTCAGGAACGTCTAGCGAGTCGAGCGAGAGTGATTCCTCTGACTCGGACAACGAAAAGAACGAGGAGATTCCACACTTTGAAGATCCGTTCAAACTCTTGCCGGCGACTGTTACGAGCACGCCAAGCGCTTGCACTAACACAGAAAAGAGTACGTTTTTAAAAAAAAATCTGGGGTTTTCCCGAAAGAGCGGTTGTTAATTCTGAGTCAGTCATCAGACAATCACTAGTCATTCATAAGACAATCACATGACAATCACAAGACAATCACATGACAATCACAAGACAATCACTAGTCAATCACAAAAAAAACACAAGACAATCGCTAGTCAATCACAAGTCATTCACGAAGAAGCACGAGACATGCACAAGACAATCACAATCACAATTCTATCAAAAGATGAATACAAATCAATTACAAGTCCATCACAAGCAAATCACAAGTCAATCACAAGTCCGTCTTAAGTCCATCACAAGCCAATAACAAGACAATCACAAGTCAATCACAAGTCAAACACAAGTCAATCACAAGTCAATCACAAGTCAATCACAAGTCAATCACAAGTCCATCACAAGTCAATCACAAGTCCATCACAAGCCAATCACAAGCCAATCACAAGCCAATCACAAGTCCATCACAAGCCAAATCACAAGTCAATCACAAGTCAATCACAAGTCCATCACAAGCCAATCACATGCTAATCATAAGCCCATCACAAGTCAATCACAAGTCCATCACAAGCCAATCACAAGCCAATCACAAGCCAGTCACAAGCTATAAAGTGATCTTAAATCTTAATGTCTAAATTTCAATTCAATCTGTTTTCCTTTCTTCAAGTCCGCGTACGCATCTTCGAAGGCAACGAGTGTAAGAAGACCGATCTGAGCGTGCTCGAAATCAGCTGCTACATCAACACCAAGGTTCACAACACACGCAGCAGCTGCGACTACATCCTCATTGGCGCCCTCTGTGCTGCCATCCTGGCCAGCATACCCATCAGTTTCAGGTCAGGGGTCATTGGGCTATACTATAATCTGTAACGAGGAGGGGAGATATTTTAAAATGAGCATTGTTCACCAAAGTGCACAACCCAATAAGAACTTCTGATTTACTTGTCAGATTGCGTGGCGTGTCCTTTCTGGACTTCGATCTATCTTGGCTGACCTATTCCCGGCTCCAGAGGGCAGCAGATTCTTTTCGGCTCAACACGGCCGCCTACATCGTGATAGGACTCTGCAGCATGGAACGCTTCGCGCTTAGTCTCATGTTCTTTTTCCTGTTGTCCGTCGCTGAGAAAACTTATAAACAGGTACATGTAATTTCTTAATACACTGTAGTTTCAAAAATCTACTACATGTAAAAAAATAACGGGTCCTACTTTTGATCCTAAATAACTGTTTACCGAATCAAACCAAAATTTCAGGTCATGTAAACAAGGCATGACACATTTTATGGAGCGAGTTTCATCAGCATTGTGCAAGAGAGTGAAATACTCACTTTCAGAATCTGCCATTTTTGACTTGGCGTCCTCTAATGTCAATACAGCGCTTGAGATGGTGGCGGAAGGCGTGCGTGCTGTGACGGAAAGCTTCGGAAGGAATGCAGGATCACCCCTGATGTCATTGCACACCTCGATTATTTGGCGCAACCCACGATCGAGGAGGTGTGCAATGACATCAGGGGTGATCCTACATTCCTTCAGAAGCTTTCAGCCGCAGCTTTCATGCCACAGCACTTGCTTCCGCCACCGTTTCCAGCGCTGTTTTGACATTCTCAAAGTGAGTATTTTTTTTCCAGTGGCGTTTAAATCTCACCCTGCACTAAGCTGATGAAACTCGGTCCATGAAATTTGTCATGCCTTGTTTACATGATGTGAAATTTTGGTTTAATTCCATTGGTTAACAACAGAGTTATTTAGGATCGGGAGAAGGACAGGTTTTTTTTTACACGTAGCATTATCACTTATAAAAGTGGATATGGACATAGGCATTAGCCTTTCTTGAGATGTGGTGAACACAATACGAGGGCGCTATTCATTGTTTGCAAACTTTCTTGTATTCATCCAAACATACCAGATCCAAATAGCAGCAAATATTTGTCATTTGGTACCAAAAATGCTGTGAATTATTCCTTTTTTTGCCGGTGAATAAAATGTTTCGAGTTTTTTGTTCGTAGCGTTGCCTTTTCGCAAAGTATTTCTCCCACCTTACGTCAACCCGCCGAGCTCGCAAGTCGGGCCTACCCCACTTCCGTCTGGACAAAGTCAGCAACATCAAAGCGTGGCTTTCGCTGAGGTCGTTCCTCAAGGTAGGGGTCCATGCACTTTTGCCGACCAAAATTCTTTTCCAAAATTGTGATGCTTCGGATATAAAAAAAAGACTTGTGACAAATTACTTTACTATTGGTTGTGTTGCAGTCACAAGGTCACAGTTAAAGGGAATGTACAACATTTGCTTTTGCTGCAATTTTCAGAAATAAATGGATTTGAAGGAGAAGTATGTTATAGCAAATATTGTTACACTGACTTGCTTCACGTTTTGGGTTCAGAGATGCTGGAAAATCCAAGAAAACCAACCATATTTTTGTAGTCTGGCTCCCTGACCCCACATAAGATGAAACGCAGCAATTTATAGACTTTGGATGATTGCAAGGTCAGAGAATCAGTCTAGCAGGCTTGTACTCCTTCACAGGTGTGTAATCAATTGCAAAAAAATGCGGAATAACTAAATATGAAAAATTAGCAGCACTTTTTGAAAAAAGTCAGTTTTCTCCAACACTGGTCGGCCGACCAGCGTTGGAAAAATACAAGTTTTCTTGAAAATGTCAGAACACCAGGAGCCACGATTTTACAGGATGCTTTCGACTGTCATTCCCTAACAATCCAGTAAGATATTTCGTGATAATTTGATCATTTCGTTTTTTGATGTTTGCAAATGTTGTATCTTCCCTTTAAAGTTCCATCGAGGACCATTGATTAAGCAGTTTTGTAGTCTAATCCATCACGAGTCTATCACAAGTCCATCATAAGCATTTATGTCCATCTCAAGTAAATCAAAAGTCTGTTAACAAGTGGAGTCACCAGTAACGAGGTGAACAATAACAAAGAAGTTGTAGTTCATTTAGACCTTGTGATTGAGATTTGATTGACTTTTTCTAGACGTGTGAGGACTTGTAATGACTTGTGAGGACTGACAAAACTTGTGAGAACTTGTGATGGACTTGTGAGAACTTGTGAAGACTAGTGAGGACTAAAGATGGTCTTGTGATGATATGTGATGGACTTGTGATGACGTGAGGACTTGTGATGTATTTGTGATGGACTTGTGAATGCTTGTGAGGACTTGTGAGGACTTGTGATGAACTTGTGAGGACTTGCAATTACATGTGAGCACTTGTGATGGACTTGTGAGGACTTTGGAGGATTTGTAAGGACTTGGGATAGACTTGAGGACTCGTGATGGACTTGTGATGACAAACGATGGACTTGTGATGACATGTGAGGACTTGTAGTGACTTGTGAGGACTTGTAGTGACTTGTGAGGACTTCTAATGACCTCTGATGTATTTGTGTAGACTTGTTATGATTTGTGATATATTTGTGAGGATTTGTAATGATTTGTGATGGACTTTTGAGGACTTGTCGCAAATAGATTCAAGACTTTGACTTGCCACTCTGCGCGGGTTTTTTCTACTGCACTGTAATTTTCAAGGATTGCCAGACCAAACACAATGTATATATTTTGAATATTAGGAGCAATATGACCTTTCTGTAATTACTATTATTTTCCATCAGAAACGTGGACCCCAGCGCTCGATTGATGTCATTGTGTCGTCAGCGTTCATGCTGACCCTATGCCTGATGTCTGTGCTGTGCGTTGAGGTAGGTTTATGAAATCTGAAGCAAGCCAAATTCAAGCCAAATGGCAGGACCAATTTTCGAATGAAAGTTTGCCTGTAGCACTTTCAAAATCTAGGTTAAAAAAGCCCAATCAATGAGCTTTCTTTTAGTACAAGAATCATTCAAATCACTCATGTACTTTTCAAGTTATGGCATTTTGAACACAGACACCGTTTAAAGTTCTGTCCACGGATCACAAAGGTAAGTGTTCTTTCAGCAAAAGAAAACAATTCACATGCATCCCTATGAGAATTGTTCTTCGCTATGCTGAAAGAACACTTCCTTTTTTTGCGATCCGTGGACAGAACTGTAAAACGGTGTTTGTGTTCAAAATTCCGTAACTTGAAAAGTACATGAGTGATCTGAATGATTCTTGTACTAAAAGAAAGCTCAACAACTGGGCTTTCATATCCTAGATTTTGAAAGTGCTGCAGGCAAAACTTCATTAAAAAATGGTCCGTCTATTTGGGATGCATTTTTTTTTACTCACCCTGTAGAGAGTCGGGCAGTGCTATTGTATAGGATTACCACATAACACCAATAAATGGGCTAAATCTGGCCCAGTGATTAGCCATTCTAAATCAGTTCAATACAACTTTGGGTGGAGTTTTACCCGTCTAGACTGCATTACTCGTGTAGAAACTGTGTTGGATTCTCGCTAGCGAGAAACGGATTCCAGAAATCTCTGCCTTGGATCCAGGTCTAATGCGGAGTTTTTAGACAGTTGGAAAGGACGGTTATTCTTAAAGGCCCATTGGAACATTTGCAATTACTCGGAAACGTACTGACCGAATTAATGAGAAAATCCTTGCTCAAATTGTAGATAGGACTGGTACCAAATCTGTGAAATTATTCCGCCTGAAATGGTATCATTCGAAAGAAACCAATCTTTGAAGGTGGTTTCAGAAAATGTGCCCGATGGCACACTTTTTTGTTTGCATGCATTCACAACGAAATCCATTTACAAGAGCCCGAAAATTGTGCACACATTTTCTCCGTTTCCTCAAAATGTATGGTATCCACTTAGCTGAAAGTTCAACAAGTTATTTGTTATGCGCCCTTCTTAAAATTTTGAGCAATTTTGTTGATTCAAATGAAAACAAAAATGATGCATTCAAAGCAAATGATCTTACGTACTTTCAATGTTTGTTTGTTATTTTGGCGTCATACAGATGCTTCAGAAAGAGTTCAAGTTCCTGTCCCACCTCTTCAACTGGGAGCTGATTGCCTGGACGTTCTGCATGTGTCCGTTCCTACTTAGGTTCATGACGCTGGGCTCCAACATCAACCAAAAGTTCCGCAACACGTCTGTGCTATTAACTGAACAGGTATGTGCAATGTCAGGGGCGGGGCTTGGACTTCTAAAAAGGGGAGGAGAGAATTTGTAAATTTGATGAAAGCTTGTTATCCCCCTAGCTTTTAAGCCAAGAAAGGGGGACCTTGCGATAGTGTATTCCTTCTGTGTGTACGTGTGTTCCATTTGGGTTTATAGGTTTAACTGTTTAGTGCTGTCATATGAAAAGTCAGACTTTAATCTCAACCAAACTTGGTGACAATAATCTTTGGGTAGAGGGACTTCAGATGACTTGGAACATTTGAGGTCAAAGGTCATCCAGGGGTCAAATGAGGTCATTGTTGTTTTTGGTTAGGTACTAAACTGAAAATTGCTGTCATGAAAAGTTTAAGTAGACTTCACTCTCAACCAAACTTGGTGACAATAATCTTTGGGTAGGGGGACTTCAGATTACTTGAGACATTTGAGGTCAAAGGTCATCCAGGGGTCAAATGAGGTCATTGTTGATTTTGGCTAGGTACAATACTGAAAATTGCTGTCATGAAAAGTTTAAGTAGACTTCACTCCCAACCAAACTTGGTGACAATAATCTTTGGGTACGGGGACGTCAGATAACTTGAGACATTTGAGGTCAAAGGTCATCTAGGGGTCAAATGAGGTCATTGTTGATTTTGGCTAGGTCAACTGAAAAGTGTGCTTACCAACTGACTGTATAAAAACTACCAGCATGCCAGGGGGGTTCAAGTTTTACTTGCAGTATTTTTCAAATTAGCAAATATGAAACATTCCAAATACTTTTACTGTACACCTGTTTGACATTTTACATCGCAAGAGCAAATGTTTTGTGTTTATTGTTCATATCTTTGTTTTCCTTTAGATTAATCTCTATTTGCACATGGAGAAAAAGCCACACAAGAAGGATGATCTGATGCTGGTGAACAACGTACTTAAACTTGCCTCTAAACTCCTTAAGGTAAAATCTTAAAAAAATTAAATTAAAAATTCAGCCCAGACCAAAATTGTATTCAATTTTTTTCCATCCTGTCCACAGCCTGAACTTAAAAACCAATACCGTATTTTTTTTTCTGTGTGGCCTGCATTGCAAAACGTTTTATTTCGAAATCACGGCAGATTCCATCCAGAAATGACTATCTGCTTGACGGTCGGGGGTAACGATATCTGAATCATTCTCAGTTCTTATATTTGGGAGTGAAGGTTGTGTGGCCTAGTGGTTCAGGATTTGTGATCATAGGTCAGGGTTTCGAATACAGCCGCTGGTGATGTGCTGTGTCCTTGGGCAAGCCATTTTACTCTCATGTTACTCCAGGAATGACTTTGAGCTTGATAATCGGGGGTAGCAATACTTGGAGGGCTTTGAAAAAAAAATGGGGGGGGGAGGGGAGTGATTTTCAGTTGGAGAAAAACCTTGTTATTAGATTTGTGATTTGTGACTGAAGGGTCTGGGGTTCAAATCTATATGCTGGCCATGTGATGCGTCCTTGGGCAAGCCACTTTACTCTCACGTGACTCCAGGATTGACCTTAAGCTTGACAGTACGGGGTAGCCACACCAGGTGTTTGTACAGAAGCTAACAGATAAAGACACAGTCGGGGTAAGGATACTTGCGAGGCTTTGAATTCTGTTGGGCTCTTTAGAGTCAGAGAAAAGCCTTGTGATCAGATTTATGATTTGTGATTGAAGGGTCAGGGGTTTGAATCTGTCTGCTAGCCATGTGATGTGTCCTTGGGCAAGCCACTTTACCCCAATTTGCCTCTTTTCACCCTGTAGTGTAAGTGGCATTAGCTTAGGAATAACCTGCGACGAACTGGCATTTCATTCGAAGGAACAGAAATATTCACAATCTCTTCTGAGTAGTTTGGAAGCTGAGGTTTCAATAATAGATGAATGACCCTCTGAACTTTGACCTCTGACCTACAGGAAATCGAGACTCCCTTCAAGATTGCCGGCATGGCTATGAACCCGGTTCTCTACAACATCACAAGAGTTGTGGTCTTGTCGGCTTTCTCTGGCGTCCTCACCGAGCTGCTGGGGTTCAAGTTGAAGGTGAGTGAGAATCCCCTAAAACCTTGTACTTGAGACTGAATTGTGATTTGACTTCTGATCGACCCAGGATGGACTTGTGCTTGACTTGTGATTGACTTAGGATCGACTTGTGATTGACTTGTGATTGACTTGTGATTGACCTGTGATTGACTTGTGATCGACTTGTGATTGACTTGCGATTGTTTTGTGATTGACTCATGATTGGACTGTGATCGACTTGTGATTGACTTGCCATTGACTTGTGATTGACTTGTGATTGACTTATGATTGACTTGTGATCGACTTGTGATCGATTTGTGATTGTCTCATGATTGACTTGTGCTCGACTTGTGATTGACTTTTGATTGACTTGCCATTGATTTGTGATTGACTTGCCATTGACTTGCGATTGGGTTGTGATCGACTTGTGACTTTATTTTTCGGTCCCTCTTTTCAGCTTTGGAAGATCAAGGCCACATGAGGGAAATATTCTCAGAAGGGTAGCCACGTTCATTTATGGCAGCCATATGCATATCAGTATATCCAATCAAAGGGGCAGACATTTGTGTCAAGTAAAACAAATCAATCAAAGCTGAACTCTGATTGGCTGACACAATTGTTAATATCCAATGGAATGTATTCATGAGTTTCCACCTGGTTTGTTCCTGAAGATAAATCAAAAATGTCGACACCTGTCAAAAATATGTAAATTCTATTTAATAAATATAATATATAACCAAAATATTCAGCATTTGTTATAATTGTTGTGTCGACTTAGAAGCCTGCCAAAGAAATTATAAAAATTCTTGACAGTTGCGGTGAATGTGTAAGTGATTTTTGTTGGTTGGTAGATATGACCAATCAAATTGCATCATTGGAACAGCTTTATGTAATGAGGTTTCCTATTGGTTGACCTCAAGATGTGTTGTTATGGATTGACCAATCACAGGTTGTGACATTGAGTCTCAAAAAAATTGCATTGAAACAACAGCCTCAATTGGTTGGCTAGGGTTGCCAAGAGTCCGTGATGTTCCATTAACCAATCACAAAGACCGTCTCTTAGACTGACAACAGCATTTTACTAAGTAAGTTTCTAATTGGTTGGGAGCTGGTTTTCGCAACTGATTTAAAGAGTAAATGTATATTAACATTTAGCAATGATTATTGAAAGTCTGATTTCATTGTTACCTAAAATGAACAAAATCCCAAAGATATTTGCGATGTTTGTAATACATTGTATGTTGTATTGCCGTGGCTGTATTATTATTTTTTAACTTTTAAGCAACGTTCTTTTGCAGAACATTGGTAATGTTATTGTTTTGTAAAATGCAATGAATTTGTGTCGGAGTAAATATCTAAATTTGTGGTGCTTTTTAGCAAATTGTCAAGACAGGTGTTTGTTTTCTCCGTCTTACATGTATTTATATGAAAATACTCTTAGTATTATTGTTTTGAAGGAATGTTTGCACATAACTTTTTTTGACGTGACATTGTTATTTAAATGAGTTTGTTGTTATATTTAGCACTGTTTTCTAGTGCTCAAAGGCAAAAAAAAATTAAAATTTTGAGATTCTTACCCAAACAAATTCATCAAAGTGCTAGTATTTAATTTGAATTCTCTCCCCTAATGAACAAAGATAAAGATGTAAGGGGTTAGCCTTGCAGTTTTATCAAAATTGAGCAAAATTTGCCTTTTTTTGGAAAATCAAGAATGTAAGGGGTTAGCCTTGCATTTTTATCAAAATTGGGCAAAATTTGACTTTTTCTGAAAAATTAAAAATGTAAGGGGTTAGCCTTGCATTTTGATCAAAATTGAGCAAAATTTGCCTTTTTTTGGAAAATCAAAAATGTAAGGGGGTTAGCCTTGCATTTTTACCAAAATTGGGCAAAATTTTGCTTTTTGTGGAAATTCACAAATGTAAGGGGTTAGCCTTGCATTTTTATCAAAATTGGACAAAATTTGACTTTTTCTGAAAAATTAAAAATGTAAGGGGTTAGCCTTGCATTTCTATCAAAATTGAGCAAAATTTGCTTTTTTTTGGAAAATCAAGAATGTATTTATCAAATTCACAAATGTAAGGGGTTAGCCTTGCATTTTTATCAAAATTGGACAAAAATTGACTTTTCATGAAAAATTAAAAATGTAAGGGGTTAGCCTTGCATTTTTATCAAAACTGGGCAAAATTTGACTTCTTCTGAAAAATTAAAAATGTAAGGGGTTAGACTTGCATTTTTATCAAAATTGGGCAAAATTTGACTTTTTCTGATAAATTAAAAATGTAAGGGGTTAGCCTTGCATTTTGATCAAAATTGAGCAAAATTTGCCTTTTTTTGGAAAATCAAAAATGTAAGGGGTTAGCCTTGCATTTTTACCAAAATTGGGCAAAATTTGGCTTTTTGTGGAAATTCACAAATGTAAGGGGTTAGCCTTGCATTTTTATCAAAATTGGACAAAATTTGACTTTTTCTGAAAAATTAAAAATGTAAGGGGTTAGCCTTGCATTTCTATCAAAATTGAGCAAAATTTGTTTTTTTTTTGGAAAATCAAGAATGTAAGGGGTTAGCCTTGCATTTTCATCAAAATTGGGCAAAATTTTGCTTTTAAAGGAAATTCACAAATGTAAGGGGTTAGCCTTGCATTTTTATCAAAATTGGACAAAATTTGACTTTTCATGAAAAATAAAAAATGTAAGGGGTTAGCCTTGCATTTTTATCAAAATTGGACAAAATTTGACTTCTTCTGAAAAATTAAAAATGTAAGGGGTTAGCCTTGCATTTTTATCAAAATTGGGCAAAATTTGACTTTTTCTGAAAAATAAAAAATGTAAGGGGTTAGCCTTGCATTTTTATCAAAATTGGGCAAAATTTGACTTTTTGTGGAAATTCACAAATGTAAGGGGTTAGCCTTGCATTTTTATCAAAATTGGGCAAAATTTGACTTTTTGTGGAAATTCACAAATGTAAGGGGTTAGCCTTGCATTTTTATCAAAATTGGGCAAAATTTGACTTTTTCTGAAAAATCAAAAATGTAAGGGGTTAGCCTTGCGTTTTTATCAAAATTGGGCAAAATTTGACTTTTTCTGAAAAATTAAAAATGTAAGGGGTTAGCCTTGCATTTCTATCAAAATTGAGCAAAATTTGGTTTTTTTTTGGAAAATCAAGAATGTAAGGGGTTAGCCTTGCATTTTCATCAAAATTGGGCAAAATTTTGTCTTTAAAGGAAATTCACAAATAAAAGGGGTTAGCCTTGCATTTTTATCAAAATTGGACAAAATTTGACTTCTTCTGAAAAATTAAAAATGTAAGGGGTTAGCCTTGCATTTTTATCAAAATTGGGCAAAATTTGACTTTTTCTGAAAAATAAACAATGTAAGGGGTTAGCCTTGCATTTTTATCAAAATTGGGCAAAATTTGACTTTTTGTGGAAATTCACAAATGTAAGGGGTTAGCCTTGCATTTTTATCAAAATTGGGCAAAATTTGACTTTTTCTGAAAAATCAAAAATGTAAGGGGTTAGCCTTGCGTTTTTATCAAAATTGGGCAAAATTTGACTTTTTCTGAAAAATTAAAAATGTAAGGGGTTAGCCTTGCATTTCTATCAAAATTGAGCAAAATTTGGTTTTTTTTTGGAAAATCAAGAATGTAAGGGGTTAGCCTTGCATTTTCATCAAAATTGGGCAAAATTTTGCTTTTAAAGGAAATTCACAAATAAAAGGGGTTAGCCTTGCATTTTTATCAAAATTGGACAAAATTGGACTTTTCATGAAAAATCAAAAATGTAAGGGGTTAGCCTTGCATTTTTATCAAAATTGGGCAAAATTTGACTTATGGTGGAAATTCACGAATGTAAGGGGTTAGCCTTGCATTTTTATCAAAATTGGGCAAAATTTGACTTTTTCTGAAAAATTAAAAATGTAAGGGGTTAGCCTTGCATTTTTATCAAAATTGGACAAAATTTGACTTTTTCTGAAAAATCAAAAATGTAAGGGGTTAGCCTTGCGTTTTTATCAAAATTGGACAAAATTTGACTTTTTCTGAAAAATTAAAAATGTAAGGGGTTAGCCTTGCATTTTCATCAAAATTGGGCAAAATTTGACTTTTTCTGAAAAATTAAAAATGTAAGGGGTTAGCCTTGCATTTCTATCAAAATTGAGCAAAATTTGCTTTTTTTTGGAAAATCAAAAATGTAAGGGGTTAGCCTTGCATTTTCATCAAAATTGGGCAAAATTTTGCTTTTAAAGGAAATTCACAAATGTAAGGGGTTAGCCTTGCATTTTTATCAAAATTGGACAAAATTTGACTTTTTCTGAAAAATTAAAAATGTAAGGGGTTAGCCTTGCATTTTCATCAAAATTGGGCAAAATTTGACTTTTTCTGAAAAATTAAAAATGTAAGGGGTTAGCCTTGCATTTTTATCAAAATTGGGCAAAATTTGACTTTTTCTGAACAATTAAAAATGTAAGGGGTTAGCCTTGCATTTTTATCAAAATTGGACAAAAATTGACTTTTCATGAAAAATCAAAAATGTAAGGGGTTAGCCTTGCATTTTTATCAAAATTGGGCAAAATTTGACTTTTTCTGAAAAATTAAAAATGTAAGGGGTTAGCCTTGCATTTTCATCAAAATTGGGCAAAATTTGACTTTTTCTGAAAAATTAAAAATGTAAGGGGTTAGCCTTGCATTTTCATCAAAATTGGGCAAAATTTGACTTTTTCTGAAAAATTAAAAATGTAAGGGGTTAGCCTTGCATTTCTATCAAAATTGAGCAAAATTTGCTTTTTTTTGGAAAATCAAAAATGTAAGGGGTTAGCCTTGCATTTTCATCAAAATTGGGCAAAATTTTGCTTTTAAAGGAAATTCACAAATGTAAGGGGTTAGCCTTGCATTTTTATCAAAATTGGACAAAATTTGACTTTTCATGAAAAATCAAAAATGTAAGAGGTTAGCCTTGCGTTTTTATCAAAATTGGGCAAAATTTGACTTTTTCTGAAAAATCAAAAATGTAAGGGGTTAGCCTTGCATTTTTATCAAAATTGGGCAAAATTTGACTTTTTCTGAAAAATTAAAAATGTAAGGGGTTAGCCTTGCATTTTCATCAAAATTGGGCAAAATTTGACTTTTTCTGAAAAATTAAAAATGTAAGGGGTTAGCCTTGCATTTTTATCAAAATTGGACAAAATTTGACTTTTTGTGGAAATTCACAAATGTAAGGGGTTAGCCTTGCATTTTTATCAAAATTGAGCAAAATTTGCCTTTTTTTGGAAAATCAAGAATGTTAGGGGTTAGCATTGCATTTTCATCAAAATTGGGCAAAATTTTGCTTTTTGTGGAAATTCACAAATGTAAGGGGTTAGCCTTGCATTTTTATCAAAATTGGACAAAATTTGACTTTTCATGAAAAATCAAAAATGTAAGGGGTTAGCCTTGCATTTTTATCAAAATTGGGCAAAATTTGACTTTTTCTGAAAAATTAATAATGTAAGGGGTTAGCCTTGCATTTTTATCAAAATTGAGCAAAATTTGATCTTTTCTGAAAAATCACAAATGTAAGGGGTTAGCCTTGCATTTTTATCAAAATTGAGCAAAATTTGCCTTTTTCTGAAAAATCAAGAATGTAAGGGGTTAGCCTTGCATTTTCATCAAAATTGGGCAAAATTTGACTTTTTGTGGAAATTCACAAATGTAAGGGGTTAGCCTTGCATTTTTATCAAAATTGGACAAAATTTGACTTTTTCTGAAAAATCAAAAATGTAAGGGGTTAGCCTTGCATTTTCATCAAAATTGGGCAAAATTTGACTTTTTGTGGAAATTCACAAATGTAAGGGGTTAGCCTTGCATTTTTATCAAAATTGGACAAAATTGGACTTTTCATGAAAAATCAAAAATGTAAGGGGTTAGCCTTGCATTTTTATCAAAATTGGGCAAAATTTGACTTTTTCTGAAAAATTAATAATGTAAGGGGTTAGCCTTGCATTTTTATCAAAATTGGGTAAAATTTGACTTTTTCTGAAAAATTAAAAATGTAAGGGGTTAGCCTTGCATTTTTATCAAAATTGAGCAAAATTTGCCTTTTTTTGGAAAATCAAGAATGTTAGGGGTTAGCCTTGCATTTTCATCAAAATTGGGCAAAATTTTGCTTTTTGTGGAAATTCACAAATGTAAGGGGTTAGCCTTGCATTTTTATCAAAATTGGACAAAATTTGACTTTTCATGAAAAATCAAAAATGTAAGGGGTTAGCCTTGCATTTCTATCAAAATTGAGCAAAATTTGCTTTTTTTTGGAAAATCAAAAATGTAAGGGGTTAGCCTTGCATTTTCATCAAAATTGGGCAAAATTTTGCTTTTAAAGGAAATTCACAAATGTAAGGGGTTAGCCTTGCATTTTTATCAAAATTGGACAAAATTTGACTTTTTCTGAAAAATTAAAAATGTAAGGGGTTAGCCTTGCATTTTCATCAAAATTGGGCAAAATTTGACTTTTTCTGAAAAATTAAAAATGTAAGGGGTTAGCCTTGCATTTTTATCAAAATTGGGCAAAATTTGCCTTTTTTTGGAAAATTAAAAATGTAAGGGGTTAACCTTGCATTTTGATCACAATTGAGCAAAATTTGCCTTTTTGGGGGAAATCAAGAATGTAAGGGGTTAACCTTGCATTTTGATAAAAATTGGGCAAAAGTTTGCTTTTAATGGAAATTCACAAATGTAAGCCTTTAGCCTTGCATTTTTTAATTTTGCCCAATTTTGATAAAAATTGGGCAAAATTCGCCCTTTTTTTGGAAAATCAAGAATGCAAGGGGTTAGCCTTGCATTTTTATCACATTGTTTTTTTGATCTAAATGGCTTATAGAAACATTCTTGAAAGAAGCACTCCCAAAACACCATGTCTAGCGAACACTACAAAAATAGCTTTTTTTGTGTTTATTCTTACAAAAACAAAAGGCAATTTAGTCATGCTGAACAAAACAATTATAATAATGCTACCAAAAAAAGTGTGGAAGGTAAATTTATTGCATGATACATTTATTGACACACTATAAACTTTTTTTTTAAAATTCGGGACACACTCCGATTAAACAAAGAGGCAAAACTGCTTCCTTATCTTGTCCAAAATGATTATTTGTTTGCAAGACTTAATCATTTTGGCGTTACCACTTACTCTCGTAGTAAACATAAACAGGCGAAGGTTTGAAACAAAAATGGTTACATTACGAGCATCTGAACATCACTATTTGGTCAGAAAATTAGCAAACAGTCAAATAATTTAACTGATTACATTATTTATAAATACATGTAGTTTTTAAAAAAATTGATTTTTCATTTACACAAACTTAAACAAAATCCACAATTTCAGAGTATAAGTATTAATCTTCTTGCTTCTGGGTAGTGTTTAATGGGAGTGTGTCACGTTCTTGGCAGCGATTCATTTGTCGCAGGCTTTATCCACGCTTAATCTATAGTTCGAGCCTGCATTGAACACGATCATTTTTAACTGTTCGCATTTTTTGCCATCGGCTCCTTTTGTTTGTTGACCAATCCTAGCAAAGTAACACTGAACACACTACATTAGTCCCCCTTCAATGGCGAAAGCATTGTGCTAGCTATTGTTCAAATAATCCGCCACGCAGGGCGATTGCTTTTGTACAATAGCTCGCACAATGGTTTCTCTATTGAGGGGAGCCTCCATGGCGTGCCGAGATTAGTCTATTCGCGGTGCTAGTGTCATTTCGATTGAGCCAAAATGTCAACTTCAATCCTAACAGAACTCAACCCATCAAACCCCAACGGCATGTTTTGTTGGAATCTATCAGGATGGGTACAGTACCCCTAAACTGACAGTCTTTTACATTGGGTTGGCACACCTTCAGAATCAAAGTCAGAAATGTGTGTGAGCAGTTTCCCATATGGTGTTGGAATTTGCCAGGATTGGTATGGTTCCTAGCAAATCAGGCTAGAATGTTACTTTTTAGGGTTAATTGTCTTGAGAAAATAAAATAATGAGATCAGAGCGACGAGCATTTCCCCCCAAGTTGTTGCTGATACTTTGTCAGATAAAAAGTACATGTATGTTAAAACACGCTGGCTGTTTCCTGAAACAGATAACCGACAGTTAAAAATGAACGTGTTCGTGAACAAAAACACAATCTAAATTTGTTTAATTTATACAGACTGAATGCATTTCCTACACAAAATTTTACGACAGTTTGTACGTTTATCACAATGCAAAAATACCTACTTATCAAAAAACAAAAATTATCTTGTATTGCTTTATATAAAATATAGTAAGCTCATTAAACAGACAAGTAAATCACATAAATCTCAGGAAATGTAATGTAGGTCCTTGGCAGGGGATTTGTGCATGGTAATTGGTAACTATGGCAACTAGTGTCGTTTCAATAACCATGGAAACGACACTGGTTTCCATGGTAAAACCCTGAGCCTTACTAACCCTAATCATACTGCTGAAATTAGTACGGTTGACGGTTCCACTGGAAAACCACGCCGCAGAGTGCAAAATTTGACTAAGAAAAAAATTCAACCGCACAAGTTCGCTTGAGAGCCCTCAAACTAAACTCTCCATTAGAAAAAAAATAACTGTTATGAGCTTAGCACTTTTTTGTGCTGTATACATGAAGCCATCCTCCCTACAATTTTAACCCCGCCCCCAAAGTGGGTGGACGCGACCTCCCACATTTGCACACACTTTCACATTGAAGCTATTTACATGTATCTGTGAACGAAATCGTTGAGTTCTTCGAACTGTTAACATAATTAAGTTGACAAAAAGCAATAACACCCCCTACCCACTATCGGCCTTCTTAGAGGAGACCTCTTTCGAACAGCTCAAGAAATTACAAAAGTAGTCGACACAAAATTAAGTGTATTCTTTTCGAAATATAAGATGTAGTAATATCTCTTTGGCTTTCGTTCTGAGAAGCGCAGAAAATCTTTGGTGCAAATCCAAAATTGTTGTTACTGCTGTTCACCAACAACCTTTTTTTTAAATATTTGCCAATATTTGTCACACTTTCCCTAAAAAGCAACATATATTTAATTATGAAAACTTTGCTTTTAATTTTTTTTTTTTTTTTTTAACATCTACAACATAATTTGTTAATTTACAATTGTTGCTCAAGAGAAATATATCGTTTTGCTAAAAATCACAAGAAAACACAAGACAAAAAAAGGAAGATGTCTACCAGTTGGCATGACAACCAGCAGCCATGGTAACACATATTAAGCAGAATAAACACAAATACAAACATTTACAGCAAATCAGGCGTTACTTTATACCCTGTGAATTTTTTTGTTGTACTTTCTTACAATAAAATGTCGCATGCTAGCTTTGCCCAACTCGTTATTTTTATGTAAAAAAAAAACGTACATATAATCTGAATTAGGCATTTACTTCTGATCAAATGACCTCAGCAAGCAAATCAAATTACACATTCAGAACATGTGACCAGGTGAGTTTTTTTTGTTTAGCCCCCCCCCCCCAATCTATGTGATTGACCATAGCAAAAGCCATGGTCTTTAACATTTGAGCAGATTCGCTGATTAATTATGCAAGACAACCGCATCTTGACTTCTAGATTTTGACCAATCAGCGGGCGCTTTCTATATCGGGCCTTCGGTCATTCACCGTTGTCGCGTCACATACATGGATACAAAAAAAATACCCTAGACACCGCAACAAAGGCTCTGGTCACGCGCTATTATGTTATGCGATACGCGCCCGGCTGTTGTATTTCAAAACACTGCATTCAAATTGACCAATCACACGTTAAGTCCTGATTTGGGATTAAAATGACATCACAATGTAGTAAAGTCGACTTTGATTGGCTGAGGCGCGGGATCGCATAAATCTGCATGCTTTGACATATCAGACGTTATACAGGAGACCTGGCTCCGTAGATTATGGGTGATACCCAGACTACCCCCCCCCCCCCCCAAAAAGAAAAATTCAATATCTCGTTACAATTGGTGTTTACATTTGTATTTACAAATGCCACTCTTCCCTTAGCAATTTACCGAATGTAAAATCGTAGAAACAAAAAACAGCAAATTGCTCAGTACGAAATGTATATAATTGTCATTCTATAAATTTGGGGTCCACTTTTTTCCTGTGCCAGTTACATCTGACATCTATGATTGTATAATTCTGATGCACTCCTTAATGCAGTCGTCCTCCAAGAGTGATTATGAATAGCAAACTACCTACCAAACAATTAAAAAATCATTTGAAGTCATTCTCAATGATACTTGAATAGCAAATTTCAAAGTTCAGCTGTAACGAGGACTGGAAAATGGTCAAGCTTCGGACCCTAAATTTAAAGAATAAACCACATGCCTCAGATCACATTTACATTTCAACCATTCAAAATTACAAATATTCGAATAATTATACACGTACTTCTACACTAATACAAAATTGTCATAATTTAAAGTGTTCTTTTCTTTCCATTTCATAAATCAAGAAATATTAGCTACATAAATACAAAATGATCATTACAGAACCAGAAGTATAACGAAATTCCCAAATAAAAAAAATAAAAAAAGTGAAATGTTAAACTTGAGGCAAGAAAATGGTGCAATTTTTCAGGATCCTGCTACTTTTATAGAAACGTGGACATTTATGCTTTTGCTGTTTGTTTGATCCAGAATTAGGAACACAAACCAGCTCGAAAACAATTCATTTTTTTTAAAAATACCTAAATTTCTTGCTCACAAACCAAATTCAATTGATTGAACATACTGTTTACGAATAAGTATTTGCACAAATACAGTTAAAAATATTTCTTCCGGACAAAAAAATGGAAAATTCTGACAGGATTGGTTATTTGTGTTGCCTCAATCTACTGAGACCATTATTTCAAAGTTGCTCAGCTGGAAAAAATCCTTAAGCAAAATTCAACGGAGGACCAGTCAAAAACTATGTACATGGCATGGCTGATTGGCTGGTTACCTGTTTCTGCTAAGCAAATAATTTCTCTGCTAAGAAGATTTGAGGTCTAATTTTGACTTACAATCTTGCGTGTTCAATTCATTTTTTTTGTTTAAAGATGAGCTAGAAACAAACTAATGCAATGTGAAAATTCATTCACCCATGGTCTCTGCAAAGAGCGCCCTCTTTAGTTCAGGCGCAAAGCCATTAACAGTTCCTGCGGCATGTTTTTATACCTAGCCCACTATATACAAACAGCGTGACGCATGCACACAGCTAATCCAACACGTTGTCAAAGCTATCACTGTGGCCCCCTGCAATGGCGACAGCACTGTGCTAGCTATTGTTCAGCTAATCCATCACGGGGCAGTTGCTTTGTACAATAGTGGTTTCTCCATTGGAGGGGGCGTCATGTACAGTAATCGTGTGCCTGGCTTCGCTTGTGCCCAAAACAGCTTCGGTACGGAAACGTTAAAAAAAATTCATATTAGCGGTCGGAAACTACTGTATTAATTATTCTGACGTAAATGTTTAAGTTCATTTTAAAATAGTTGCAGCATTGCCATAATTTCAAAATACTGGTATGTCTAGCGCAGTGAAGCATGGATACATGTACATGCAAGCACAGAGCGTTCATTACATGCTGAATGACCGTTGACACGCAAGGGTCACAGTTCAAACACAGGTCAACACAGGAGGGCGCTGTTTCCATCATGTGACTGCTGTCTGTATGCCTTCGAAACTATTTCACTTAATTGCAAATGCACATTATATGTAAGTTATGAAAACAGTTCAAATTCTTTGGCATATTCACACTACAAAATTGAAGGAGGCACAACAGAAAGAAGTTGTAAAATTCACTTGCAAAGTCCAAACACATTATTGGCCGCAAATTCAAATTACAAATACTTGATGCAAATTAGGTCTTAACTTTTGACAATGCATTTTGTTTTGCATATTAACAGCAAGCCTTAGTATTAAAAAGGTTTCATTTAGTTTGGTCTTTTATTTTTTGAGGGACACCATATTTCAAACTTTTCATATTTCTTTTCAAAGTATTTGACCGATGATGAGCGGTTCGATCACTGCTCATCCAGAATCTCCAGAAACTTTGCACCGGTATCGTCATCAACTACAAAACTGACCGTTTTATCCTTGTTCTTTGGCGGATTTGACTCCTGTTTGTTTTGACTGAGGTTATCCATGAGATTAGACCCATCGTGCTCTTCCAATATTTCAACGTCCGACAACGCACGCTTCTTTCGCTCAGACGGCTCTTCGTTAGCTGCTAATGATGTGACAGCGTATTTGGTTTCTGAAGCGCCCTCTAGTGTCTTGCCATGCAGTTCCCTTCCTGTGGGAGTGGTTTCCAAGAAGTTTGGACGACCGACTTGACGACTTGTTGCCGGTGACCCTGAGCCTTCGCTGTTGCTCGAGGGCGTGCTTCGTTGCGTCACTGTTGAAATGAAACTTACGCTGGTCGCTTCGGACAAGCCAGAACCTTGCGTTGCTCCAGAGCCTTCTAGCTCACCGTGAAATGACGAGGGAGTTGTATCGAGTGGAAGGGAAGACGCGGAGGCACGAGTCGGATGCATCTTATTAAACTGAGTCGGACGTTTCAGCTCGGCTGCAGTTGGCAACTGTGGAGGACCAGTGATGTCTGTTGACGATACTTCTGTGTGCTGCTCATCATGTTGTTTGAAGTTCTTGTTGGGTTCTACGGCATTCCGATGCGATCTTGTCTTCGTCGAGTCCTCTGAATTAGATCTTCGATGAAAATTGCTGAATGTGAACGCTGCACTTTTTTTCTCCTGACTTTGTGGTTCTTCGTTGAAATCCTCATCTACGACAGGAATCAGAGTGGTGCCAATGTAGGCAACGCTGGCTTGTGGAGCTTCAGGACTTCCTGTCGTTTTCTCTTCCAACAATTCAACAATTGTTGGATTGTCGTTCCCAGATCCTTCAAAGTTGAGTTCAAATGTCCCCGCAAGAGTTTCAGTCATCGAGGCCAAAGTACTTGTAGGCATTTCTTCTAACAAGGGGTCTTGTGTTCTAACGACAAACGATTCTTTAGTTATTGGAACTTGAGATGTTGGAATTGTTACCGTATCTCTGGAAAATAATTCGCTGGTTGTGGGAAGATCGGTCCCGGAGCCTTCAAACTCCATTTCAGGATTCTCTTCAGAAGTCACGGATGTTTGTGCACTTGTGAGAATTCCGTTCAAAGAGGTGGTGACTGATGGTTCTTTCGTTGTTACAGGGGTGCTTAAAAATGTATCGCTACGTGTCGGAACGTCAGAACTTAGTATTGTTTCTCTAGTCGATGAGTTGTCGGGTGTTGGAATTTCGGAGCCAGAGCCTTCAAATTGTGATTCAAGTTTCTCTGCTGAAGTTGTGATCACTGAAGTTGTGATCACGGAAGCTGTACTAGTGGACTTTTCATTTGGGGTTTCTAAAGTTGTAATGACGGAAAGTTTATCTGTTGCCAGTTGGGTACTTAAATTTGCAACACTGGATGTGGTTTCGGAAATTTGGGACATTCTTTCTGTTAGGTGTTCAGTTGTGGTAAGCTCGGTTCCAGATCCTTCATATTCCGTTCCAAGTTCCCTTTCTGGAGTTGTAGTAACTGAGGCCAGTGTGCTCAATGGTTTGGTTGAAGTTTTCCGTGCCGAGGTGAGCTGTGTTGTTTCGACTGATAACCCTTCCGTTGTGAGAGGGACTGGGGGTTGGGTTTCCAGTGAGGTCACAGAAGGGTCAAAGGTCACAGTGGGGTCAAGGGTCACAGTGGGAGTGGTTTGCAGGGGTGTGCTAATTGTTGCTGCTGCGTTGGTTAGCTGGTCAGAAGTTTCCGGGGTCGGTGTTACGGTTGATTCGGTTCGGGTGTCGCCGTGGCGATTTTTTCCGCTTGTTGAATTTTTTCCAGAGGTGGCTGCAGAGGAAAACCGATGTGAAACTTTAACAAAAATGTTAATTCAAAAGTTGAACAATGAAATTGTGTGGAGTGGGGTTTGAACCTGTGACCTCCGGATTGCCGTTCCGTTGCTCTACCAACTGAGCTCTCAAGCCCTATGTTGGTGGTTCCTCGTTTTGTCAATGTCTTTGCGATATTAACAAAATAATTCAAGCGTCCTTGAAGAAAGACATTGACAAAATGGGGAACCCCAAACGTAGGGCTGGATAGCTCAGTTGGTAGAGCACCTGAACGGCAATCAGGAGGTTGCAGGTTCAAACCCGCTCCAGTGAAAATTACAGTTTTAAATTTTCTTTTTCACTAAAAGCAAAAGGCAGCAAATAACAAAGCGAGAAGCTGGTGAACCACTCCTTTGCTTACATCAATTTTCATTGCTACAAGTGAAATAGTTTCTCTCAACTAAAAACTGCAGGGCAATGCCGCCCAAGAGGGTTTGACTAAGTGTTATCAAACACTAGAGGACGCTCTTTAACATGGATGGAACCACTAGCAAACGTGTCGGGATAAGAGTGTTCCTCACAAGTTGCAACTAGCAAAAACTGACGTAAGCAAAGAACTGCATGTATCTACTTGGTGTAAATGCTACAGAGGATATGAGTCGGGAAAAAAATGGGGAAAATTAATAAAACACACGGCATGAAAGAGCTACAAGCGTCTACAATTAAAAAGCAAATTGGAAAACGCGAACCCAAATAATTATAAGCATGATTAACAGATCGGTGTTTTCACTGTGCACTTTTATAACGACTGTGTAACGTTAAGCAAAAGCATACAATATACAGTTAGCTGGTACATACTTAACTCATTAGCACCTGTATTACATTGTATTACATTGTATTACATTGTATTACATTGTATTACATTGTGTTTATTCACTCAAAAAACAATACAAACACAGAGTGCTCAGGAGGTTTCGGGCGCAGTCTTGGCCCAAGACGTCAGTGATAGATAGTGATGGTTGCATTTTTGTAGAGCGCCCTTGCACAATTGTTGGTTTTTGGGGGTTTTTTTTACTTTCTCTCACTAACATCTTGGAAAACTTGCAGCAATGGGGGCGTGGCCATATAATGTAAATCAGACTGTTGGTGTAAATGTTAATATCTTTGCACAAAACGGCGGCTTCCCATTTGATACCGGTAGACACGCGTGGAGGTATGACTACATTGCAGATCTACTTAGCGATGCTTGATCACCACACGTTGCGCGCCTGTTTACAACCGTTGCGCGAAGATAAACTTTCCAAAAAAGGTTTAGCATTCATCGCCGAACGTTCAATTATTGCACGCGTCTGACTTTAAACCATTTCGCGATTGCTTCCTTAGAAAAGCCTAACTAGGTAGAAAATTGAAAAAAGTTAAACGTTAAACATTACACGGCTACAAGTTTCCCAAGATGTTAGTGCGAGCAGGCGCGTTGGTTTAATCAAACGGTTAGATATGCACAATAGATATATGTAGTTATGTAAAATAACTTGAGAATGCAACATTTTCCAGGTGGTAAGTTGAGGTTTGCCTTGAGGTTTTATGAGCTTTGCCTTGAGGTTTTATGAGGTTTTGCCTTGAGGTTTTAGGAGGTTTGCCTTGAGGTTTTATTCGGTTTGCCTTGAGGGTTCATGAGGTTTGCCTTGAGGTTTTATGAGGTTTGCCTTGAGGTTGTATGAGTTTTGCCTTGAGGTTTTATGAGGTTTGCCTTGAGGTTTTATGGGGTTTGCCTTGAGGTTTTATGAGGTTTGCCTTGGGATTTTATGAGGTTTGCCTTGAGGTTTTAAGAGGTTTGCCTTGAGGTTTTATGAGGTTTGCCTCGAGGTTTTATGAGGTTCTACTGGGTACATCAGGGTGCAACCTCGCGTTATTTTTCATTCTTCCATACAAACCAATCTGGGCATGCTACCCATTCTATCATGGAGCCCCCTTCAATGGCGAAAGCATTGTGCTAGCTATTGTTCAGATAATCCGTCAAGAGGCAGTCACTTTGTACAATAGCATGCACAATTGTTTCGCCATTGAAGGGGGCCTTGTGAGTGTACAGTGGTCATGCATGTGCAGGGATTTGTCTAATGATGGGCAATATTTTCTCCTTACAGCTCCGTGAAATTGGCGGGTGTGTCTGCTGCCACCTAGGGGTTATTAGTGGGCATGCACGGCAGGGGAAAAGAGCTTCATGACAAGGAAATGAAATGTTACAATTAAATGTAAATTAAAATGTTGTTAGAATTAAGTGTAAATGTTATGAAACTAAAATTATCAAATTTAGAAGAAAAAAGCAGAGCATTAGTGGAAATCGGCAGAAATGAGAACAACAATGGAAAGATTTGAAAAGCACAGCAAAGAAAAAAAATTGAGAGCAGGCCGTACACATTTTTGTATTTTTTTTTTTTTTTTCAGATAAGGAAAATCTCCAGAGGTTTTAGCATGCACAGCAACCAATTTATCAGAAAATCTTATTTTAGAAAAGCTAAAAAAAAAATAATAGAATAAGAAAAAAAATAAAAGGATTTTTTTTGGCATTCGGTATGAAAAAACATTATACGAAAAAAATCAACTTGTACCTTTTAGTTTTTGGGATTTTGTCGTGTCTTCCTGCAGAGCCTAAAGTAAGGAAGGTCGGAGTCGGGGAGGAGAAACAGACAGACAGACAAACAAACAGACAAATGCAAAAAGACAAAATGGTGGTAATGGTGAGTTAAGAATGAATTCATGAAAGGTGCAATCATATGGAAAAAAAAGAAACAAAGACGAAAAGCGAGTTCATGAAGTATGGAAAGTATGATAAATGAAATAACGAGAACAAATATTGGGAGATTGTTTGAAAATGTGAAAGGTTCAAACGTAAAGAAAAATCCAGAAATTATAAAATGGTTACGAGTTCAAGAAAATGAATTTCAGAATAATTCGTTCAAGAGGCAGGCGAAAGGAAAGACCAGACAAAAAGAACAACACATAATCAAAGCAAGCAGGATTGCAAAAAAATGGAACAGGTCAAACATGGAAAATGAGAGTTTGTTTTTTCAAAACCAAAAGAATATTGCAGATGAGATGATTGTGAAATGATTGAATTGGCACAACACACATGTCAAAAAGTGGTAAAGAAAGGAGAATCAATAGAATAAGGGGGACAGTCCAGAAAAGGGAAAAAAGACGAAAGGAAAAAGAACAGAGAAAGGGAAAGAAAATGAGAACTTTTTAAAAACTAACAAACTATGTTGTATTGAGAGGCATGCAAAACAGTTAAGGCTACAAAAAATAGCTTGTTAATATTGTTCTGTGCATACATTGAGAGTTTATTCAGGGGAATGGGAAAATTATTCTATATGTACATTTTTGCGTGGGAATTTTTTTACGGGGAATGTCAGATTTTGGTGAGTATTAGCACTTTTTTAGTACAAACAGAATCTAAAAACAAGCTACGTTTTCAGCCTCAAAATACTCAAGCCCAGGAAAAAGTCATTGAATTTTTGAAGGGTGTTCCTTTTTTTTTCTGCTCGGGTCCATGTAAAGACCCTTAATTTGTTTTTACCATTCCTTTGTTTTTGGGGTGGTGTTAAACATGTTTCGCTAGGAACATGTTTCACGTTCGTAACGTACAGTAAAACTGACCAATCAAAATTCTTGTTTGTTTTGAATGAATTGAACACCCAGAGTAAGCAAGGTAATGATTGGTTGAGTAATACTCCAATGAGTGGCTGATCAGCGGTCATGTGACTGAGTGTGCTTCCATTGGTTGGATGGCTGGTTTGGAAATAAAAAATCTAACCAATCCCTGGGCTTGGTTTTGGATCGCATGACTGCTACAAACTTACGGTGCAAATATTGTGTGACATCAAAATGACCTAAAATCATGTGCGATCAACTGCTGGCAAGAGAAACGAAAAAACATAAAAAACGTTGTTCTTCGTTTTAGTAAATATGAACATGCAAAACACACGACTCAAAGAAATCAAATGAGTTATGGATACAACACTCTCAAACAATGACAAAAATCATAAAAATTTAACAAAACACACTGCTTAAATTTTAAGATTCAATTCTCGTTTTTTCTACTTCTTGGCTGAACATTGGTGCAACACTTAAAACTGCTTCAAAGTAAGTCCTATAAAAAAGAAAACTCAATTTTAAAATGGTTGATAAGGTTCTAACAAACTGTACTATCATCAATTTTGATTGCATAAAAGTCCTGTTTGAAATTGTCCCGATAGTTTTCTGACTGACTGAGCGTCAATGGTGAGCCGGGCAGTGCTGTTGTATAGGATTACCCGTAACACTAATGAATGGGCTAAATCCGGCCCATTGTTTAGACAGATGCATGAAAAGACTTCCAGTGAATAACCATTCTTGAATCAATTGAATATAATTCTGTGTTCTCTGGGCCAGCTTTTCTTGTCTTTGTTGACTTAGCTCAATAATTGGGATCCTGATTGACAGCTATACCTGGTTTCCCGTGATGGCTTGTCGCAGGATTAAGCGCCGTGCAATTACTAGCTCCGCTGCAAAATCGGAAATTTGCCAGTTCGTCTCTCATGAACCTCCGATAGTCATCTGTGATGTTGTAGATCGCGTTGACTTTCTGTGAGTGGAACAAAGAGAAGAAAAAAAAGAATTTCACATTGTTGTTTTTTAGGTAGTTGAAAATCTACAACAAACGTGCGACTCAATTTATCCAGACCTTCCAAACATTTTGCCGAATGCACCACAAGGAGACACATCATGTGCAGAAAGTCCGCAAACAATGTGTCACTTTGTGGTGCGGCAAAACCACGATATTCGTAACTTCGTTGTACAATGATTACATTGACCTAAAAAAAGTTGTGCAAGCAGACGTCTTTTAATTTCTCAAAAATTATCCAACACCAGCATTTTATATTGATGGAGTTTAATTGTTTGTACTTTTGTGTATAATCACAGCGAAAATTTGCTGAAAATCCATTAATGCAAACCAGAGATTCAACAGATTATAAATGGCAACGTGTTTTTCATAGGTTCCAATGTGATTTACACATTTAACGAAAAGACCCATTGCAGAGTGCCGGTTGAGCGAGTTCCAATGCAATGTATAATTCCCATTGGAATGGTTGAAAACACATATCTTTTATAATCTGTTACAGCTCTGGTTTGCATGAATGGAATTCCATAACATTTTCACTGATTATACTCAAGGGTATAATTAACTCATTCAGTGCCAAACTCGTACATGTACGAGGTATATTTGTTAGTACGAAAGCGCCAACCTCGTACATGTACGAGGTAATGTTTGTACTTAAAATCGCCAAACCTCGTACATGTACAAGGTAGAGTAAGCATGTTATCAAAAGGGGGCGCTCTCACTCTTTCTAATGGTACCATTTTCATGCATGTACGACCTGTATTTATTTTTTTATTCGAGTTCTTGCGAGAGGGCGCAACACTGACACTCGTATTTTCTGCAAAAAGTGCGGAATTCCCCTGTGCGCAGGATAGTGTTTCAGGGTGTATCACTATGTACGTGACTTCTTTTGACTTTCCAATATACCAAGGATGTACCAGAGAGCAAACACAACAAATTTAGTGCGTAAAACGTATTTACTTTTTTTTTTATAGAATTTTGAACAATTACCCAAAAAAGCTCGAAGTTGGGCACTTTAGGGTTAAACTTTTCAAATTTCGCGGGCACTGAAAGAGTTAAAATGCTCCATCAAAATAGCGTACTCATGTTAGGTGCTTTTTGAGAAATTTAACGATATCTGCTTGCCCAACTTGTTGGGGGTCACCCTGTATACCTTATAAATGAGACGTTTTGGCAAAAGAAATGTTACAATTGTATTTAACGAAAGGCCAAAGCACATGCCAGGAAATGTTATTTTTTTGACAAACCTGGTATGGATCGTGGTCCGGCCTCATGTCGAAGTACTCCAGGAATTTGGTGACATATTCACAGTACAGGAAGTTATGGGTCTCGTTCAGAAAGCGTAGACATTGGTAGGTGTTATTGACTGCGTTCAGGCACATACACATGTGACCCACTGCAGATGGGGAAAGACACGGCATTCAAAATTCACTCACAAGTTAATCATAAGTCAATCACAAGTCCATCACAAGAAAATCACAATTCAATCACACAAAAAATCACACGTCTATCACAAGTCAATCACAAGTTCATCACAAATTAATCATAGGAAAGTCACAAGACAATCATAAGAAAATCACAAGTCAATCACAAGAAAATCACAAGTCAATCATAAGTCAATCACAAGAATCACAAGTCAATCCCATGTCAATCATCAGTCAATCACAAGAATCGCAAGTCAATCACAAGTTAGTAATAAGTCAATTACAAGTCGATCATCAGTCCATCACAAGTCAATCACAAGTTAGTCATAAGTCAATTATGAGTCAATCATAAGTCCATCCCAAGTTAGTCAAAAGTAAATGAAGAGTTTATAGGCTCCGTGCGCCAACAAAAGAGGGTTTCCTTTTAACTAGCAACAACATCCCGTAGGCAGGACACATACATTTCGCTGGTTGACACGTGCGCACCGTTCCTTGTGTGTGACGCAGGTACACCAGGGGTGCGTTTTGGCGGTCTTAACCAAGAATTGGTTCGGTTGTTTCTCTTTGGTTAATTGGTTTGGGAATTTGAGTACTACATCATCCTGCGTAGTTCTTACTAAATTAATATTACCAAAGAAATTCGATGACAAGAAACAACCGAACCAATTCTTGGTTACGACCGCCAAAACGCACCCCAGGGGACTTGTACTATGCACGCAGTGGCTGCGCTTCGCAGCAAAATATTGCAGTCAGGCAAGATGGCGTCGTTCGGTCACCCCAAACTGTACTTTCTTTGCCGGTGAGGGTGTACTTGTGAACGGAGCGGATAGCAAGTCAAACACATGTCTATCAAAAGTCCATCACAAATCAATCAGAAATCAATCACAAGTCTATCAACCTATCATAAGTCAATCATAGTTCTTCACAAAGTACAGCGTGTGTCAATAAAAACGCAGGATTAGAAACAAAAATATTAAGAATATAAACCACCCCTATTCAGCATAATGTTAACCCTCTTTTCAAAGTACCTTTCCTTCTCTTCACTATGCTTTTTATCCCATCTCATTTGGACAATCCTGTCCAGAGATAGAGTACATTGAAGAAGGGTTATAAATTCCAAACTGGTCTGATTTGTGCAATCACACATACCTAATGAAAGGTTTGAATTCAGTACAGGTGAAAGTATTTGTGGATCACAAAGAAGGACATGTGTGACAGGATTAGGCTTACATAATCCTTTAGTCCACAATCAATGTAATTAGTCAATAATTCATGATGCTTTGAAACAATGATAGTCCAGTTATTAAATTTAAGTGATACTTATCATCAGTTTTTTCAAAGAAAGTTTTGTTCTGGTTTAATTGTCTTCAATGCATACCTGCATTGTACATAACTGGTCGTTGTGTTAAGGTCATTGAATCAGACCAACCCGCTTCAGAAGGGCTTCACAAAACTTGTCATAACTTTTGAACCAAAAGTCCAAATTCCACCAAACAAAAATCTTGTCAAAGATGAAATTATGGACAATCAAATCCTTATCAAATTAGGCACACCAGTAGCATAATTTTCTCAGAAAAAAATCGCTTTGAATCCTGCGTTTTTATTGACGCACGCTGTAGTCACAACTTGAACACAACTTGATCACAAGTAAGGACTTTTCCAGTCAGTTCTGTCTGGGACTCACGTGTCCAATATGGCGGCACCCTCCAATGATCGTTATCCTGGGAGGTGCACTTCATGCCCTGCACGCTGCACATCTGTTTGAACTGGAGCTTCCGTTGTCTGCGCGACAAGCCGTCAATACCGCCCTCGAGGAGAACATTCTCATCAGCATTCTCGCCGAAAACTGGAACGCTCCTGGTGTATCGAGACGCAGTCGATGGGTCCTTATCCTCATAATCCCTGATTGTATGAAATCAAAATAACGAAATTGAAACTTGGCAAGTTTGGTTTTTGAGTCAAGGATGAAACCGAGGATTGTTCAAAAGTGCACAGCTCGGAAGCTGGAAGAAACACAGAGAAAGAGAGGACGATTTTAAGTTTTAGAGGTGGGAGGAAAACCAAAAAAATACATTCCAGGGCAACCCACGAAATCAGGTAGGGAATGAAAACCCAATCCACAATTTTACCCAAGCAGGATTTGAAAGCAACACACAGCACTGGAGGGTAAGGACAGTGCCCCTGCGTTAACCTGATGTAAGTTCCAAACAACTTCATTTTTTAAAATAAATACTTTAAAACTTCACACCTTTTTAAAGGGAATATACAACATTTGCAAACATCGAAAAATAAAAGTACCAAGTTTTTACGAAATACCTTACTAGGATGTTGGTAAATGATAGTCTCAAGCATTTTGTAAAATAATGGCACCTGGTGTGAAGTCATTTTCAAGAAAATTGTATTTTTGTATACATTTCCAACGGTGGTCGGCCGACCAGCGTTGGAAAAACCTAACTATTTTTCAACTACTGCTCCAAATTAACCATTTTTTTCAGTCCAAACTTTGTTTGCTATTGGCTACATGTTTCATGAATAGGTGCAGGCCAGCTAGACTGGTTCCCGTGCCTTACAATTTTCCATCATCTATGAATTGATCCATTTTACCTTTTGTGGAGTCAGGGAACCAGACTACTTAAACATTTTTGTTTTTCTTGGTTTTTCGAACCTTTTCGAACACAAAACTTCAAAAATGTCAGTGTAACAATATTTGATCTATATATACTAACCCCTCAAATAGTTCATTTCTGAAAATTACAGCAAAAACCAATGATGTACATTCCCTTTAACTTCCTTGTCATAATTTTTTGAGGGATTCCGATTTCAGACCTACCCTTTGTTCTCGACATAGACATCTCCAAGTCTCTCCAGCTCCCTGGCCGCCTCCTCCGACAGGTCCCCTTCGATGTTGTCGCACCTGCAGACCTTCCCCGGCTTCCCCTGTTTCTCCGAGGGTATCTGCGGAAGAGGCACCTCTTCCTCGGGTTTTACGAGGTCGTACGGGTTGGTGTCCTTCAGGAATTCCTTGATCTCGATCAGGTCATTGAGGTGCTTGCGGAGGAGCCGTACCCGGGCCGCGATCATCTTGCGGTGGTTGACCCAGGCTTTGCGGGACTCAAAAATCTGAAGAACATAATCGAACCTCATTGACCTCAGACCATACTTTGTGAGGATATGACTACCGTAATTTTCGGAATATAAGCCGCGCGGCGTATAAGCCGCAGCATGCAAAAATCTGCAAATTAAGATTTTAGGTCGGCGTATAAGCCGCATCGGCGTATAAGCCGCACCAACCGCAGCAGTTCAATTTTGTAAGGCCTCCAAATTTTAGTCAAAATGCTCTGAACCAGTTCCATTTGCACTACGAAAGCTATAAAAGGGCCACAACTGTTATGTCAAATCAGTTACAGTCAATTACTCTTACAAACAAATATGGAAATTGATGATGAGAAATAAAAAACGGGAATTGCTGCCGGCTGGCTCGTCAGTGAGCCTGTGCCGGCGAATGACATTATTTTCCCCCAGCACTTGAGAGAGTATGCAACCCACCATGTGTTGTCTGACTGGAGCGCTACAAATCCTGCTTTGTGGCAACAGACACTGAGTTGTTTTGTCCTAAAGGATAAACAAGTCCGTTTTTACAGCAAAACTTATCAAATTGTTGTGATTACTAATGAGTAGTAATGTCAAAACTTCAAGTTTGGATCGTAACTTTCTTCGAAAACAGTCAACACGATGCCGAGATTTTTATGGACGAATCCATTAATTTCGTAGGGGTGGTTTCACCCCTGTTTTGAGTTTTACATCGTTTCTTGAATACATTTCAAGAAAAAAAATTATATTGTGACGTTGAACAACTGATTATCAAATAAAGATATGTTTCAAACTCCATAAAAAGTATTAGTTGTCTTTTTCCTTTTTTTAAACTGGGGAAATATCGGTAATTATTGTTCCCAAGAAAGTGCACCCGTTTATTACCACAAATGGTGTGGTCCATGGAGAATCCATGCAACATAGGCAGCACACGGCCGGTTGTCGATGTCCAAGGGACAGCTTTCACTAGCCGTACTTTTTACCGCTCGATATCTTTTTGTGGGACGTGCTTTCGGTTTGTTAATGACTTTCTTAATTGATAATTATTTCAACAACACATCTCTTCTTGTACCAGTACATTAAATACACATGTAAATGTCATTTTTATTCTTCAAGTCTCGGCGTATAAGCCGCCCTGTGTATAAGCCGCAGTAAACATTTTCATGGGCAAATTCAACGTATAAGCCGCGGCTTATATTCCGAAAATTACGGTAAACCTCATGAGGCTACGATCATCTTATAGGATATGAAATACTTCAATACTTTGCGGGACTCAAAAATCTGCAAAAAATAATCGAACCTCATTGACGTCAGACCATACTTTGTGAGGATATGACTAAACCTCATGAGGCTACGATCATCTTATAGGATATGGAATACCTCAATACTTTGCGGGACTCAAAAATCTGAAGAAAATAATCGAACCTCATTGACGTCAGACCATACTTTGTGAGGATATGACTAAACCTCATGAGGCTACGATCATCTTATAGGATATAAAATACTTCAATACTTTACGGGACTCAAAAATCTGAAGAAAATAATCGAACCTCATTGACGTCAGACCATACTTTGTGAGGATATGACTAAACCTCATGAGGCTACGATCATCTTATAGGATATAAAATACTTCAATACTTTGCGGGACTCAAAAATCTGAAGAAAATAATCTAAGAAGTAACTCGAGGTTTTACCCTGATCTTACCACAATTCCTGTTAATTAAACCTCGTAAAACCTCGAGGTTTACCTCAAGTTACCGCCTGTTTAATTTGGCATTCTCCCATAAATCAGAGTTTAACCCCAAGTACCCAGTAAAACCCTGTTAAACCTTGCAAAACCTCGTGGTAAACCTCATATTACCGCCCGTTCAATTTTGCATTCTCCTCTAAGCCCATACCTCGTTAGCACATATGACCGTGTCATTCTTGAAGACCTCACACTTTGGATCAATCAGCACATTGTCCTCGTCTGGTTCGTCTAGGTTTTCCAGAGTAAACACGGCCCGGTCTTCGTTGGGTGCAAAGTCCCGTTTGTTCCGAATGAAGCGGAACGGAGGATTGGCTGTCAAAAATAACAAATTATTTTTACAAAATAAAAAAAATTGAAAAATACAAAAAAAAAATTATAAAATGTTCATAAACCAAATTGTCTTGAAGAGTAACAAAATATCAGAACATGTGACAAAAATTGTGGACGAGTAATGTGTCCTCTCTCACCTACGTGATGGAGAGGCAAAAGGGGTGAAGTGGCTTGCCCAAGGACACAACATATGGCAAGTAGCTGGATTAAACCCCTGACCCTCTGATGAGTCACGAACCCTCAGCATCTTTTCCAAAATCCCCCTGCTTGCTCCCCTAGATGGAGAGAGTCCAGTGAGGTAAAGCAGCTTGCCCAAAGACACAATATGTAGCCAGAAGCTGGATTGGAACCCCTGACCCTCTGATCGCAAACCCTAACCACTAGGCAACTTTTCCCTGCGAGTTAGGGTCTAGGAACCCTCCCCCAACACACACACAAACAGGGCCACATCTTACCCTCCTGGACGTGATCTTTGATGAAATCCCTCTGTTGACGTTTCTCCTGTCTTGTCAGAGCCGACTGTCCGATGGGACGTTCCCTCAGCCTAAACCGCCGGCCGTCAGTGTAAGATTCCTGCTCCGGGTCCAGATACGGCCTCATGCAGCGACAGCGGATCTTTGGGGGGTGCCTGCACTTCCTAATCTTGAGCTCACCCGTGACTTCGTCCAGGGCACACTCTTTGTCCTGCACAGCAACGAAAAGAAATTTACCAAATAAGCCACATGGAAAATAGATTGTGAATTCATTAACCGATTCGGTGGATACAGAAAGCTTCTAGCTGTTTTAGAAGATATCTCCATTTCAAGTGAACGTTGTCGTCGAGCCCATCACAAGTCATCCAGCCCCAAGTCAAATTGCAAGCTTTTCAAATTAACTGTGACGAAGGCATTCCTTTGGTTGAAGTTTATCTCCGGATAGTTGTGAACGGACTTGTGAATTGACTTGTGATCTACTTGTGACTGGACTTACGATGGACTTGTGATGAACTCAACGACAACACGGCTTCAATATTTGTCTTTGTCATGTTTCCCTTTTATACAAGCCCATTAAGCTCAAATCCACTCCTGGTTGAAGACGAAACAATACTGCGAGTAGAACTGGCGTGATCCCCCTGGCATCCTGTATACATGTACATGTACAGGCAGTTAGTAAGGACAATTTTCAGTGACGGCCTTGATTGTCCACCCGGCAGGTACCAGCTCCCAGTTTAATGGGGAGTTTGGGTTGAATGGAGCGTTTGGGTGAGACACCGCACTAACATATGCGAGAGCCATTAGTAATACTGAGCTGAGCTCTCCAGAGACCTCCTAAATATCCATATTGGAAAGGATTCGTTTGACGTAGGCCTTCTCTCCACAGACCTGCTTTTAAATTTGGTTCAGATTGATGACTAAACTTAGTTTGGGTTGAATGGAGAGTTTGGGTGAGACACCAGACTAACATGCGAGAGCCATTAGTAATACTGAGCTGAGCTCTCCAGAGACCTCCTAAATATCCATATTGGAGAGGATTCTTTTGTCGTAGGCCAATTCTCTCCACAGACCACCTTTCAAATTTGGTTGAGATTGATGACTAAACTTATAGTGAACTGATCACAGACACGGACACCCATGTTTGTTTATGGTGTAAATCAAGTTTTTCCTTTGATCCTCTTCCATTTTCCTTTGTTTGTGCTCTAACTTTTGCGCAACAGCTCTCATTGGTTTTGTACACGTTTCCTAATCGAAGTCGTCCTCAATTCGGTTCCTGTCGATTCATCGATGATGTTGCACGTGTGTGTCCTCGATTTACACCATAAACAAACGCGGACATACAGACACACAGAAGGAATACATGATCACAATATTCCCCTGTCCCTGTCCAGCGGGATAACAAATTGTGAACAAGGAGGCGAAACAAAAAAGATAGTGCTTTCTCAAATCTGATTGGTTAACGCCATCGCCTCACCTGGAATGGTTCACATGGCGTCTGGAGCTCGGGCAGCTCACACTGTTGCCGTAGGCGATCTCCTTTCTTCCCTCGCGCTTGGAACTGTCGCTTCTGCAGACGGGCCAAGTCTTCCGGGGAACGCCTGCATAACATAGAAAATCAAAATGGCAGTTAAAACTATAGAGGGCGCTGTTACCTAGCAACAAGGCCTTTTTCCAAAAGGAAACTTGCACACTGCTAAGCCATGTGTCATGTTCTTTTTTTTCATATGGGAATCAATGCGTTTCTAATACTAAAGGCAAGTTTTATTTCGACAATCCGAAGTAGGCTGGTGCCTTCATTATCTGTTTACAACTGGAGTGCAGGAACCAGACTAGCAGTGACAGTTCCTTTCTCACTGGTTTCCGTGTGCCATTATTACATGTTGAGAATCACCGAATACCAGGGAACACTTGTGAACTATTGTGCAAAACAACAAAGTCCCAAAAGTCTCAAGAATGAGTTCTAAACTTACGTTTTCTCGACTAGGAAGCTGGACCGCCAGGGTTCGGCTCCGATGTAACGATATCGGCGTTTCTTGCCCCTTCTTGTCCTGTAACTGAAAGGTTTTAAGATGGAGAAATTAGAGTGTTAAATCATCGGAAAGAGAGAAATGCTTTGGTCAGTGTCATCAAAATGTGGCATTCCTTGGTTATTGTTCATCTGCTTACATTTGTGACCTGATTTCGAACTACATTGTAACTTGATTTTCTTGCAATTTACTTGTGACAGACTGACTACAACTGTCATTTTGACCTTTTCACAAAGGTAGAAAATACTGCAAGTAAAACTTGTGCGATCCCCGAATGGAGAGTTTGCCTCGTAAATATCCATATTGGAAAGGATTTTTCTGACGTCAGCCTTCTCTCCACAGAACACCTTTCAAGTTTTCAACTTCTTGGTTATGTACAATACTTGTGCATTATATTGAGAGCAAGAACTATTACATGTATGGCCAATTGCTCCTGAAGAATAACGGTGTTCTACTGAACAAGTAAATTTAAAATTATTATTGACTACTTGCAAGTTTTAGTACTTCACCAACTTACTCATGTGGATTAAAAAGCTTCAGCAGCGACACCCCGTCCATGGTGGGAGGAATGCCCACCCCTGCAATGTCCAGAATGGTGGGTGCCAGGTCAATGTTCAGCACTATGTTCGGAACTCTACATTCGCCAAAGCGGGGAGATACATAAAGCAAAACCTGGGGGGTCAAGGTACAATTTATATCTGTTGAACAATGTGAGGCCTACGACTAAAAAAAACGGGAAACAGATTTAATTCATTTGCAATTTTTACATTCGCTGCATCAACTTACATGTATGTAGACCAAAACTAGCTCAACAAAAACAATCAAGTTTTACCAAATTGTCCTTTTGCATTATTTTCTCACCAATCCTTTTTGAGTAGGTACCAGATTTTGGATGATCTGCATGGCTACGATTAAATTGTAAAGATTAAGTTCCAAAGGTCAAGTTCCACAGGTCAAGTTCCAAAGGTCGAGTTCCAAAAATCAAGTTCTAAAGGTCAAACTCTAAAGGTCAAGTTCTGAAGGTTAAGTTCTAAAGATTAAGTTCTACGGATTAAGTTCCAAATAAGTTCCAACGATCGAGTTTTAAAAGTCAGATTCTAAAGGTCAAGTTCTACAGGTTAAGTTTTTAAGGTCAAGTCCAAAAGGTCAAGTCCCAAAGCTTAGGTCCTAAAGTGCAAGTTCCACTGTTCAAGTACCAGGGTTAAGTACAAATATTCAAGTTCCAAAGTTTAAGTTCCAAACAATAAGTTCCAAAGATCTTACTCGACACCCGTTGGGACTCGGGGACCCCTCATGTAGAATGGAACTCGGAGATCAAAGTCGTAAGGCAGGGACTTTCCTTTGGGTAGGGCGTACTGGCCCAAGTGGTAACCGTGATCCGATGTGAAGATGATGTAAGTGTTGTCTATTTCTCCCATCTCACTCAGCTCTGTGCAAAGCTGGAAAAGAGAAAACGAAATCTTGTGATAGGGTTGTGCGTGACCCAAACGAGGGCGGTATAACATTGACGTTTAAACTGGTAATCTGTGAAATGCAGTGGCAGTGATTTGCAGTACATATTTCTGAGCACTAAATATATACATGTAGATAAACCTACGGTACAACCAATCGAGGGTGATGCTATTAACAATAAATTGTTTGGAATGGAGGCCTGTCCTTTAACAAACCTTGGCGATGGCGTCGTCCACGGACACCAACGTGATGAGCCGTTTGCGTTGTAGGAGGTCGGTGAACGCCATCTCCCGTTCCGTCATGGGGTTCGGATAACGCAGCAGCCAGTGCTTGTCATTGTTGTTTGTGTAATTCCAAGTCTCCGTCCTAAACAAAAACAAAAACAAGGAAAAATAAAATTGGGACCAATTACATTATGAATCAATCCTTTCTCCTTGAGCATTTTTTTCCACCATCCTCCAAAATCCTCCACTTTGCAGGAACCCAATGGCACACTCTTTGTACCTACAAAGTTTTAAGTGGCATCAAGCCCCATGTAAAGTAACAGTGGCTGGGCTCTACCTTCCTTAATCCTACAAAATCCTCCGCTGTGCAGGAACCCAATGGCACACTCTTTGTACCTACCAAGTTTCAAGGAGCATCAAGCACACCATGTAAAGTAATAGTGGCTGGGGTCTAACCCTCAATCCTACAAAATCCTCCACTGTGTAGGAACCCTACCCATGCATTCTAAATATAATTAGTGTACTTTCTTTTTCAAGATTATTTTCTCATCCAAAGATGTTTAAAAAAATTTTTTTTTGATATGTTGTCAGTGTTTAGGTTGTTGTCAATGTATCGACTCGTAGTTGTTTTGCGCATTTGTTTAAAGCTATAGTCCATCATTTGTAATTAGTGCATTTTGTTCGTTTGAAGCAACAAAAGTGTTCAAAATCTAATGAAGGATACTGAGCAACTAACCTAATGAAGTTTCAGCTAAGCTTCAGCTGTACATTCCGAGAAAAGCAGCATTCTAAGATCTCAATTTCAAATCAAAAGTTACTGAATCATGTTTTGAATTGTTTTGAATTGCAGCTATACGCGGCGTCGCGCACTGATCCGACGAATTATAACAACCGCGCGCGCGTGTGCGTCGTTCCAATACTTGTGCGCGCTGCGCTGAATAACAAAACAAACTACTAATTTAAATTTTCCTACGGTGCTTCTTAAGAATCACCGTTGGAAATGCCTTCTTTCGTTGATTACTTCAAAATGACAGCTTCCCAGAAAGAATTATTTCACAGGGAGTTTAGTTCCCTTACTATCTTTCAACCAAGTTTGTTTTTCAACAGTAATTACGCCAGTTACTTTTCGGATGGCTGCAAATCATGGACTATAGCTTTAAGGTGTTTTTAGTTCAAGGGTATATGCAATGTTTAGTTGTGTATACCGGTTATATGGGCTGTTTCTTTTGGAACTGAGACATATAAATATGTAGAAGACAAACTACATTTGCCAAAGTATGGTCAACCTTAGCAGGCAAATTTGAGTGATATATCTCAGTCTATTTTCACTGGTCCCTTAAGACCACACTTTCACATACAACTTGACTATGGCTCTCCCAAACTAAATCTTTCCACTCGACTAAGTTTTTTTTTTCAGGAGTTGTTAGAGTAAAACCATCAGGAAACCATCTTGGGGAAAGATTATCTCGTCCAAGGGAATGAAAAATACATAGAATAACACTGAGTCATAAAAGACATGACAGAAGTGGGACGAACTGATGAAAGACCACACCGAAAATAAACCCTGGCCGGCCCGGGGGTTGAGTGAAATTTGAACCAATTTCGAGAAATTCAACTCCAGAAATTCTGGATTGAAACAGAAACCGGCGTGACTCACAAGAGTTTTGCTGTTGCGCTTCTCACCTGTCAATAAATATTTAAAATCCTGATGAGAATTAAGAAGGGGAGGACAAGGGGACGAGTTTTGTCTTTAGTTTAAAGCAGGAGCACGAAAATAAACTCTGCACAGTGGGAGATGGGATGAACTGTTTATCTTGCAAGTCTTGCCGAGGTGTTGCCTTTCCGCGATGAGTCACTGAAGGTAAACACAGATGATTAAAGTAGGAGGAATGACCAAACAGAACGGCTTCCAAGATGGACACTTGGGATTTGAATATGATATCAAGTTCTCCGAGTTACGAGGGGTAGTGGTTTTGAAGCTTTCGCCACTTGGGATCATCTCTTTATTGTGTTTGCACCTCCGAAACCCATCGGACTTTGTGGGTGTTGATGATTTCAGACGTGGTGCTTACAATCAAGGACCTTATTCCATGCTGCATCAGCACATGATTTTCCGCTCATCTCAATTTCGATGAGTCAAACCTCATGGGAATTGTCTCAAATTTTGAGTTAAGCAGAGTTTTGAGTTATCCAATGGATTTTCTATTCAACAACAATTGACGGGAATAATTTTTTACTTTGAGTTAGAAGGGTTGTTGAGTTAACAGTTTTGACTTAGCGAGATTTCACTGTTTAAGTTTGAACTTTAAACAATTTGGAGTAACTTGGCGCAAAAGTTTGACTGTTGTCTCCAGAGTCCAGTTAATGAACAATTTAGACGCATCGTTGGAAAGGCCTTCTTTCATTGATTTTTTCAAAATGACAGCTTGCCAGAAAGAACAATTTCACAGGGAGTTTAGTTCCCTTACTATCTTTCAACCAAGTATGCTTTTCAACAATAATTACGTCAGTTACTTTTTTGATAGCTGCAAATGATGGACTGTAGCTTTAAGTAGTGTTCGCGCCTGGAGTAATTCTGAACGGTGGTAAAGCTTTTCATTCCAGAAATGCGACACGTTCTTTTTGACCAGCTTAAAAATGAGAGCACACTGCACTCTATAGTAGGAGTTCATTCAAGTACATTAAATAACCATTCAGTCGGCAATTCCCAGAGTATTTCTAACTCCAGGGATCCAACGCCCGCCATGAGACCCGAAGTTCCTAACGAGGCCTGACAGTGAGCACCGCACAGTGGGTTATCAAAGACTGGTCTGGGTTACAGGCTACCAGCAGGGGATGAATGTGACCCGGCTAATGTTGAACCATTCATCTATTTAGCCTGGATCCCATTACATTTCCAGACTTATGAAAATACCCGTAACCAGTTGGCGTATTGAATTTCACGCCCGGGTTGAATTTCTGGCATCCATTTAACTGTCTGGCAGCATTTGAGAAAATAGCATTCAATGAATTTTGCAATTACCGGTACATGTACATGTACAGTAAGCACTGTCGATATACCGGTATCGACTATTACTTGATTAGTTGATATTATTTTGATATTGATATCGCCGATAGCAAATTTTTAATCATATCACAATATTGAAATCTTGGATACTGAGGAATCGTATCGAAAATATCAAAAATCGCATCAGATTATCGTCTAAATAAATCTCCCGTTTGTGCTTTACTTTGTGTTTATTGTTTGCTGTATAATGAACTAAAACTTGGCGACAACTTGTGCTGGTGACTTCAAACATTGCGAAATGCCAAGCGGTGTCGCTTTGTGCTCTGCGTTCGCTAGAATTCGCGGTCTCCCCCAATGTAATATTATTTCAAAAATGCCTTTTCTGGACAAGCTCTCAGTGCTGAGATTTGGTTTTTTTTTAAGTTTGAGCAATATGCTACAGAAAAAGCCGTGGAAAATTGGGACTTAAAAGATTTTTTTTTTTTTAAATCAAAGTGTCATCTTTGTGGTCTTTAACTTTTACATAGGATAATTGATATATCGAATATTCTCAATATTTGATTTCCGATATATCGATTATTGAAAATTCTGATATTGACAGTGCTTAATGTACTGGTGCACATTATACAAAAAAAAACACTTTTTAAGTGCACAAACTATTTGTAAACTTTTTTGTTAATTTTTTTTTGAATGATTGTGTGTGTATTAAACATATAAGTGAACAATTAATTTGCCTTTTTTGTTGTTGTAAATCAACAGTTGTTTTTTCTGCATTTTTGTTAATTAATCACATTTAAATTTATTTTTACATGACATTTTAGGAACATATTGTGGGCGAAAATATTTTTAACTTTTACTTTTCCTGAAGCTAAAAAGTGCCGAAGAATAACAATCTGGAGACATACATGTAGGCAGAAATTGTCACAGCCAATTTAAAAAAACAAACTCACATTTCTACAAATAAATTTGCAAACTTAAAAAAAAAGTCAAGTATTGTCTAGACAGCTTTTGGTACACAAATTTTTGTGATTGGAAAATAGCTGACAGTTAACTAGAAAAAAAATTGTAGCTTTTTTTCACAACAGGTATTCCTGCATTGTCCGCAGAAAAAAAATTATGACCTCTCAAAAAAAATGAAATTGTATTCCATCCCAGAGCAAAACAAATAATAAATCTCACGGAAACTCAATCTGACAATTCACAGGTGTGTGGCACAAAACTAAACAAGCTCTTCGAAAACTTTCAGCACCGTCATCAATCAAAACAAACGGAGAATGTCAACCATTCTGCTTCCCCCCAAGAAAAAAAAAATAGAAAAAGTCTCCACTTCCAAACAATAACTACAAAAACTTTGACTGGAATGTCACACAGGGTTCAAAGTGTCGGAGAGACAACTGTTATAAATCTGTTCGCACCTCGTGAAGTCACGACTAATATTTACAAAGGAAGTTGTTCTGTCAGCTACAAGTGCCATACAAATGGTTCCCTGCCTGAATCAATCACTGTAACTCATAGATAGGTTACCGGTGATTTGTGTGGGGACTATGTACTTGGATGTTTTATGTACCGGTACGTGACTAGCGAACTGAGCTAGGACCATGGGAAATTGTCGTACAGTATATTTTCCCTTTTTTTTTTAACCAGTACAATCTTCGAGTCCATTTCTTGGGGTGGGGGGGGGGGGAGTGGTGGGAAGAACTCTTTCCAAAAAGTGATTTCTTTCATGGAAGTATGACTTCGAATAAGTAGGATTCTTTTGCAGAAAGTGAAATGACATTGCAAGTGTTTGATTTGACTTGTGTCTTGACTTGCGACTGACTTGTGACTGACTTGTGACAGACTTGTGATAGACTTGTGATTGCCTTGTGACTGACTTGTGACTGACTCGTGACTGACTTGTGACCGACTTGTGACTGACTTGTGCATGACTTGTGACTGACTTGCGACTGACTTGTGATTGACTTGTGATTGCCTTGTGACTGACTTGTGACCGACTCGTGACTAACTCGTGCCGGACTTGTGACTGACTTGTGATTGACTTGTGATTGACTTGTGATTGACTTGTGATTGACTTGTGACCGAATAGTTACCGACTTGTGACCAACTTATTACCGACTTGTGACCGTCTTGTGACTGACTTGTGACTGACGTGTGACTGGCATGTGACCGACTTGTAACCGACTTGTGACTGACTTGTGACTGACCTGTGACTGACTTGTGATTGACTTGTAACCGACTTGTGACTGACTTGTGGCTGAGTTGTAACCGACTTGTGACAGACTTGTAACCGACTTGTGACTGACTTGTAACCGACTTGTGACTAACTTGTGGCTGAGTTGTAACCGACTTGTGACTGACTTGTGACCGACTTGTGACCGACTTGTAACCGACTTGTGACTGACTTGTGACCAACTTGTGACCGACTTGTGACCAACTTGTGACCTACAAGACAAGACTGGTCTTTTGACTACTGATGGCCTTGTGACTGACTTGTGACTGTCGCTCGTTTGATTTGTGAATAACTTGTGAAACACTAGCAAATTTGACCTGTGATTAACTTAACTTCAAGTCTGGCATTATGGGTGCAAAACACACAACTCATTCAAAAAAAAGCTCTCTGAAATAATATCAGTAGACAAAGGCCAACCATCTCTCACCTGTGGAGACGATTGCCCTCAAACAAGCCCTGGTACTGTGGGGCTCCGTCCTCCGGCCCGTGGGGTGCTGGGAAGGACAACACCATGGCAACCGGGTTGTCTGGATACGTCCTCTTGGACATCCTAAAGAATGCTACGCTGTCATTAGCAATCAGGTCGGGAAGGTAGTCCCTAATCAAGACAAGACAAAAAAAACATTTGACATTTTTCCCCATTAGTTTTTAAAAGACACAGTCGAGTATTTACACACAATGTATGTGAAGCTTTAGTCATAAAGATAAAAACTTGGCTAACAGCAACGGCCTGCAAATTCTACAAAGATACGAAAAAATTGACCTGAGCCAGGAACAGCCTAATTCTCCATTTAAACTATACAGCCATCTTGGTCTGGTTCCCTGAAGCCCCAACATCAGACAATGTACATTGTATTCTCCAGCCCCTCATCAGAGGTCTGGTTCCCTGAAGCCCCAACATCAGACAATGCATTCTCCAACCCCTCATCAGAATAGTCATTTACCTACAAGAGCCCAAGTGCAGAGTGAAACATTGCACAGGTTTGCTTTTACATTATATTACATTGTATCACATTGTATTACATTGTATTACATTGCACTACAGGGTGAGTAAAAAAACACGAAACCCAAATGTTGGGACTATTGTTTTAGTGAAGTTAGCATGCATGTAGCACTTTCAAAATCTAGAATATAAAAAAACAATTCATAAGCTTTCTTTTAGTACAAGAATCATTCACATCACTTACAAAATATGTACTTTTCAGGTTACGGAATTTTAAACACAACCACCGTTTTAAAGTTCTGTCCACGAGAACACAAAAAAGGTGTGCGTTGTTTCTGCAAAACGAAAACAATTCACACACACCCTAATGTGATCTGTTTTCGTTTTGCTGAAAGAACACTGAACCGTTTTGTGATCCGTGGACAGAAATTTAAAACGGAGGTTGTGTTTAAAATTCTGTAACTTGAAAAGTAATTGAGTGATTTGAATGATTCTTGCACTAAAAGAAAGCTTATGAATTGGGCTTTCATATCCTAGATTTTGAAAGTGCTACATGCAGAACTTCACTAAAACAATGGTCCCGACATTTGGGTTTCGTTTTTTTTTACTCACCTTGTACATTGTATGACACTGTATTACATTGTACAAAATGTATTACATTGTGTTACATTGTATTACATTGTATTACATTGTATTACATTGTATGACACTGTATTACATTGTATTAATTTCCTGATGCATTATACTGACCTGTAATAGTTGAATCCATGTTCATACAGTTGTCCATTGCGACTTAACGTGTAGTTATAGTACTTGGAGTTCTGTAGCAGCCCGACCCATTCTGTCCAGCCGGGCGGCACATACGTGCCGTTGTAATTGTTTAAGTATTTACCAAAATACCCTGCAAAAACAGAAAGAAAACAAAAGACAATTCAATAAATAAAACAAATATACGGTTACAATTACTGGGTATTGCCCTTCACCGACGTATTTTTATAAACAATGTAAACATGGTGTTGTCTGAGTGATTGTGAGAAATAAATTTACAAGCTTACACGGGTGGGACTCGAACCCATGACCTCCTGCTTACTAGTGCAGACGTCGCACCACTCGACCACCGAGCTTGCCAGGGTAGGCTGGCTGGTTCGAATCTGATATAGCAGCGGGCACAGCAACCAAACCAAGAAAGAAATTGACTGGAGTGGAATTCGAACCAGCAACATTTGGAACAAGTACAGGGCTCTAGCAACTGAGCTAGACCTCTGCTTCTACTAAAAGACCAACATTGTTGAAGACTGGCATTTCACAGTCACACTTAACGAAATATAGGGTGAGTAAAAAAAAAAAAGCGGAACCCAAACCCCCAATATTATATTTCATATTAAAAAAAATATGTAGCACCAAAAATGATAATGACTGGAAGCCATTTTCACAAGCTTCTTCTAGGTGAAAAAAATTACTGAAATTGCTCAATCCGTTGAAAGAATATCACCATTTAAACACAATAACCCTAAAACCTCTTTTGTCCAAAAATACGATTTCAAGAATCATCATCACAATGGTCTTCAAACATCACCAGCGTTAAAACCTCAGTTTAAAAGTTAAAAATATTCAACAAAGTCATTTTGCAGGCCCGTCCTTTAAAAAAAAGGGTATTTTTCAAATCATATTGTTTGCCTAACCAAGGTTGTTAATAAAGATATTGTGTACTACACTTGTTGACAGTTGTTGAAACAAGTATTCTGTGTCATTTTCTTTGTTGTTCCAAACAGTCAGAATACACAACAAATTCCTTGGACCAAAGAGGTTTTAGGGTCATTGCGTTTAAATGGTAATATTCTTTGAACGGATTGAGCAATTTCAGTTATTTTTTCATCTAAAGGTAGCTTATGAAATTGGCTTTCCAATCATTATTATTTTTGGTGCTACATATTTTTTTTAAATATAAATACATTTTTGGGGGTTTTGTTCTGCTTTTTTTACTCACCCTGTAGTATTAGGCGCAACTCACGTCGACCCAAATGGACTTTAGTTTCAGACAGGCGAACTTTAATGTTTTAATTTTCCATTGACTAGACTCAGGAGTTCTGAACAACTCCAACAGACCATCTTTCTACACGTGTACATGTGGTTATACTACTTACTGTTTCCAACACTGAACTTTTCATGAACTTGATTCAAATCTTTCGAATATTTTCGTTCGATACGACTCTGGGACGCAAGACTGAGGCGAGTGTAAGGCATTCGTTGGTTAGCTGATGGAGGAATAAAAAAGCTTCTACCCACCCCCCTTACCCCCACCCACAAACCCCCACCCCGAAACAAAACCATGAGACCAATATATTTCTCCCAGCAGGCGACTCAAGCATTGTTTACGAAGCGAAGCGTAGAGGAAGACGACCCGAACCGACCAATAAAAACAATCAGCCAAGTCTTCAATCCTCACCTCAATATATATCAAGATCCGAGATTAAAACAAAACAACCCTCTCTTCAACCCCCCCCCCCCCACAACAAACTAGAAGTGTGTTGGAAAGTCATCACCCTATCCTCAGAAGTGGCACAAGATGAGTTGCGCACTACCAAGGTTCTCCAAACAAACACCGTCTGTCCCTGAGATGGGCGGTGGCACAAAGCCAACTTCTCAATTTCTTTCCCGAAAGCAGATCTGAACCAATTGGAAAAGCAGATCCCGTTTCTTGGAATTTTTTTTTATCAAGCTTGGATTTCAAAACCTTCCTTTTCAAGGCCTATTCTTCCAGACTACGAAGTCACAGACTAAGCTTGAAATAAACTGGAGTTGGAAAGTTATGACTGAACAGGTTTTGAAATGTCGTATTCATAAACGAAATCGGTCAACTTAAAAGGAGAGACTTTGTTCCAGCTATTTGTCAAAAGTACTTGAAAAATCTCACAATTTGCAGATTTTCAGAGCCTTCGACTTCGTGTTCAAAATCACAAGCGAAGAACAATCGTTTGGCGAACCGATGGCAAATTTTGAGTGCTCCATCAGATTTAAATTGAGGTGTTTTCTGAAGGTTGACTTCGGGGAGGGGGGGGGGGGGTAGACCAGCCAAGATTCCAATTAACTGGATAAATGACGAGTAGGCAATAACACCCCAGCATGCAACATTCCCCCCTCGGTACTCTGCCCTTGGTGATAACAAGGCAGGCTTTTGAGGTTGGGAACCAGCCAAGGTGGAATTTTTATTCCTCCCTCCGAGCGACGCACGTGCCTTCCATACTGCAAATACATGAATGACCTTTGCATGAACTGCAATAAGGACACGCACGGCCAGCCATCAAAAGAGTTCTCTGAATCAATAAAAGATGTTTTCAAAAACCAAAATAGTAAAGCTGACATTTATCTGTTTTTCCTTTGTACCATCTAAAATCCCTTTCCTTTCACCGGAAGTGTGACAAATTGTGCAGTAGGTACAATACTTCATACAATTGTACAATTGACATCAGTCCAATTTTCATACAACTCCAAAATATTATTAAAGTCACAACTTTTCATACAGCTGATATTGAGCCATTTGCAAAAGCCTGAGAGACCACTTAAAAATTACTACAGGAAGAAAACGAAATCTGTGACTGTAGCACAAAATTAAATATGGCTGAATGCACATTGTTTGGAGCTGTAATTTCACTGTAATCTTTTTTCAACTCACAAGTTTTTTTTGGCGGCAACTTTATTCTGATTTTTGAGACAGCCAATCCACACACAAAAATGGAACAGATCAGTTTTCCAAAATTTGACGTGTGACACGAACATGTAGCCAACACTTGCTCTCCAATCCAAATGAATCTAAAATGTCTCCATATTTGGCCTAACATCTGTTAACCATAACCTTCCCAAATCCTCCCAAAATCCTCTTTGCATAATGGAGGATTTTGCAGGATTGAGGCTACATGACAAAAATGTTTGGCTGATTTTGGAGGATGCACTGTGTCAAGGTCTTTAATAGGCCGGACCTTGTGTTGTTTATGCTCAGCCGTGCCTAAATTTAGGCCTAGATTATACTTGAAATCCTCTGCACTGCTCCAGGATGTCACTGGCTCTCCCTCAACATATTGACAGTGATTGCTGGAGGATTTTGCAGGATTGAGGCAGTGGTCACCCCTCCAAGGACCACATTCAAGAAATAACGGAGGATTTTAGAGGATTGAAGCTGTCTGTAATTTCTACATGGAGGCAGTTGGAGGATTCTGCAGGATCGAGGTTGCATCCTAGCAAAAATGCCTAGAGAGTTAGGCTTAATATTCAACCATTGACTATGTACGGCAAGTGGTATTTAAACCACACAAGACAGTTCAACAATCAAACCTACAAAACTATCACAAATCTCCTAGAATAAAACTCAAAGACTGCGTCACCTTTTTCCCACACGGAAATGTTATTAACTCCCTACACGAGGCGAAACAATCGCATTTCCCTTTTCCATTTTGCGGTCAATTAAAACGCGTCCGCCTGCCAACCTCCGGGAAATTGGATGTTGTTTTTTTGACGTGTGTGCCAACTGGATGTTTCGAGGGGGAAAAAAAATCATCAGTCAGGGGCAGAAAAATGTTTCTTAACTTGATGCTAAGAACAGCCACAAAATGTCACTGAAATGTCACGTTCTGCAACTTGGACCCCCGCTGTTTTCGACCAAATGCAGAGTTTTAAAGGTTCGGAGGAATGTTCCATGCACTCATAAAAATAAAATGTATCGACTTGTGACGTGATTAGCAACACTCCATATGCCTTGAGATTTTCAACAAAGTAAGCACCATCGATATATCGATATTACCCGATTATTCGATATTATTTTGATATCGATATCGCCAATAGTTATTATATAATCACATCTGCAATGTAACTATCAAATTTTCAATATTCAGGAATGCATTATCAGATTATTGTCAAAATAAATCTTCCCTTTGTGCTTTTACATGGTGTTTAACATTTGCTGTATAATGAAATAAAAGTCAGCGGCAACTTGAGCTTGTGACTCAAAATAAAAACATCGGGAAATGCTAATTGCGGTCTCCCCAATGTAAAACCTAAAAAGAAAACGCCCGCCCGTTCTGGACAAACTGTCAGTGCAAAGATTTGTTTTAAAAAGTCTGAGCAACATGCTCCAGAGAAAGCGTGGAAAATTGGGACTTCAGATTTTTTTTTTTATTCAAAGTGTCATCTTTAATGTCTTTAACTTTTACGTGGTAAATTTTTTCTTAATCAAAGTGTCGCCTTTAATGTCTAACTTTTACATTGTATAATCGATCTATATTGAAATTCTCAATGTCGGATTTCCGATATATCGATTACTGAAAATTCCCAGAGCCTTCATAAAAACTTTTTTTTCTGTTTTTCCTTTTTTTCTGGTTTTCTTCAAAGTTTGTACAGAAACTGGGTTATCAAATATCCATTTAAAAGGCATTCTCAGAAATGATTCTGGTGGTTTTTCACCACATGCCACATCCTGTTTATTGGTAGCTAACAGCATCCATATTGCAAAGCGTCTTTTCAGCTGGGACATTGACCAAACATGTACAGTCACTGTAAACTACATTAAATTTGCATTATCCCTAACCTTAATTCAATATTTAAAGGGAAGATACAACATTTGCAAACATCAAAAAACAAAATGAATGAGTTATCATTGTTAGGGAATGACAGTCTAAAGCTTCCTGTAATTTCATGGCACCTTGTGTGCTGTCATTTTAAAGGAAAGTGGTATTTTGGTATCAATTTCCAACGCTGGTCGGCCGACCAGCGTTGAAGAAAACTGGCTTTTTTTCAAAACTCGCTCCTTGTTTTTCATATTTAATTATTCCGCATTGGCTTTGCAATTGATTACACACCTGTGAGGGGGTACATGCCTGCTAAACTGATTCTCTGACCTTACAATTCCCCAAAGTCAATAAATTGCTCCGTTTCATCTTAAGTGGGGTCGGGGAACCAGACTACAAGAACATGATTGGTTTTCTTTGTTTTTCCAGCATCTAGGAACCCAAAAACATGAAACAAGCCAATGTAACAATATTTGCTATAACATACTACTCGTCCAAATCCATTTATTTCTGAAAATTACAGCAAAAGCAAATGTTGTACATTCCCTTTAACAATCCAACTGGACTATTTTTGAAAGATTTGGCAGGGTTTTTATTTTATTTGAACTGGGAAATCAACTTTGACAATGCAACGATGTATAACATGTGTTTTGAAATCAAATCTACTGTTGTAAGTGTAGAATTTTGAAATTTGTTCATAAAGTTTGCTAACTAGTGTGTGAATTTATTTAGCATACAATCGCTGTTTCGATTCTCCCGGTACCCATGCCCCAAATCGGTAACCTCACCTGTTCTATAATCCACGCTCCTCAGATATGCAGCGAAGGAGCGTCTCTCGGGCCCGTTCCGCCAGTCCGCGGACCCGCAGTCCTCCGTGTTGGAGTAGACGTGGTGATTGTGCACGTACTGGCCCGTCAGGATGCTGCTGCGCGAGGGACAACAGATAGGCGTCGTGACGAACGCGTTGATGAAATTCGCCCCGTTGTCGCCTAGGACTGTCCGGGTTTTGTTCATTGCACTCATGGAACCTTCAAAAAGAGAAAACGAAATTAAAAATTTGAAAAAAGCCGCCTACTTTCCGATTGATCCCCATTTGCTATTTATTTCCCAGGTTTGCGGCATTGCTAATGTTGCTAGCATCGTGACTTTGGGCGTGATCCCTGGCTACATGGCATTTACAGGTTTATGGCTTCTGACTAACGCCCCTTGAACAGGGACACGGACAATAGGGCTGGATAGCTCAGTTGGTAGACCACTGGAATGACAATCTGGAGTTTGGAGGTACAAACCCCACTTCAGTCAATTTTTTTTTGTTCAACCTTATACATGTAATTAAAGGGAATATACATCATTTGCTTTTGCTGTAATTTTCAGAAATGGATGGAATTGGGGGGTTGGAAATATATAGCAAATGTAGTTACATGTACACTGACTTTTTTGAGGTTTTGGGTTCGAAAATGCTATAAAAACCAAGAAAAACAATCATTTTCCTGTAGTCTGGTTCCCTGACTCCATTTAAGAAGAAACAGAGCAGTTTACATACATTGGGGAATTGTAAGGTCAGGGAACCAGTCCAGCTGGCTTGTACCCGTTCATAGGTGTGTAATCGATTGCAAACAAGTGCGATGGTCAATTGGGGCCAGTATTTGAAAAAAATCCAGTTTTTGATACAAAAATACCACTTTTCTTGAAAATGACAGTATACCAGGTGCCATGATTTTACAGGATGCTTTACACTGTCATTCACTAACAGTCCAGCAAGGTATTTCAAAATGATTTGGTAGTTTTATTTTTTGATGTTTGCAAATGTTGTATTTTCCCTTTAAGTCTGAGGAGTGTTGAACATAAATTTTTTAAATGTATTATTGTCTTGAATTTAAAAAAAAAATTCTTCCATGGTTCTAGGACATTTTACTTCTACTTTCATACAGTTTGAATCCTGTTTGAATAAACAATTTCTGTTGATGTTGTTTATCTCTGTTTATAGCTCCTTTAAATGCATGTATTCTGGAAACTACAGACTGACTCGCTCCTTTAAATGCATGTATTCTGGAAACTACACACTGAATCCCCCCCCAAAAAACTACAACTTTTTTTTTTAAAATTTGTGAAACTCACCTAATAGTAAATCTTGATCATCCGTTAAGATGAGTACTATATTTGGCTTTCTGCTTTTCCAGTATCTGGGGCGAGGCTGGGGTTGTGACCTCGGTGACCCTTGACCTCTGCGGCCAGTCCTTCCAGCTCCGACACAGTTTGTGAGCCATAATAGTAACGTCACGTACAGTAAAATGTAAAGTGTGGGTCTGTGTTTGTGAAGCATGTTGTCGAGAGTTTTTGCCCTGCAGGCGGGAGCACGAACGATGGGGTGTCGGTCGGTCGGAGTTTCTGGCTGCCTGCAACCAAGGTGAAGGTTGGTCAGTGCGGCACGCACATGGAGACCGGTGACGTCATATGCTCTACTGCAATGTCAACCTACAGGATACCAGCATGGGGCGGTTCAGCTGGAGCGAGACTATGACGATCGGAGCACAAGTATTCCAAGTTGGCGACAGTCCTACTGTTGTTGGCCAAGTCGATTTAAAGTCTCATTTATGGTCCTGTAATACAAAGGGGAAAAAAAGAGGCGTTCAATTTGTTTCTGAAATTCACAGCCATTTTTTTATGAGATTCATTCACAAAAAAAGTTGAAACCACTTTTCCAACAGCGGAATGAACTGAGGGTAAATTCAAGAAAGATTAACTTAATTCTTGTACCATGGAGCAAGGATAAACAAAAGATGTGATAAAAATCTAACAGTTTTAAGTTTTATAAAAATTATTTTTAAAAACCTGCTTAGGAGAAAAATAGATTAAGATCTCTGAAAACGGATACACAAACATCACTTCAATGGTAAAAATGTACATGATTTTTACAACGTCATCTGATCGACATCATGTACATGTCCGTACATTCATGACTGTCAACAATTTTTTGTAGAAAAAAAAATTGTGCAGTAACTTCCTAAAATACAATACAATTCATGTTTACACAATGGGAAAGAATGTTGCAACCTGACGCTGCTTTTTTCGTCATATATCATCTCAATGAAGGTCAGTCATTGCAAAAATGACAATAAGACATGAATCTGGGACTGAGAAATATTTCCAATTTTGTTAGGAAATACTTCGAAAATTGTCTTGACTCTCCATAGACTTTGTACACAGCCGCTGAAGTAGCATCAGGTTGCAACATTCTTTCCACACAGTGTAGCATACATCACAGCAATCACATATCAACGGCCCAACATCACCAAATCAACCGTCATCACTAATCCCTCCGAATCAAAAATCTACAATCAGAATCTGACCTACCAATGCTCCGTCTAGACACGAGTCCACAAAAGCGGCCACACTGCCCCGATAAACTCAACTTCTGGTCACCAGTAATCGCGAACAGGTAATACACATGTACCTTGGTCATCTAGCCAACTTTATGCCCTACCACCACCAACTTGAGGAATGTCTGTCTGTGAGTGTGTGGTTAGATGTGCTAGCGATGGCTGTACAATACCAGCACAGCTGTGTGGGCCTATTATCTCCAACCCACCAGTTGTCCATCAAGTAAACAAACAGTGACTGGCTTATGAAGGTGTGTGTTGAAAATAAACCCACACAATGCAGCATCAAACAATGTGCACAGGCCATTTCCTGTCTGGACCACAACTTCATGAATATGCATGATGAAACCTCATGAATGAGCTGATAAGGCTGGGGGATATTTATTGCTTGGGCTTAAGTTGCCTGAATATGCAAGACTAAAAGCTCAGGGATGAGGTGATGAGGCCACTTATTGGTTGGACCATGGAGGCAGGAAACTCCAAAGTTGGACCATGGGTTCTTGCTCTATGGTTGGACTAAGTAGGTACAATGTATCTCATGAATATTGATGATAAACTTCTTGGCAAGAGGTTTGAAGTTCTTGCATACCTGTTTGGACCACAACTTCATGAATATGCATTGGTGAAACATCAAGAATGACATGATTTGAAAGAGGGCCATTTATTGGTTGGACTTCAGTAGCTCATGAATATTTGTGAACAACTTTTGAGCACATGCAATTTCCTGTCTGGACCATACTCATGAATATGCATGACTAAAACCTCAAGAATGACTCTTTGTCCTTTAGTGGTTGGACTTAAGCACCTCATGAATATTGATGAGCACTTTGGGTTGTGGATTAAGCTTCAGGTCATTACAAGTTCTTTTGATGGATAAACTGTGAGATTTTTTAAAAGGTACTCTGGGGTGTTTAAAGGGGAATGTAAGAAGTTTATCTTGGTTTTAATCCTCATTGATTTTTCTCAGTGATTAGCTAGACAGATGTACATGCATCATCCCTTTAATGTACATGTAACTCCACACTGTGCACATGTTTTCGCTACACTGGTCATTTTTGGTAACCATTTTTGGCTATTTCACAAACTATGGGGGCGTTTGTTGTCGTTCAATTTTGTTCATTTTCCCATCTTTCTCATATTGTAGTTCTTCACTTCGAATCTGTATGGTCCATGAACGAGAAAATTGTGAAAGAAATATTTTTTATCGTTCAACTCCTACGCAGATTTTGTCACTGCTTGTCAAAATTGTCACGAAATGAAGAAAACAGATGTAATATTCTGTGTTGTATACGTATCACGTACACAGTACACAATCATGACTGAATCATAACATACTTTTAAATCATTTTCTACATGTGTATTGAAAACGAATTAAGTGTATTAAAGGCAATAAACAACATTTGCAAACATCAAAAAAACAAAAGTACCAAATTATTATGAAATACCTTACTGGACTCTTAGTGAATGATAGCATCCCGTGAAATCACGATACCAGGTATGCTGCCATTTCAAAGAAAAGTGGAATTTTTCAATTTCCAACGATGGTCGGCTGACCTTGTTGGAAAAAACTGACTTTTTTGGTTAATATTGCGCCCACTTGACCAATGTACATGTAGTTAGGCCACATTTTGTTTGCAATCGGTTACACATCCATGAACAGCTACCGGTACAAGCCTTTTACTCTGATTCCCTGACCTGACAATCTCTAAACTGTTCCATTTCGTCTGAAGTAGGGTCGGGAAACCAGACTACGAGGACAGCATTTTCTTCTTGGTTTCCCAGCATTTATGAACACATAAATATAATATAAACGGGCCAGTGTATCAACATTTGCTATAAACAACTAACTCCCATATCCATCCATTTCTGGAAATTACAGCAAAAGCAAATGTTGTAATATTCGGCAACATTAGTTCTGCTTCCGATTACATGGCATTTGAAAATAGGGTAGGTAGGTAGGGAATTTTTTTTTTGGCAATTGTGTGTGTGTATGATCATATGGAGGCGTCTGCGTGTTGTCACGGCTAAAAGGTAGTAATTGAGGGTTTTGGGTGTTTTTTTCTCATTTTTTCCATAACAAAAATTAGGGTAGAGCCTGTCAGAATAGGGTAGGTAGGGAAACCGGAAGCAGAACTATTTTAATTTTTTTTGGCCTTACTAAACTCTACTACAAAATAATAACTGTTATTCCTAAAAAGAGATACTCTATTTTACCCTTAAAAGTCCTTCACATTTTGCTTATTATTCACACTTCCCAGTACAGAGAGATTGCAATTTTTCAAATCCATATTTTTGAGTATTAAACCCAAACAAAGAAAACAAACACAGATTAAATGCTTGCAAAATAAACACACCAGCTTTAATCCTTACAATAACGAAAACACAGCGTATATAAAAACCCCGGAATTTTTATCCCTGTTCTAAAACTAATCTGATTTTTTTTTTGGCCTGCCGTCGAAAAAAAGACATTTAGAAATTCGCCCGGAGGGTGTTTTTTCAAGCAGGGATTGAATTTGAGACGGGAAGTGAGGTGATTTAAGGATTTTTCCGGGCAATTATGATCAGATTTGGTTAAATTCTACCTGTCGAACCCCCGACAGCGGGATTTTTTTTTGGGGGCCCGGAGTGCGTGAACACCTGGTCAGTGTTCATAAAGTGCAACGGGTTTACGATTTCCGTAGCAGCCTGGGGTGGACGGACTGATCAAAATCGCCTTGGACCAAATTGATTACAGAGTCGAGGTACAAGTGTGGATAAAAATGCCCAATACTTTCAAATTTGCTTCGTTGGCTGTAGTATTTAAAGGGAATGTACATCATTGGCTTTTGCTGTAATTTTCAGAAACGAACTATTTGAGAGGTTAGTATAATAGATTAAATATTGTTACACTGACATTTTTGAAGTTTGGTGTTCGAAAAGGTTGGAAAAACCAAGAAAAACAAAAATGTTCAAGTAGTATGGTTCCCTGACTCCACAAAAGATAAAATGGATCAATTTATAGATGATGGAAAATTGTAAGGTACATGTAAGGGAACCAGTCTAGCTGGCCTGCACCCGTTCATGAACATGTAACCAATAACAAACAAAATTTGGACTGAAAAAAATGGTAAATTTGGAGCAGTAGTTGAAAAATAGTTAGGTTTTTCCAATGCTGGTCGGCCGACCACCGTTGGAAATGTTTACAAAAATACCATTTTCTTGAAAATGACTTCACACCAGGTGCCATAATTTTACAAGATGCTTGAGACTGTCATTTAACAACATCCTAGTAAGGTATTTCGTAAAAACTTGGTAGTTTTATTTTTCGATGTTTGCAAATGTTGTTTATTCCCTTTAAAAGTACCGGAATCTAAACCGTCCTGCTGTCTGTACAGCCACAGACAGTCACAAAAAATATCAATCCTCTTCCCTGCCATGTCTTTTGTACAGGCTAGTCACCAGCAGTCAGATTGTATTTCTAGCAAGCACTGTGACTAGTCAAATTCAGCCAACAGACAAAAGCAGGCTAGTGGTAGGCACAGTTGTCTTATCCATCACCTACAGTCAAAGCACAGCTGTTACCAAGTTACATAAACAGTCACAGCCAGTCAATCTTGCTTTATGTAGGCTGGGAGCACTCAACCGCTAAAAATGGTCACTTGGCTGATTCTGACTGAAAGGACAACTTTGCGCAGAATGTATGTTTGCATCGGAGGGCTAACTAACTAAAAATCTTAAAATAATTAACCAAATCTTTTGCTACAATCAAGTGACATCATAGCCTTCTACTGCATTTTGTCGGATTTGGCATTTACAAAATTCTTTCTTGTGGTTAACATGAACAGTTGTATTGAATTTACAGTCTATACAGGAAATCTCTACAACCACAGCAAATAAAAAAAAAATTAACAATGACTACCAATTTCCTAACACAATTTGGAAAGTTACCTGTCAATTTTCCAATTTCCAGAGGCAGCCGCGACCGGAAATTGTTCAAATTTGGACCAGTGTACCCCACCTAACCCTATCCGCAAACTTGGGGGACTAAAAAAAAAGTTTTGGAGAAAGTTGGATAATTTGGGTAGAAGAAACAAATTGTTAGGGTTTTTTTGAAGAAGAGAATAAGAAAAGTCAGCATCTTGGAAAATAAGTTTTGTGGTAAATTTTGAAGGCAAAAATAGTTTTGTTTGTAACAATTCAGTTACTAACAAGCCCGGAAGCCAATTTTCTATTTATAATTA